AAAGCTATTTTTTGCTGACATGCAAATTCTATGTTCTATAGACAAAGCTTTCTTGTAAAACTATGGGGGCCTCTTAGAGGTATAGCAAGAGGATTTAAAGGGGCCTTACAGATTTATAGAGGCCTAATAATTCTACAACACCCTCACCTATTTCTTATTGTATACTGTTTATCATTGCCTACTGCACTACTCTGGTATTTTGGCATTTTGTCTTCTGGACCAATACGGCTAATCCAATCTACACACACGCATATACAGATGATACTCGAAAAATTAGAATATCGTGCAAAAGTTAATTTATTTCAGTTATGCAACGTAAAAGGGGAAACTAATATATGAGATAGACGCATTACATGCAAAGCAAGATAGTTCAAGCAGTGATTTGTCATAAGTGCGATGATTATGGCTTACAGCTCTTGAAAATCCCAAATCCACAATCTCAGTAAATTAGAATATTACATGCAATCAATAAAACGAGGAGTGTACATGGAACAATATCGGACCTCTGAAAAGTATACGCATACATATGGACTCAGTACTTGGTTTGGGCCCCTTTTGCAGCAATTACTGCCTCAATGCGGCGTGGAATGGAAGCTATCAGCCTGTGGCACTGCTGAGGTGTTATGGAAGACCAGGATGCTTCAATAGTGGCCTTCAGAGCTTCTGCATTGTTCGGTCTCATGTCTCTCATCTTTCTCTTGGCAATGCCCCATAGATTCAGGCGAGTTTGCTGGCCAATCAAGCACAGTAATCCCACGGTCATTGAACCAGGCTTTGGTCTTTTGGCAGTGTGGGCAGATGCCAAGTACTGCTGGAAAATGAAGTCAGCATCCCCATAAAGCTTGTCTGCGGAAGGAAGCATGAAGTGCTCCAAAATCTCCTTGTAGACAGCTGCGTTGACCCTGGACTTAATTAAGCAGAGTGGACCAACACCAGCAGATGACATGGCTCACCAAATGAACACAGACTGTGGAAACTTCACACTGGACTTCAAGCATCTTGCAGTGTGTGCCTTTCCATTCTTCCTCCAGACTCTGGGTCCTTGGTTTCCAAATGAGATGCAAAAGTAGCTCTCATCAGAAAAGAGGACTTTGGACCACTGAGCAACAGACCAGGTCTGTTTTTCTTTAGCCCAGGTAAGACGCTTCGGACGTTATTTGTTGTTCAGGAGCAGCTTAACAAGAGGAATAAGACATCTGAAGCCCACGTCCAGGATCCATCTGTATATGGTTGCTCTTAATGCACTGTCTACAGCCTCAGTCCACTCCTTGTGAAAGTCCCCAACACATTTGAATGGCCTTTTCCTGACAATCCTCTCCAGGCTGCGGTCATCCCTGCTGCTTGTGAACCCTTTTCTTCCACACTTTTCCCTTCCACATAACTTTCTATTAATGTGCTTTGATATAGCACTTTGGGAACATCCAAGTTCCATCGCAATTACCTTTTGAGGCTTTGCCTCCCTATGGAGGGTGTCAATGATGGTTTTCTGCACAACTGTCAGGTCAGCAGTCTTCCCCATGATTGTGATTCCTACTGAACCAGACTGAGAGACCATTTAAAGGCTCAGAAACCCTTTGCAGGTGTTTTTGCTTACTTAGCTGATTAGAATGGGACACTGTGAGCCTAGAATATTGCACCTTTTCACAATATTCTAATTTACTGAGATTGTGGATTTGGGGTTTTCATGAGCTGTAAGCCATAATCATCGCACTTATGACAAATCACTGCTTGAACTATCTTGCTCTGGATGTAACGCGTCTATCTCATATATTAGTTTCTCCTTTTACGTTGCATTACTGAAATAAATGAACTTTATCATGATATTCTAATTTTTCGAGTATCACCTGTATATATATATATATATATATATATATATATATATATGCATAGCACCAGCAGCACACCATTTATTCATGTTCAGGTGAGCGCAGCCCCCCGGTTTCATATATATATATTTATTTACGTAGCTGAATAGAGCCATGCGGCCATCAAGTTTAGCCTTTCATATTATATGTATACACATATATATTTATTTTTAGTACACTGATAGGCACATTTTACACCATTTGGTTTACAGATCAAGTTACATACAACAAGCTCAGCCTTTCTCACATTTGATTTTTGCTGTTGATCCAAAAGAAGGTAAAAACCACAGACCACAGAATTGTGCTACAAACTAGGAAAAAAATCCTTCTTGACCCCAAAATGGCAGTCAGATATCTCCTATTAACCCACTAATTAAAATTTATACCCCAGTACATTATGTTTTTGCAAGTATTTATCCAATTGCTGTTTAAACATCTGTATAGACTGATAAAACCACCTCTTCATGAAGAAAATTCCACATCGTATTGTTCTTACTGTAAAAAAACATTTCCTTTGCCTTGGACTAAATCTTCTTTCTTCCAGTCTAAATGCGTGACCTTGTGTCCTATGTATAGTCCTATTTATGAATAGAATTCCAGACAATTGTTTGTATTAGCCCCGATTATATTTTAATAATGCTGTCATATCCCCTGTAGGGTACTCTTTTTCCCAAACTAAAGAGATCTCAATTTATTAACCTACCTTCATAACTAAAATGCTCCATTAAAAAGATAAAAAGTTCATGTGCAATTCATTTCGGTCCAAATGCGAGTTTGGCTGAATTTCGGGCATTTGGGACATTCAGAGGCTTCCAAATGGCCGAATTTAGAAGTGCGAACCGAACCGCCGAATTTCGTTAGTGCCAAAGTGCTTTGGATTTCTGAAAAGTGGCAAACCAAGAGAGGGAGTGAAAGTTACGTGAATGATGACAGGGGTAGGATTAGAGTAGGGTTAGGAAGCCCTACAGAGGTTCCAAATTCTGAAGTCCCGAATTGCTTAAGTCCTGAATTGCCAAAGTCCCAAATTTCAGAAGTACAGAACCAAACCACCGAAGTCCCAAATTGTGAAATACAGAATTTCGGAAGTGCTGAACCAAAGTGCCTTCATTACTAAAATGCTCTATTAAAAAGATCTAAATTTATTAACCTGCCTTCATAACTAAAATGTTCCACTTTTTCTAGTGCCATTATATCCTTGTTGAGAACAGATGCCCAAAATTGCACAGCATATTGAAGGTGTGGACTTACCAGTGATTTTTAAAAAGAGGCAAAATTATGATACTTTACTGACCTTAGCACTGCCAATTGCCATTGCATATTGTTGCCTAGTTTATTGTCTATAACAATTCACAAATCCTTCTCATCTGTTGTTATCCCTAATTCACTAGCACTTAGGGTGTAAGTTGCTTGTGCATTCTTTACCCCGACTTGCATAACTTTGCATTTTTCTACATTAAATTTCATCTGCTATTTAAGTGCCCATTCCCCCAATCTATCTAAATCCATCTGCAATGAAGTAATATCCGGCTCACATTGTATTCTTTTACAGATCTTTGTGTCCTCTGCAAACACTGAAACATGGCTTTCAATGCCTATTTCAAGATAATTTATAAATATGTTAAATTGGAGTGGTCCCAGAACAGAACCCTGGAAATTAATGACAACTCTTTGTGTTCTGTTTAAGTTATTGTTCTACCCAAGAACAAGAATTTTCGTCTAGACCAATTTCTTTTAGTTTGAACACTAAACTATTGTGAGGAACCATAACAAACGCCATGGCAAAATCTAAGTAGATCACATCCACTGCAACACCCTTATCTATACTTCTAATTACTTCTTCGTAAAATGCAATTAGGTTAGTTTGACATGTCCTATGTTTCATAAAACCATGCTGATTGCTAATAACACTGCTCCTCCCTTAATAAGCCTTCAAATACTTTCCCAGTGACAGAAATTAAGATCACAGGTCTATGATTTCCAGGCAAATATTTTGAACCCTTTTTGAATATAGGAACCACATCTGCCTACCTCCAATCTCCCGGTACAATTCCTGAAAGAAAAGTATCTTAAAAGATTAAATAGAGAGGTCCACTTATTTCCATACGTAGCGCCTTAAGTACTTGTGGATGAATACCTTCAGGCATCGGAGCTTTGTTTACATTAACTTTCTTCAGCTGCTGTAGCACCTTGTCTTGAGTCATCCATTCACAATTTTTCTGCACTTTTTTGCAGCAATCACATGCATATCTATTACCATATAATCTTCTTTAATATATACTGAGGAAAGAATTCAAAATGTCTGCCTTTTCCTGGTCTTCAGTAACACACCCATCCCTGTTTTCAGTGTACATACACTTTCATTTTTTTTAAATTAATTTATTTTTAAGTGAGAAAACGTAACCAATAGAAGGAAAAAGAGGAGGAGAAGTAAAATGATTCTTAGTCCCTTTGTCCTAATGCCCAATGTTTGGTAGATGAAATTTCTAAATCTATGAAGTGCTCAAATGCATTTTTTAGTGCATGTTGGATACGCTTAAAGGAAATCAAATTTTATTTCTGTTTTTCTTTTTCTTGACCAGAACAAAGCATTACATTTTACATATGTATATGTTCTTTTTTAATAACTCCCCCTCCCCCCCACCCTCAACAAATATCCTATGTATATTTCTACTAAACAACAAAAAGAAACCACTTGGTTTAGTTCAAAATATTTTTATTGTTGCAACCATTACCAGCTCTGTAATTATTGCTAATATAGTACATTATTCTTTCAGCTAAAATACACTTTTATATACACACTTATTTAAAAGTTATGGAGGTAATATTGAAATCATGCAAAGATCACATTTAAAAAATGCCCCATACCATGTTCACATTGTTAGTCACTGTTTATTCAATAAAAGACAGAAGCAATCCAGTCAGTCCTGGAACATGTGGGAATTATATCTGAAAGTTCCTTAATAATGATTTACTCTGAAATTTTATCAGTTTGGTGACATTATAAAAGTGAACTGAAGTCTGTAAAGGGCTTTGTGTAAATATTTAATCACAGTGTATACAATTCATTTAATTCCAGGTGTTGGGTTCTTTTCTTGGAATGTATTCTTAATGTATTGGAAAGCATTCACAAGTGCTTCAGGGACTAATGGATGCAATCAAGACTTCCAAATCTTTCTGGGCATCTTTATCCTAGGAAAAAATATATATAAATTTCAGTAAACAAATTTCCTGTACAAAAATGTAATTGGGAATAAATATTATATTTAAATAGACTTGTTGGAAAATTTAACTTCAAATACAGTTTATTGCACAGGTTCTTGATGGTAACTTTCAATATCTTATAATTTGTGATAAATCTTTCTGAATTCAGCATTCTGAATTGTGAAAAAGTGCAGGCATCTTATTAAATACAAATCAGATTTCTAATGCGTCATAGCGAATACAAATAATATGTAAACATTAATATATAATATATTAAAGTGGATTTAATTTAATACAGCTATTGAATAAGGTAAAGTAAAAATACTTTATTTAGAATGTTTATAAAACAAAGTCATGACAATACACTTCCCCTAGGCATGGTAGATTATCATTATTGGCATTTATATAATGCCAACAGATTCCGTAGCGCTTTACAATATTATAAAAGTGGGAGATTTAACAATAAAGAAGAAAATTAAAAAAAACTTACAGTCTATAGGAGGTGGGGTATAAAACACAATAGGACAGGAGATCACAATCAAAGAAGTTGGAAGTGAAGCAGAACTGGAGGAGAGAGTAGAGTGCTGCCCTTTAGGTGAGCAAGAGACGGGTATGTGAGGTAGAGGTTACTCTGAGAGTAAAACGTTCCTGAAGAGATTTTAAGATTTTTTTGTCCTGAAGAAGTTTTAAGGCACTTCTTAAAAGATTGAAGACTAGGGGAGAGTCTGATGGAGGTAGGTAGGCTATTCTATAGAAAGGGAGCCGCCCACGAGAAGTCCTGCAAGCATGAGTTGGCCGTACATGTGCAAGCAGCGGACAGGAGAAGGTCATGAGCAGAGCGTAGAGACCGAGAAGGGGCATACCTATGAATCAGTGAAGAGATGTAGAAGGGGCTAGAAATGTTCAATGCTTTAAAGGTATGGATTAGAACTTTGAATTGACTCCTATAGGATACAGGAAGCCAATGTAAGGAATGACAGAGGGGTGAGGTGTGAGAGGACCAACTGGAGAGGAAAATCAGCCTGGCGGTGCATTCATTACAGACTGTAACGTGGCAATACGGCTTTTGGGAAGACAGATTAGGAGAGGGTTACAATAATCCATGCAAGAGATTACTAGAGCATGGACAAGGTCCTTAGTAGCATCTTGTGTAAAAAAGGGGTGGATGTGGGCTATGTTTTTACTGTGGAATATACAGGATTTGGTAACTGTAACAGATCCCCTATACTCCGATTGAGTATATCCTTTGTAATTCTCCCAAATCCCAAAGTGAAGCAGTGATTATAGCTCTGGTATACCCAAACATCAGCCAAGACTTGATCAAGGGTACAAAAAGACTGATTCATTATGGCCCAGTGGCCTGCATGGGGTCTCCAGCAAAAACATAGTAAAACACTCCCACAACAAGCTCAGGAGTCTCTGTGTCTGGGATATAATGAAGTATACTTTGCTTAAACTAATTATCTCCCAGGCACTAGAGATACAAAAGATAAAACACCCCAAAACATACATAATATTAATATCCTATATCCTTGGACAGCCTGGATCTGAGTGCCCAAAGTGTCCAAATAGCGCTCAGATTCCACGAATACAGCCGAATAGCTAACAGAGTAAAGTTTTGACCGACTGCACACATGGAGTCTGCCCAAAATAGTTCCATGAGAAAAGTGGTAGCGGTTGGTCACTTTCGTGAGTCCAAAAATGAAAGAAATACCGAACAGTTCCCCTGGCTCATAGGTAGAGATTGTTCGCCTGGTTCATGTGAACAATCCTACTGAACAACGCTCTCCTGGCTTGTCGGGAATAGGAGCAGGCGTTCGTATGAGGTTACTGGTGTTCGCAGTGTCGAATGTCCGAGTTAGAGTTCCAGACACTTGATGACCAAGTCCCGCTGCTTACGTTCGTGTGACAAGATGGCCACTGTTTTCTCCAACATGTGTTGTTCGGTTATACAAACGGCGGCCACACAGAGAGAGCACTTAAGTTTGTAGTTTCTTTGAAGTTCAATGAGCTAGAGGGGTGGTCAGTGTTCGGTAGATTACAGCTCCTGATATGAGGAAACATTTGTGTTTGGGGACACTTAACAAAAACAATGAAGGAACTGTCCTTAGAATAAGAGAAATAGTCAGTTTGTCATATGGTATATGGCCCATAGATACATGTTTACTGTGTAGTCCTAACATTCTATATATTTTATCATATAGACATTATCTTTTACACATACTTAGTAGATATAGTTAAGAGTCCCCATCCCCTCCCTTTCTAAATGTAATCAATTACAAGAAATAGGCCTCTAAGTTATTATTTTTGGCTTTGATACAGAAAATACTGCTTATTAAAGAGATATTTGTTATATGCACATTTCCCTTCAAATTCTTCCCTCTGCTCCTAAGGCTCTGTACAATCTATTCATGACATACCACTGACTATAATACATGAAGATGGTATTTTCCCAAATATAGGTTTACTACAAGTTGTCTTTTCTTTTCCATAAATGAACTTTGTGAATCACTCCCATGTGACAACCATTATTTCAAAATTGTTCATGATTTATTTTGTAAATCACAAGTTCAAATTTCTCAACAACGTTTCTGAGATGCAGACTTTATATCTCATTAAAAAATGCTTTAAAAAAAAAACCAAAGAACATTTTGTAAATATTGTACTGCCCATAAGCCTGACTTAAATGTCTCAAAAACTTTGACTGCTAAAGTCATATCACATATACCCACAAACCACAAAAGACAACTTTGCCTTCAGAGAAAAAAATATTATTATTCCTCACAGGTTTTATATTTAGGTCAGGGATATTAATTTAAATTAATTTATTCCCCTCATCCCTAATTTGATAGTTCTAGAATAGATTTTACTCAGTTCAGTTTTCAGGTCTGATTAACTCACAATTTACTTATTATTATTATTGCCATTTATATAGCGCCAACAGACTCCGTAGCATTTAACAATAGTATGAGAAGGGGGATTTAACTATAAATAGGACAATTACAAGAAAACTTACAGGAACGATAGGTTGAAGAGGACCCTGCTCAAACAAGCTTACAGTCTATAGGAGGTGGGGTATAAAACACATTAAGACAGTTAACCATAAACTGTTTGCACAAGCAAGGTGATAGATTTATTTTGGGTAATTACAAAACAGCCTAAACGCTTATCAAAATCTGGAAAAAACTTCCCTGTAACATTTCAAGTGTATTTCAATGATGATGCTCATCCTCCCCACCCCTCCCCTTTCTTTTTTCTGTATCCCTCCCCCCCTTTTTAAAAATCCATAAAATTCGCAAATGGAGAAATAATAAAAAAATCTGGATAAAACTTCTGTAATGATACCAAAATCTCAAATCACATTTTTAAACTGCAGACTTATTTGGCATAAAATAGCATTACAAAACAACTTGCTATCCGGTCACAAAAGCTTATATTATAGCCAGAGCGTTGACCATTGGTCAGTGCGGCCTTTGATTTCTTGTGGTTGCTTGACTATAACATCAGATAGAATACTAATTTCAGCAGGGTTCCCATTACCTTTCTCGTGTGCCTTGGTTACATATTAAATTATATGTTTTGATATATGACCTCTTGTGCTATATGTACTGTGAAGGAGAACCGTCAAAAAGGAGCACTTCATATTACTCTTCCGACAATTCTCGTCAATGATTTGTGGACCCAGGACATACTTGAAAACAAGAGAAATCTCAATGTATCTTTCCTGGTAAAATATTAAATAAATAAATACATTTTATGTTGGCAACATACCTTTGTATGCCAATAATTGATGGGGAGGTAAGTAAAATAACTATGTCATTATTTAGACTTCATTAAAAATGTAAATAATTTGCAAGCAACTTAGATATCATAGTATAGATAGCATTTATGCTCTTTCATTTAAAAGAGAAAAAAAAAGTTGAATTGAAAGTACACATAAAAAGACCGATAGACTGACCCTGAAGCCACAAGCACTTGCTCTCTCCTAGCTTCAACTCATTTTTTAAAGGGGAACCAACACTTCCTTAGGTTTTCAATATCTTGTTGACATATTGAAGAAAAAAAAGTTGTTGTGAGATTTGAAAATTAAAACTAAATATAGTAATCCACACCACTGTCTTTATATCAATTCTATAAATAAATATCTCCATCTTGGATCCTGTATGTAAACTCTGCCCTTTAAGAAACAGTCTTTGCACCGGTTAGTCACCATAGAGAGGAAGAGAAAAATAAACAATGGGAGATGTGTTCAATTGCTGTGTTCTGAAAAATGGTGTAAAGTCTTAAAAATGGCAATCACCATGGAAACTAGTGGACTCAACAGCCACATTACATTGGTAACTACTCCCCTTTTACATATTTTCACAATTTTCTTAGAAAATGGCCTTTTGATAAATTTCACGTGTTGTTTCACTTTCTACTAACCCAATGTAATGTGCCCTTGTTGTGCATGGACTGAACTGGATTGTGATGTCAACTGCTATTTAAAAAAATATATGTACTGTAAAAGAGAACTGCCAGAAGGAACACTTTCCTATAATATGACGTAACTATATCGTGACTTGTTAACTGTCTGACTACATGACTTTGATCTCATGATAACATGCCTTGTCTCTGATAAATCACTTGCACTGAAAAACTGAAAGAATTGAAAGAATAAAAACAAAAAAATACATTTTACCCCTTAGAAACAGAGGTAATTTTCCAACATCTGAACCAAAACAATACCTAGAATAGGAGTATGCAACCTTAGGCACTACATCCATAATACTAGCAAAGCATTAGGTAATGTAGTGTACAACTTCTGGAGTGTTGAAGGTTGCTTTTCCCAGACCTAGAATTTGTGCTACGTTTATTCCAACATAATTTAAGGGCTTCTCTTTAAGTATATATTATATATTGTTTGTAAAGGACAGAAATGTCTGTCTTTCATTATGCAATATATATATAGCTAACACAACGTTAAGCTTGATTGACATGCTAAAAATGGTTAAAAATACACATTTATTTCACAGCTTTGCTTAAGATATTTACACATCAATTCCAGCAAAAGAAAAATAATTCAAAACAGATTCACATCTCTGATTCTTTAATGCCTCACAGTTCTAGGATCTAATTTTATTTTGGAGTTACCACTGCCTCTATACCAACCCTAACTCTATGCCAAACCTACACCTTAACCCTATGCTTACACTAACTTAAAAAAAAAATACTACTTCCAACCCTAAAACAGTATTAACCCGTTTACATTAACAGCAAATCTCCACTAACCCTACACCAACACTAACCCTACTCCACCCTTAGAGTTTATGGGATTCCCTTAAAAAGAAATCTAATATTTAAATTTCCTTTATTGTGCAGTGTGTTTAATTTAGAATTTCTCATCTCCTACTCTGTAGACCTGCAGAAGCCTCCTGTTTATTATTAAAATTCTACTAACATAGCAAGACATAAATTCTAACAAGTATCCCCCATGTACTGTCAGGGCTTATTGAAAATGAAAACATTGGTTCATGTAGGATGTGGGAGTCACAAGGAAGTGTTGCTAGGGCTGTATAAACAGATACACAAGCGATTCAACTTTTACATGGCAGTAATTTCTCACTGAAACCCTTTAAGGGGTTAATTGAGAATGGTGCATCATATACAGAAGAAAAAATAAATAAATAACAAAAGTTACAGGTAATGTTCAATGTTATTTTCAGTGGTGTAATTTCCAGATAACTGGCAGTTATTCTCTGTCATCTAAAATTCAGAAAAGTGTTTGCATTGGCAAATTATAGAACGAAAGCTAAATCTTCAAAATGTAAAAACATTTAAAAAAAAGAATACAGCATCCTATTAACCCCTTCCTGACCACAAACGGAAATTTTCCGCCAACTTTGTCCTTCAGTTAAGGACCGTTGACGGAAAATTTACGTCATTTACTAAAGTTAACCCCAGATCGCCGCGATGTATTAGAGGCAGACCGGAGCACCTGATCGGGCTGCCCCAGCACTGGTGCTCGCTCTGACAGGCTGTCAGAGCAAGCACATGTGCTCAGTATACTCACCTTCCGCCTCCCTGCACTTCCGGGTTCTGTGTGAAGTGCAGGGAGACGGATCAGTGCTGCTGATCTTCTCCTTGTGTAAAAAAATAAAATAAAGTTAAATCAAACCCCCCCTTTATTTTATTAATTAATTAAAATATTTAAAAATTATATATTTAGCTAGCTGGGATGGGTGGAAGTTACTGGGGAATTTGTGAATTTGGTGTTAGGCTAACTAGGGGTTAACTTTAAAAAAAGTTTTAAAATAAGCTTTAAAAAGGTTAAAAAAAGTTTAAAAAAATGTTTTAGTAACGTTTAAGTAAAAAAAATATACCACCCCCCCCTTACCCAGTCTAAATAAAAATTAACCCCTTCCCTGCCAGTTGATCACTGCCTACAGTGATCAAACTACAGATCACAGTATTATACTATAATCTAATTTCTTTTAACCCCTGAGGATTAACTTTTATTTATTTTTTAACCCTCAGGGGTTCAATTTATTTAATTAATTTAAATATTTTATAATTATATATATTTTTCTACCTGGAGTGGGTGGGAGTTATGGGAAAGGGGGGAATTTACTGTTAGTGCTTAGGGGTTAATGGTAAAAGAAAAGTTTAGAAAAAAATGTTAAAGTATAAAAAAAGTTAAGAAAGTGTAAAACATTTAATAAGTAAAAAAAAAAGTTTAAAAACGGGTTTTACAAATTAAAAAAAGTTTTACAAAGTAAAAAAATACATTAAAAAATGCTCATTACACTTGGTACAAGCTAGCGGAAAAATGATCCCACGCTAAGGTTCAAAATAGGCCTTTTGAATTGCCCTGGGATGTCTTCTTTAAGAAATGGTATGGCTTTATGGGGTATTTGGATTATAAAGCCTGGTAAAATACTCTAAAATAGGACATGGGCACAGTGTAAAAATTGAAAGTTTGAAAAGAACTGGAATGGCTGTATCCCAAATGTGCCCCTCCGATGTCCACATATACCAGGCAAAGGCACATACAGGGGTATTGCTGTACTCAGCCGACATAGCTAAGCAACATATGAAGTATTATACAGTCGTAGCACACATACGATTTGCAAAATATACTGTGCAAACTCACTTTGTGTGTCAAAAAGGCAAAAAAAAGGCTTATTACCACTACACTTGGTACAAGCTAGCGGAAAAATTATCCCACTCTAACATTCAAAATATGCCTTTTGAAATACCCTGGGATGTGTTCTTTAAGAAATGGTATGCCTTTATGGTGTAGATGTAATATGTAGCCTGCTCAAGTGCTCCAAAGTGGGACACGGACGCATCAAAACCCTCCATGAAAATTCACACTTAAAAACCTTAACTTGTCACGTCTCTTTTACAGCAGTTTAACTTCACAAAACAGTGTCTAGGTCATACATTGGGCATATTGTTTTACTCAGAAGACTTAGCTGAGCATAATTTGGGGGGTTTGAACTTAGTGGCACATATGAAGTGTACAAAATGCCCAGCAAAAATGTAATCAGTTTGTAAAAAATGCCCCAAATTATTTTTTACTGCATACTTTGGCATATATTGGTGAAAAAATGGGGGCATGTTAAGGCACAATATGCACTATATGAGATACAATGGAGTGTCTACTTTTACAAATGGTAGGCCTTTGTGTTTTGTTTTTTGAAGCATAGGCCCATTAAATCCGCCTCTCAAAATTCTACTGTAAATGTTGAAATGGACAGGTCTCCTATATGGCACTGTAGCTTCACGAAATAGTGCCAAAGACATACAATGGGGGTATCGTACTCAGTAGTAACTGAACACAAAATAAAACTTTGTACAGGAATAGCACACACCAACTTTACAAAATACACATGAGAAGTTCTTTGTTATAAGTTTGTGTGCCAAAAACCCACAAAAACTAAATTTTACTCCAATATTTAGCAGAGATTGGCGGTGAAATGGCTACGTAGAAAGTGTCAAAACAACCTTAGGACAATAGCCTGAGATGTCTACTTTATATAAATCAGGGCCGGACTGGGAAGAAAATTCGGCCCGGGCATTTTTTAATTACAGCGCCCCACTAAAAAAGGGGCGGGGCCAGACGGGGTGTATTTTGTCATCACCAATGACAAGCACACCCCATCACAAAGTGAGCATGTTGGTTCAATGCTTTTCCAGGGTAGATCATGCGCAGAGCTCTGCTGAAGAGCTCTAGCATGAGAAAAAGACCCTGTATTTGTTCTGCACAGTGCAAGCGAATTTAATAACATGCTTACACTGTGTCTGATTGAAATTTGTCTCTGGTGTCTCCATAGATGGGATACCAGGAGACAAAAATGCTAGGAAAGCATATTGTGCAGTGTGTGTGTAAGGGGTGTAGTGTGTATATGTGCGATGGGTGTGAGGAAGCTGTGTGTGAGGGTGCTGTGAGTGTCAGAGGTACAGTGTGTGTGAGTGATGGTGCTGTGAGTGTCAGGGGTGCAGTTTGTGTGTGTGGGCGCTGTCAGTGTCAGGGGTGCAGTTTGTGTGTGTGGGCTGCTGTGTCAGGGATGCAGTGTGTGTGTGTGGATGCTGTCAGTGTCAGGGGTGCAGTGTGTGTGTGTGTGTGGAGTGAGGGTGCTGTGAGTGTCAGGGGTGCAGTGTGTGTGTGTGCTGTCAGTGTCTGTCAGTGTCAGGGGTGCAGTGTGTGTGTGTGTGTGGGTGCTGTCAGTTTCAGGGGTGCAGTGTGTGTGAGTGAGGGTGCTGTGAGTGTCAGGGGTGCAGTGTGTGTGGGTGCTGTCAGTGTCAGGGGTGCAGTGTGTGCGTGTGAGTGAGGGTGCTGTGAGTGTCAGGGTTGTAGTGTGTGCGAGTGAGGGTGCTGTGAGTGTCAGGGTTGCAGTGTGTGTGAGTGAGGGTGCTGTGAGTGTTAGGGGTGCAGTGTGAGTGAGGGTGCTGTGAGTGTCAGGGATGCAGTGTGAGTGAGGGTGCTGTGAGTGTCAGGGGTGCAGTGTGAGTGAGGGTGCTGAGAGTATCAGGGGTGCAGTGTGAGTGAGGGTGCTGAGGGTGTCAGGGGTGCAGTGTGAGTGAGGGTGCTGAGAGTGTCAGGGGTGCTGTGAGTGTCAGGGGTGTCTGTGAGGCTGATGTGACTTGTGTGATTTTATCTCCCTCCCTGCTTATCTTTAGCCTGGGAGGGGGGATCCTGCTGCCGCCATCCATCCCTGGTGGTCTTAGTGGTGAGTGAACTCTAGCTTTTCGGGCTAGAGTTCACTCCCGCGAGACCCGGAGCATTCCATGGCATTGCTCCGAATCTCTCGAGAGGAACCCGGCGGAGCTGTAAGTTAGAGCTCCTCCGGGTTCCTCTGCTGGCAGGCCGGCCGGCTCCCTCCCTCTCTCCCCCGGCGGCCGCAGTATATCTTTGATCTCCCCACCGGCCCGCCATGGACTACTGCAGGGCCGGCGCTCGGATAGCGTTGGCCCTGCAGGGGCTGGCAGGGGAGATCCTGTGATCTCCCTGCCGGCCTTGGCCCATGGCCACCACGGCCCACAGGGCATTTGCCCGGTGTGCCAGATGGCCAGTCCGGGCCTGATATAAATACATACTTTTGTGTGGCAATTTTGTTTTCTTTTATGGCTATTAAGCTTACAAGACAAACATACCAAATTCTAAAATCGCTCCACATTAAAAGTTTATTTTACTCCTTGTGCTTTGTGACCTGTAACTACCAAAAAAAACTTAAAATCCCAGACACATTATATATTCTGTAAATCATAACAACTAAATGAATTTATTTTTAATTACTTTCTTTAGCCTGCACATCAAATGAAAGCCTTTCTGTCCTTTAAAAAACAGTATATAATGTGTGTCGGTGCAATAAACGAGAGAGATGCAAATTGCAGTTGAACGCATACAGCAAGAAAATGCAAAAATTGCTTGTGTCATTAAGTGTAAGACAAGCTTCTGTAGCTGTGTCCTTAAAGGGACACTGTAGGCACTGTATCTGCTTCATCTCATTAAACTGGTTATAGTGTCTGGAGTCTTCTGGTCCCATCATTTCTATCAGCATTAAACAGTTTTTAAAGTTTTAATGTTTTAATGCTAAACAAGAGTCCCCGGCAATCCATCCCCTCTGCGCTGCTTTGGCTAATAAGGAAGTATTAGCCTGAGCAGAAATGGGCAGCTGTGATTGGCTGAGAGTGTCAGCTGACTGCTTTTAGCCTGTCAGAGTTCCAACTGACGGTATGAGTGGGTATGACAACAAGGAAGTGTGTAATCTCTGCCTTAGCTACACATACTGAAGGGGCCGGACAGTGGGTGGCCAGGGACTCTTATTTTGTGGCATACTGTACGAACATGGTACAACACTGAATGGAGGGACAGTGCCAGGGTACTCCAGGCACTATAACCAATTCAAAGAGATGAAATGCTTATAGTGACTACAGTGTTCCTTTAAGGGGTTAAGCATTAAAAAAATTTTAAAAAAATAACAGGAGTTACAGGTGATTTTAATTATTTTGTTCAATGGTGTAAAAAGTGACAGTTACCCCTTAACGTCTGAAATTCTTTGATGTGTATACACTGGCACAGTATAACATGAAACAAATCCATATATTTCGCCACGTCCTAGTTGAAAACTGGATCACCTTTACATCGCAAAGTAAACAAGGCAGACAAATGAATTCCTTAATTATACATAAAGGCTGTGAATGAATAACAGTGCTCATGCATAAACAGTAGACAGTGCCAAGTAATAGGTTATTGGAGACCCTTACACAACCTGTAATAGTTATTTCCTATGATGCAAGAGGAACATGAAAGTTTATCACTTTGAGTATTACTGGCTTTCTACTTATGAAGCAAGAGTGCCACCACACTATGGCATTATGAATACAAACCTGGGTTATTATTATTAATATTAAGTTTGACAATGGTGTTCTCCTCTGCATTTAGTTAAAGGCCCCCAAATCTAAAACAAAAATTAAAAAAATATGGTTTTACTCACCTCTTTATACAGCGCTTGGTAGTCCCTTTAGCCGCTTGATCTGCATCCTGCAGTGTCATGCCGACACTTTTATCTCTTTTGTCCAATCCAATGCCCCTTATAGTACAGCATTGGGGATGAAAAGCACAATCGAGAAGTGCATTCAATGAGGAGACCTCTAAATGGGTGCTGGTGACAGCTAACAGTCTCAAACTATCACTAGCTTCCCATTGATAAAATGTCATGAGAAAGGTACGAATGAAAAATGTGTCCAGAGTGCAATAAAACATCATGCATCTTTGCGGATACATGTAAACTTACAGAGACTGGATTTGGCAGCTGATCAACAGGAGGTATGTGCTGTTAGTATTGGCACATACTTTAAAGTTTATCCAATATGCAGCTGATAGCTGCTGTCAACTGGTAAGAGTCTCACACTGCTTTACTAGTTAAAGATCCATTTTTCCCCCAGCAATTAATTTAGCACACAAAAAAAACAAACCCTGCATATTCAAGTGCTAGCGTATGAAAAGTGCACTTTCCCCTACTTCTAGGGTTAATATTTGTAGCAGCTTCCGCTTCTACTTAATTAACACTGCCTGGCCCTATTAAGCCTGCTGAGAATTTCTCACTACTGCTGCTGATTACAAACACAGAGAGAGTGTAAAAGTGTGCCTGAGTAGTAAGAAAAACTTTGTGCTGTCTAATTGTTGTTTTGTGACTAGGAACCAGCTTAGTTAGTTAGTACTGTTAGAAAGGAAATACCTCTGTTTACTTAGTCTTCTAGAAAGAGTAGGCTTTTATTTGCTTTTGGTTTGATTTCTGTCTTAAGAGGAAAGAGTATCCTGAATGTATCCTGAATGTTAAAAACTGTTGGTTTTGTAAATAAACATATTGAAAAAGCATTGGAGTGGCTGTTCCTGCTGTAGCTTTATTACAATATATATATATATATACACACACACACACACACATATCACATGTATACACACATATATATATGGCTGTATGTATATTTTGAAGGAACAAAATGTTGTACTGAAAAAGTGAACTAACATTCTTAGTAACCTCTCTATTTATCATTGTTACCAAGCTCCCGGTCCCTTTAAATACCTCCCATGTATTTACATTTGTTAAGGACTCTGACAAAGTCATTGTAGGAGCTGGAATAAAACCTTTATTTTCGGTACTAGGTGGCGGTTTAGAGATGCATGGCTCTCCTAGGTTAAGATCACTAATTTCCAATTACACACAAAAGTGTTTTGTTTTTTATTTGAAGTTTATTGGAGTTTGTTCACCAAATATCATCTTAATCAGAATATGAGTGAAGTGTAACAATAAACAGGCACATGTAGATCAAACATAGCATCATAGAGGAAATTATAACATAAAAACAGAAAAGATACAATATATGTAAATTTACACTTATATGGAGCAACTAGTATGAACTAAACTAGGCTTAGGCTAGTGATAAATATTAAGCCCATCTGAGGTGTTTGGAGACTATCATAGCATTAAGAACTGTGTTAGAAAGCGTGTTCTGTTGCATTCTGAACAATATTACAAGCCTCTGTGTCCACTACTACATGGAGCTATAGTAGCTTCTCTAGATTTATAGGGTTTACTGGGTGTTGCCATGGTTGTGGTTTATTTCTTGAACTGCAACCGATGGACAAAGGGCCACTCTGTTTAGTTTTGGTCTGCAAAGTTCCCTCTAAAGGCTCCCCCCTTTATGCCCATTGAGGCAACCAGTCTTCGTGTGAAGGGCAGCAACTCCTCACCCCCACCTGGCGGATGTTTCTTTTTCTGTGCCTGGATTCCAACACAGCAACTGCTCTATTGAGTTTCACAACTTGGTGTCTGAGCTCTTCTACTTGACACTTGGTCTCCAGTAACTGGTTGTCTCTGGCTTCCTCTCTGGTTTCAACCTCAGCAAGCTTTTTGTGGATTACTCCTATTTCAGCCTGTGTCTCCTGCAAGTCAGCTTTCCACACCTTCCTCAGCTCCTACAGCAATCTCTTGATGTCCCCTTTTGTGGAGGGGGAGGACTCTTCCTCTCTGTAGTCACCTCCTGAGCCCGTCGAGGCAGTGGAGTCTGCGTCTATTTGTGACTCTTCTGAGGCCTCAGTCTTGATTGGTGCCTCAGGCGCCATCTTGGTATTCGTTCCGCTGGTCTCTTAAAAGAGAGTCTAATATCTGACATGCTGAAGCTTTCTGGGCGGCGAAGTTTCTTGTGCAAGCGCCCCATAATGTCATCTGGGGGGTGGTGAAGAAAGGCAAGGTGAATAATGCCGGTAATCTCTGTAAAATTAGATTTACAGCATGGCTATGTAGGAGCTCCCCTGTAGCACAACTGTTTCAGCTCTTGTTGGCCACGACCCCCCAAAAGTTGTTTTTATTTTTTAAACGAAAACAATTAAAAACAGGTGAAGAGAAACTAAATAGAAATCTACAATACAAACAACTTCAGTAGGCATATAAAGAGGTCATGCCGAATAATCACACCGTACAAATGTCTACTATAAAGAGAAATGTGATAGTGGATGTAGTCATATATTACAGATATTGTGAACATCTGCTGGTAAAGCAAGTAAAAAAGCCACTGGAGAATAGATTAGCAATGTGCTGTAAATATCCGATACGGTCAGGTATTATTTAAAAGTTGCCTTTTATTTAGATTCTAATACTTAAACTAGCCCTAATTAGGATATATTTGTGAAATATTAAATTTTCCATTGACTCTACACTACCATGAGGATCTGCGGTATAATTGTTAGTACAAATGATTTCATATTTTGAATACATTTTGAAAATTAAATATATATATATATATATATATATATATATATATATATATATATATAAAACAATTAAATTTTTTGATATTGTAACATTTTTGAAAAATAAATATTTTAAAGGTTTATCCAAAAATATCAAATTGAGGCCTAATTTAGAGGGGAAGGTACAACCTATAATAGTTAATGAGTGGAGCAAGAGGTGAGCATTCTAAATCATTACAGTGTTTTGTTACAAATGTTCTTGGCTGTTGTAAGAGCAGATTAATTAAATCTTCAGTATCTGTTCTCATTTGGCAATCACACTGGCATTCATAAAGAGATTTAGTCTAAACATTGGGATCAGTTCAAAATCACAGCAGGGAATGCTGAGTGTTGCAGTTATCTTCACAGCAACAAAATGTGAGACTTAACGAGTGAGGTAAATATATGATAGATGTAAAATGTATATCGTGCTACTGAGCAGTATTGCACAAACTTAAACTTACATAAAAATAACTAGATGGTGATTTGTGATAAGTTGAAATAAAGTTAAAGAAAAAAAAACTGGACTAAACTAGCTAGCATAAAATATGATGTCCAACTCGACTGCTTTGTATATTTATTTTGGTTATAAGCTATCTTGGTTTTTGTTGTGCATACTAAACGTGAGATCTTTACAACTCACAGTTAAATGAATACATCTACGTAGTGTTTTAGATCTAAATAACACTTGCCCCAAAATTGCAGGTGCTGTGTACTGTACTAAGTATTGTTCATAAGGCTCACCTCTTTAGTTACAGATGCAATAGCCGATGCATCATTGCAATACTTCAAAGCTTTAGTTTTCTGTCCCAGATCTCTGTAACACTGAGGGAGACATACACAGAAAGGATGAGTAAAGAGCAAAACTATACAAACCGCAGACTTAGAGTATGCTATATTTATGGGAAATAATCAGATAAAAAAAAATGTTCTTGTTACCTTTGCCAAGAACACATAGTTGTACTTCGAGTACCCAGGATGCATTTCTTCAGCCTTGGAAATAATGGGAAGACGATTACAACAATAAATTACAGCGGAAACAAAGAAATTAAAGTATTATTGGCATGAAATGCTGAGACAGAGATGGGAAAGAGCCAGAGGTTTTTCATAGGGAGGTAAGCAATTTAAAAAAGGAGATCTGGAAGGACTAACAAATATGAGATTGCTTTCCTTTGATTTTTCAGCCCATAATTTAATATGCTGTATCAGCCAGTTGTCTGGATCAGCATTTAAGGGAAATGTAGGTTGCATGTTAATGGTTACTGAACTACACAAAAAATGTAGCCTACTCATTGTTACCAGAAGAATATATAGAATAGGGGTGCCCAATAGCTACTGGTCAACTGCCTTGATCAGTTGCGTAGAAAGTGATCAGACTTCTTCATTAAATTTTAAATATTGCCACGTTACATCCTGGACTCGTGAATGCTGTTGTTAACTAATATAATAAGGGGTAAGGCTTATATCATAACCCTGCCCCCTTAACACAGGGTACTATCTACAATCTGGACAAGGGAAGTGGCTAAACATTAGAGAGTGCTCATCCCTGCAGGCCACAGCAGAAGCCTACTGTATGCAGACAAACACAAAATGGGGATGGAGGAGGGTAGAAGAAAGGGCACACATATAGGGTGAGACAGACATAGGGATGACAAGTGGAGGCTGGATGTAGAAAGAGAGCAAAATGTGCATGGAGTAGAGACTTAGCATCACAAGTGTAACCTACAACCCAACACACAAAGTGAAAATCCACCAGTAGAAACAGAGACAGATAGAAGGTCCCTAAACCGGTCCTTAGAATGGCCAGATAATAGAATAAAATTCATAGAACGTCAGAATAAACCAAGGTTAAGGGAAGTCAGAAACACACATATATGAGAGACAAAGCCAAGAAATACATAATTACGAGAAACAAAGCTGAGTCAAGGGAACCAGAAAACAGAGTAGTCGAGAGCAAGCCATCTTAACACCAAAATTATACAAAACAGACAAAAGAACGCACTATTGGGACACTAGTAACATTAGGAACCACAATAGGGAACCGTGCCTTGGGAAAATAAGGTTTTATACATTTGAGGGCGTTGTTAGCATAGCCCTGCCCCAAAACATGAATGTTTGTTGAGCTCTAGTGTTTTGAACTCAAACGACATCATGACACCGACTGGTGAGCCCCCCAGTGGCCGGCGTCCAGGAGGCTGTCTGAGACAGCAGTCAAAGTGGGAGCGGTAGTCCGCGGACTGCCAAGGTAAGTACGCGAGTGGTTACAACAAGTATGAGTGGGATAGAGAATGAGGAAAGGGGAGTGAGGGTCGGAAATAGAGGTGAGGTGAAGAAATAGGATCAGAAGTTAGCGTGGCATTGAGACAGAAGGTCACCAGTGGGGGTTGCAAGACTGACATGTTTCCTACCAAAATGAAATAGTAGGAAAAGGTAGCTCCATATTACTGGTTGTTAGAGTGGCTGGCTTTAATGCTATCAAGGAAAGGGAACCCATAGACCGTAGCAAGTCTAAAATCTGGCATATGGGGATAGAACAATGCTAATAAACTATCCTAGTTCAAGATAATAAAAAACAGTCTACAAATAGCCAAATCAAATCAAAACTAGACAGTAGTCATGTTATATCATGATCGTACAGTAGCAGAAACAACAAAATACAGAGGCTGATACAAAGGCTTTTAGAATTGTCTTGTCTATAAATTAATGTATTCAAACTAATTGATCAGGAAAATAATTTATTTCCCGAATAAATAGATTCAAAGAATTTAGATTTGGACAATCGATTCGCTCATGACAAACAAATTTTTGCACAAGTCTAGTTTATATAGCATTAGCAAATTAAGTTATCAACTGGGATCATTTTGATGATGCCAGAAGGTGCTTGTAGGATGACACATATTTGACACACAGTTCAGTGGCGGCAAAGTTTGGACATCAACAAATGGTAAATATCTGCAGTGTCCAGTGTCAAAGTGAATAAAACACTTAGAATGCTGCAGGTTGTTGCTGAAACATGCAGATACCATTACAGTTTAATAGAGAAAGAGGGACACAAGTGGAGTGTAGGATGAAAACAGAACGACCTAAGTGAGGTGGGATTGAGAAACACACAAATAAGATCATTGATGTGATGTTTACATAGTTATTGAAATTAATAAAAATAATAGTGAAAGTTTTAACTTTTATTTACATATAAAATATGTATTAGTTTGTTAATATAGCAGGAGACAATTCAGTCTCTTCATAATTGCTGCAGATGCCAATACCGACAGCTTCATATTAAAACCTTGTACATACATGCATATACATACAGACTCCAAGCACCATGACCACTTAAAATCAGTGAGGTGGTAATGGTGCTTGGAGTAGCCCTTTAACATGTATGGACAATGACATTACAGTAATGAAATGTCATAATGGCATCAGTAATAATATAAGTCACTCAATGGCATTTAAAACAAGAAGTATAGTTCATCTTGGGGAGGGAATATTGTGACATTTAACAAAAAGGGGAAGTGATGTATTTAGTAACCGTGACAATGCTTTTTACAAAACTTAGCATATGATTCTATGATGGATAATATGACCTTACACTTTAAGAGCATTTTTTGTGATTGAGAATAGAGTTCGTATAATACGAGTTCGTATAGGTAAACCCAAATCTACCAGTGTTGGTAGAAATGTCAATACACACAGAATGCAAACGGGACTGTAATGCACCTACACTAGTTCACATATTGCATAGACAACTCCGGACTTTTGTAATTTCAAACACATAAATGCAAACAGAAAATCACATGAAGTGCATACAACTATATTTAGTGACTGGGACCTGGGTAAGAGAATAATAAATTAATCATAACGACAGTACACAAATCTAAATAGACGATAAATAGTTGAATATTTGCCTTCAGAAAATAATTCAAGGCATCTTGTACTGTTGCAGTTGGTGGATTCCCAAACAGGGTAGCAGCCACTTTTCTTTCAATCCAGGATAACCGGGAAACCTGTAATACACAGTCCCATTTGTAATTATAGTGCAACAAATCTGAAGAACAAATTGTTTTCTATTATACAATACTGTATTTATATAATACACGCACACACGCTATAATAGGAACATTTCAAAGGAAGTAAACGGGAATAATTAGTGCTTTACTATTTGGATAACTGTATGAAAAAATATGATATTCTTGTTACTCCACATTGTAAATAGGTTCATTTTGACCTATAAAAGTGCAGGTTTTCTTTGGAGTATATGTAATATGACCACCTAGTTAGTGATGTACTGTGAATTAACACTGCAGGCACCCAGGCCACTTCATGAAGTAGTCTAAGTGCAGTGCTCTTGTCGTTTTAAACCTGCAATGTAAAAAACAATGGCAATTTGTAGAAACTGTGGCGGTCTTTCTGACAAACGCTAAACACACTTTCCCTGTGACACCAGAGTCAGACTCAGTTCGCCAATCAAATGCAACTCACATAAGCATAGATTGGACGAATGCACGCATATCAAATCCCCAGTGCTTCTCTATCAGTAGTGCAGAAATTATGTCTGGATAATTTGCTTATGTTTATTTATTTGTATTTTAAATTCCATTTAATGTGGGTTAAAGTCAACTGCTTTTAAAAGGGAAACTATGGTGGAGGGCTGCGCTCCCTCCATCAGCGCTAAAAGGGTTAAAAACCCTCTTCTCACTTACCCGATTCCAGTGCTGATGTCTCTCGGTGCTGGGTCAGGCTCCACTGACTGGAGGGATCTAATGCGCATGTGGGGTGAGCGCAGCGATTGCATTAGGACTTCTCCATAGAAAAGCATTGAATCAGTGCAGCCCAAAAGTCCTCTGTGGACCCGGAAGTGCCTCTAGTGGCTGTCTGTTAGACCTCCACTAGAGATGGAGGTAACCCTGCATGGTAATTATTACAGTTTCTCAATAATTGCAATAATTACCATTCCAGGTTTAAGGGGATAGTGGCACTGTACCCAGACCACTTCAATGAGATGAAGTGGTCTGGTTGCCTATAACATCCCTTTAAACTCCGCAACCTTAAGCTGTACTTAGCTTGACAGAGCTTACTGTTTAGCTTTTTTATAGTGTATGGCAATTTTTACATTTTACTTTGGTAGATTTCTTTTCTTTATATTACTTTGCCATATAGCAACTGAGAATGTTACTGCTTTGCAGTAAATGTTAACTAATTTTAGTTTTCATTGACTGTCAGTAAAGGTAATACAACTAATCATATATTATTTTATATATTTCGCTCAAGGAATTATATATATTTTAAGTTGTAGTGCCACCTAGTGGGGTAAGCTACAGCCACAAGATCTAAATAAATATTGTTATAAGATGCTAAACAATTCAGCTATTGTAGTGGTTATGGTGCAAAGATGCTATGGGAGTTGTCCATTCATTTTGTTTTCAAACCAGTTTCATCTGGACTGGCAAAAGAGGGTCTCCCTGGCATGGAAAGCCCCAACCTTCTTTGCAGACATGATAATGAAGATGTGTTACAAATGTTGTACACATTTGCAGAATTAAGTCTCTTTGCATAATAACCATTGCAATATGCTCCATAGCAGCTTAATGTGTTTTTTCTGGTGAGTATAGCAAGTTCCTGCAGACTTCTCAATGTAAAACACTTTTCAGAGACAAGGCAATGTCTACATTGTTGCCTAGTAACACCTCCAGTGGCAGTCACTCAGACGGCAACTAGAGGTTCTTCCTGGCTGTGCAGCACTAACGTTCACAGTGTCTCCATGCTTTGCATGGAGGTGCTGAACTTTCCCCATAGAGATGCATTGAGTCAATGCATCTCTATGAGGAGATTCTGATTGGCGCAGAACGGGGTTTTGCCTAAGGGAAAGCATTGGATTAGCAGAGATTATCAAGTTTGATGATCTCAGCCAAGTGTTGGAACGTGGGTGGGGCAAGCCACGACCGGCCCCACCTGGCACTGAAAAAGGTGTGTAAAATCACATCTGGAGTGCCAAAGGTTGCCTATCTCTGACTTAAGGGAACACTCCAAGCACCATTACCACTACAGCATTCTGTAGTGATTATGGACCCAGGAATGCTCTTGCATACTCCTAGTGTCAATAGTCACATTTGAAACTTGACAACCTACTTGAAGTTTGCTTGGTGCTGGTTTCAGCCTCCCGTGGAGCCAAAAGCTCCAGCATGGAGCTTACTTTGTGAGTATGTATGTATGTATGTATGTATTTATGTAATCTATGTATCTCCAAGCTAAAAAAAAAAAAACAATCACAGAGAACCGTTTAGCACACCAACTATAAAGATCTAGCCCCTAACCTCCTATAAAAATGCATAAAACAAATGGGTAGCACTTATATTAGCTGCCACATTACACACAATTGATCACTACAAGACAGATAGAATAAGATAAAATAAAATTCACATCCACGGAATTAATAATCATTATTGGAGCACATTAGAGCATTGAACAAAGTTAATCAAAGATAACCAATAATAGAATTCTTGTATAGTTATATTAGGGCAGCACGTGAGGTATATAGAGATCAAATTGTACTTAATCCAGAGGTGAAAGGTTCCAATCTGGTATAATGACAGATCCTACTGCCAGAGTAGGTATTTACATAGTAGTAACTATGTAAATTGGCTCTCGATGGAAAAACTTTCCAATTGATGCAATACTTTTAGAAAAACTTTTAATGTAATTTATCTACAAAAATTCCGACATACATTAAAGGTGACAATCATTTGGAAAGTTTTTCTAAGAGTATTGAATCATACCTGAGACAGAGAGTTCCTGGAGGAGGTAACCATCACCCGGCGGACCACAGGTAAGTTGTCATATGATTTGCAAACCATTTGGCTACATACCCTGGGAAGTCAACAGGGCACTTCAGGCAACATAACCACTACAGTATGCTGCAGAAGTAATGGTAATCGGCATATTCCTTAACGTGACTAAACTGAATGTAAGGGGCAGAAAACTTCTGCAGACACCATAGTCCTGAAATTGCATACATGAACTGTTATATGCAGAATCAAGTACCCTGAAAAATGTAATTGATGGTTTTTACTATATTTAAGAGTTTGATTCATTTTACGTGCAGCATGTAAAGTATTTAAGCAGATACCTTGGTATACAACCAGCGCAAAGGTTTATACATGTACACCTGGATTGCGAACATACAGAATCACCTTGCTACATCATGTAAAAGCTTGAAAAGGAGATACGATATATGTTAGAGGGTATCTCACAGAATCTGGGAAGTACCCTACTTCTTCGTAGATATGGATGAAAAAAATTGTTAAGGAGTAAACTACTAGAGAAGCTTTCTGTTGGGGTAACCTAAAATCCAAGAATGATATAACCGACGGTTACGAATGTTTTAGCAAGACACTTTTTTTTGTTTTAACAAACCACTATTTTTAGACTGAAAAAGGTTAGAAATATTTAAATAATATCTTGGTCTAGACTTATTATTTAAAAGTCAAGCTCTGCAAAGACAAACTAAAAAAAATACAATTACTTAACATGTTAAAATAATATTTTCAAGACATGTCATTCTTCAAGATTAAGATCTAATACATTAACCCAGTGGGGTTCCACTGATGATTTCCTAGATTATCCAAGACCATACAACTCCTACTTTGATTGGCCACACCATAGAAAGGTCATTCTGGGACATCAGTTTGGAGACTTTTGATTAATACATACTGAAGGATATTAAACATACACAAACAAAAGTAGCTAAACATTAAGGGAATATTAAAGTACTGAGTACATAATTACAGGAAGATTTGTGCTAATGATCTCCGTTTTATTATCCTGATGATTCACTGCTGAAGAGGAAATTCATCAAATGCAAGTAGTGTGTGTATGAGTCAAGTAGCATGTAGGTGTCAGGGTGTGAGACAGGCTGATCTTTTTTCCTCTTTATATTAAACATTGGCATCTGTTTTAGTACCTCTCACAAACCCTCCTGTCCTTCTGAATTATTCACTGGGGATTTCATTAGTCATAAGGAAAGAACTACCTAATTCCCTATCATGGATAGATAACTCTTTCCAATGTCACCTTCCAAATTTAGAATGTGTGTATAGACGTCTTTTATTCTGAAAAAAGTAACAAGTTAAAAAAAAAAGAGAGAAGAAATACTAAAAGAAAAAGAAAATAGGAGTTTAGCAAGACTTTACATGTCGCCTATTCAAATATGATGACTATTTTCACAGATCCTACATGTTTTGAGATAATCTAGTGAAAGGTGAATACAAAATAAAAAGCTAAACACAGAGATTGATCAAAACTATAGTGCTTATTACAAGAGTTCCCCCGCTGTTCGGTTAGAATACTTAACAGCACATTAATGTAAGGGTAAAATGCAATAATGTAAAAAATAAATTGTGGCTCTTTGTCACACACAAAACAAGAAACATGCGTGAAAAACTCTGAAGGATTTATGCATACATATTATATATTCTAGTAAACACAATGTCTTCATTCATAAGAAAAAGTGTATGTAATCTATAAGAAACCATGAATGACTTACCTCATAGCACCATCTACCCAGCAGGTAGTACTGGAGAGGATCATGTGGATTTAATTCTATTGCTTTATCTAGATGTTCCTGAAAAATGATTAAACCTTTACATCAATCAAACCTTTATAAAACTTTAGTTTGTAAATTAATGCTTGTGTTACTATGACAAGCACTCTATATCTTTCAGTATAACCTATCCTTTTTAAAATATTGTACAGAATATCATTAAAAATAGGAAAATAAACATTGTGCGTTGATGAAAGGACTTTTATGTACGTAATACCCGGTTTGATCATTACATTTGTTGATTTGATGCATTGTTTAATCTTGGGCCTTACATGTGTAGAACATAAAGGATAATGTTTGATTGTATTTAGTTTTGTAACTATCCTACATAGATATATATATTTCAACATGCATTATAGTTAATAAGGAGACAGGAGTCTACCAATATTTGGGTCTCACATTTTCTACTGGTATTGTTGATGTAGGTATCAAATACATGACTGGCAGAGGTTTATTTAGCCTAGATAAGGGTAACTTAAATAGGTAGTCATGGTATTAGTCCTGTGAGAAGGGAAGCCTGTTTTTGAGGTTGAGCTGCTTTTTCTACTCATTGGTAATGTTGACTTGGATGTTGTGGCCAGTCTGCAAAGATTAGTGAAACCTTCCTATGCCAGAGGCTTTCTTCATCCTATAATAAATGGGACATTAGGTCAAGGGATCCCAAAATCTGCCTCCACTCATGTCTTGGCACTTGTATTTTACAATTCAAAAGAATAGGGTAAGATGGATTTGTAAAACACTAGGTGGCTCATTCACCAAACATTAGATTGCAGTGAGATGACAGACTTGAAATATTTGGGGGGGAGGGGAGGGGAAATGGCAGACTTGGGATTACTGCAATGTCACAATCACAAACAATTATTTAAAAGAACACTATAGCGTTAGGAATACAATCCCTATAGTGTCCTTTTTCTGCCTCCAGGTGTATAAAACGTACCTGTTTCCAGCATGGAGATCCCTTGGCTCTTTTGACGTCCCTTGGCTCTTGTGACGTCACGCTAACTCCGTAAGAATGCAGGAACTGGCTCTAGTGGCTGTCTGGAAGACAGCCACAAGATGCTGTCTTAACCCAGCAATCTTGCAGGGTTAGGAGAACAAGGGCATTTCACCCAGACCACTTTAATGAGATGAAGTTGTCTGAGTGCCTATAGTGTCACTTTAATACATGGATTTTAAATTAATAAACTTGGAGATATTAAAGTGCACGAAGTGTTATATAAATAGACATATAGGGATATGAGCACGTTTGGTTATTATTTTTGTTATTCTGTTTTATGATCTTGGCTTTTTCTGACTATCCGTATTTCTGGTATCCATGACCCTTTGTCTTCTCTTTTATGCTCCTGTCTGTGTCCCGAACTTCGGCTTGTTTCTGATTATTCTTTCTACGGTAGATCCTACCATTCTAAGGCCCGGTAATACGTTTATTACTTTTAGTCTATTCTACGTTTAGACTTAATCCTGAGTGTTGGACCACAGCCCCATCCGGACAATAGCAAGATAGATGCTATATAATTTTACATTAATTATTTCTAACTAAATGCCAAAACTGGTAAAACAAGAAAGAAAAAGTAGCAGCAAAAGAAAAATATTTTCTTTCTATATTATCACTAATAACTTACCTTGAAGAGATAGCCATTCTTTATTTTATTCTGCACATTATCATACTCAGACATGTATCCACACATGATAGCAAACCTGTAAATACATATATGAAAACAGCCTCAATTTTAGAAATAAATGTAGATTTACCAGTAAAAAATCACAAATCATTCAAGTGTGTTTTCATAACACGTTTTATATTATTCTCTGCATTTTGTGAATATAGGTCTCAATACAGTTTGACTTTTAATATTAGCAGCTATAAGCTCACAACCTCTGCACAGGAAGAAATTAAGCTAAAAGTTTATATATGACTTGTGAATACATGTGTTCTCAATAGTCCTGATTGTCGTCCTTGTAGAATTATGTAGGATTAAAAGTAAATATAGCTAGTAAATCTGATTGTGCAGCAGTTTTATCCATGTCTTCATGAATTAATCTGCAGCAAAATGTTAAACTATAGAATAAAAGTTATAGGTCGCGTCACAGAAACCAATAAAAGATATAATAAAATCAGAAATAAACAACAGAAATAAAATTATGAGGATAATCACACCGCAATTTTTTTTTAAAATGCCAGTTGATAAAGCCCAGTGTGGCGAAATGCGTTTTGGCTATTTTAAAGATTTTTATATGAACTATTAAAGGAATATTGGCTATTATTTTATTTGTGCCATATAACTTTTATCTTACTTTACTTTTTAGACTTTTTTTTAATTTCATTTTTTATTTATTTTAACATGGTCATTCATCACATCAGATAACTCACACACTCAAGAATTCCAGGTGGGGATTATACCACCTACGCTATTATAGTGAGCAGTAGATCCTGCTCACTCAAATGTGAGTATTCTATGTTTCTATACCTACCTGCCTTAACTATATTTGGTTCTATTTCTCTCCCCATACTGAGGACCTCCTCTGTTTGTCAACACCTATATCCTACCAGTGGGGGATCGACGCCACTGAACGCCAGTCATACCTGAGCTAGTTCTAGCTTTCCAATAGGTGAGTTTGAATACCTTCCTGCTGTGAAGTTTTTCTTTCCACATGACTTTCGGTTGCAGTCTGCACTATTGGAATTTTCCTATTTTCACATATCTACATCTGGATCAAGAGAACCTGACCACTTCCAGCTCTAAACCTGCATAGACCTACACTACACTGAAGTTCCCGCAAGTGGACTTGGCCTTTTATAGGCCCACTGTTATTGGGACAATTATTTATCTTACCTTATTTTGATATATGTAAGTACAAAACTGTATATCACCTACTCTATAGTCCATTGCGGTGTGATTATGCTCATCATTTTATTTCTGTTATTTATTTCAGGTTTTATTATATCTTTTATTGGTTTCTGTGGCGCGACCTATAACTTTTATTCTCTAGATTTATCCTTTTTGACGACTTTGGGAGGGAACGTCATATTTTTAGGTTGCAGCCTCTTCTACATTTATTTTTAGCTTTCTATTGACCACCAAGCGCTGAACCCACTACCGTTTGTCCATTCCAAATGTTAAACTATGTATTCCATACAATCATAGACAGAGGGTTATGGGATATGCTCAGGGCTTGGAATGTAAGTAACATAGGCCAGAACTGGCTCAGTAGTTTTAGCAACTCACTATTTCCCGGAGAGCTTACGGCAAAAGTTGCAAATTTACATGAAGTTCAATACTAAAGGTAGGGCCCTGTAGTAATATAATCAACCCATAATATGCCTCATACATGCAAACAATACAGCCTTTTGTTTTTATTCAGTACATTGCACTGTAAAGGCCACCAGTGATGCAAACAGTATTTCACAAATGATAGGGTATGGTAAATGTATTACTTTACATAATAACTGTGATTGTAGTCACCATCATGGGGCATATGTCCATCACTTCATGTAGGTCCCCAGATATCTGTTATGTTTAAGTCAACATGTGCCCAGTGGTGTATCTGCCCTAGGCAGGACAAAACTCAGGCACCCCCTTCCCCCCGCGCCACCCCCACCCAACCCTTCTCCCCGCCCCACCTTCTAAATACACACACAGACACACATACACAGTCAGACACACACACACACACACACACACACACACAGAGTCAGACACAAACACACACAGTCACACACAGTCACACACACACACACACAATCACGTTAAAAAATTTTTTAATTTAACCCCCCTTTACCCCCCTTGGGAGTGCTGGGGGGGGGGATGTTCCTCTTTCTCCGTGGTGGTCCAGTGGCTGCCGGTCGGGCTGATGGGCTGGCGGCTGGCGAGGGAGCACTTCCTCTGAGCTGACTGCTCAGCTCCCTTCGCGTGCCGCAGAGTTAAGCTGGGAGCCGGAATATGACGTCATCAACCCGGCTCCCAGCCTCACTCTGCGGCGCGCGAGGGAGCTGAGCATAGCGCTCAGAGGAAGAGCTCCCTCGCCAGCCGCCCGCCCATCAGCCAGCGCCGCCCAGCATGTCTGTTAGCCGCGAGGCTAACTAGGCATTTGCCCTGGGCATTTGGGGGCGGCGTTTTTTGCCGCCCCCTGAAAAATGCCGCCCAAGGCAAATGCCTTGTTTGCCTCGCGGCTAATACGTCCCTGCATATGCCCATTATATGTGCAGGATGTGTTTTGTAATGTTATTTGCAGAATGTCTTGTATAATCATGTTGGATTTGTGCAGTGCTACCTGTGGCACGTAATTGAGACTGCAACACTTATATGCAGCGCCATCTGTTGGTTGCGACAATTACGTGCATTAACTGAATAGAAGGACTCATTAATTTGCTGTTGCATTTCACCACATGCTTAAGGATTGTGTGGCTGTTCTGTTGTGAACCATGTATACCTTCTCAGGGCCGGCACGTCCATAAGGTGGCACAGGCAGCCGCCTTGTGGCGCACCGGCCCGGGAGGCACTAGATTAGAGTGACCAGCAGCAAAGAAGCACACAGCGCTCCTTCCTACCAGTCACTCTGTGTAGCATGGCTGAGCGAAGCACACCACGGTACAGGAGCTTCTTTTTCCTGTACCTGGCTGCACTGACAGAAGTGGTCCAGAAGTGCTCACTGAGAGAGCACTTCCCGTCAGTCTGGCCGGGTACATGAATCAGAAGCTCCTTTACCGCGCTCCGCGACAAGAGATACCAGGGAGGAAAGGGAGCAGACCACTAAGGGGGGGTAAAGAGAGGAACACTAAGGGATGGGGGGATGGGGCAGGCACTAAGGGACACACCTAAATTAATCTACCTTTAAATATTCCAGTAAAAACCCACAAGAACAAGTTTGTAGTACTGAAAGCTCTAAAATAACATTATATAACACCCACACATACATATTTGTAAACTAGAGGTTATTTTTCTGTGGAATTTAGCATCCAATCAACTATATTTAGGAGCCAACATAGTCAAGCACGAGGCACAACTATAATATTCTATATAAAATCCAGTTCGTGGTAACATTTTTTAAGAACCACTACTGAAACTGGGATTTGTCAAAATCTGCATTTCCATTGTTATTCTTTTCTTTCATGCCAGTTGGAGAAGGATTTCCCTACGTAGTCTAATTCACTGATACCTTACATGAGTCCCAACTCATGTTACAAATGTAACATTTTAAAAGCCATGACGTTCTCTCTAGTCACTACTGATAGTTTAAGCCAGGGGTAGTCAACCTGGTCACTACCGCTTAGTAGTGGGCGGTTTGGGATTTTAGGTGGGCGGTGGTGGGTTCTACAGAAAATGCCCAGTGCGCCTTGATGACCGTGGTCCATACAGACCATACAGAGCCAGCCTTGCTGTAAGTCCTCTCAGGCTGGTGAGGAGATCTTCCTCTTTTACCAACCTGCTGGCACTTAGTTCCAGCAGAAGGGGGGAAGGGCCTGGGAGGCTCTTTGTTCCTCCCACAAGCAGGCTGGTCAGAGCATTGCCGCATGTTACCATGGCAGGCGGACAGGAGAGTCAGCTGTAGCCGGAGGACATGCAGGCTAAAGTGAACATGCCACCACAGGACCACCAGGGCTCGCAGCAATATGTCCCCCCTCCCTGGTAAAATGTAAGAAGAAGGGAGAGGCATTAAGATAGATTTTCACATCTCACCCACCTACACACAACATAGGTCCTATGCACACACAAACACACACTACACCCCTCACACATACACACACAGACTGCCTGACTCAAACACACTCACACGCATTCCACCCCTTACACATGCACTGCCCTCTCACACGCACAACAACCCTTCACACACGCACACAGCACATATACACACACACTTCACCCACACACTGCACCCCTCACCACAGCACCCTTCACACACACACAGAAAAAAAAAGTAGAATAGAAAAAAAAAAATTAATTTTAGTACATTGAAAAAAAACAAACCCTCCTTTCTAAAACAAAAATATCGCACTTGCACTTTACAATTAGTTACTGCGGCACGGTGGGCGGTAAGGATATTTTACCATCAACAAAGATACAAACGTGGGCGGTAGGTTTTAAAATGTTGACTACCCATGGTTTAAGCAATAAAATCAAAAAATATTTATATAGTATTAATATTATAAAACTATAAAAAAAAACAAGTGCAAAAGGCACTAATAAGAAACCTTATACAGTAGCAGATACAAAATATTTCAGTTAGCAGCACCTTAAAAGTGTAATAGCTCAAAAAACACCTCAAAATAACAACTCAAAAAAGGTGTGCTAATTTACATAGAGTTACTTTCTTTACAAGTATAACATTTGTATGGACCAGTGTTAATTTGAGCGACAATATTCAATTTAGTTTTAGTCATAGTCTTGACATAAAAGCCATTTTAGTCTTCTGAATTGTTTCAGTTTTATAGTCGAATAAATTTAAAATAAATTTAGTTGACTAAAATTGTTAGTCGACAAAATTAACACTGGTACGGACACTTAAAATAATAATTGCAGGTTGCGGACTCTAAAGCAAGTTTGCACTTAGTCATAAAGCAACATCTTGCGTATTTGCCTGCAGCTATTTAATCCAGAGAAGGCAAAGATTTCTTCTTCGAGACACAGTGGTTCTGTTCCCATGTCTATTCATCGTGTGTCCCTGATATTAAGCTTTTCAATTCATTTACCCCCTGAGAACTAGGCAAAGGCCATTCTCTTGCAACACAAAGCGGTCTTCAGAGTGATCTGCACTTTCCCACTGTGCTTGTAATGCTTACTCCATTTAACTTTGAAAGGTGTTGTAAATTCAGGATCTCACAATGAAATAAAAAGTTAATTCTTGGTATAAAACTTTTTTTTTTTTCTTGTTTGGGAAAGGGGGGTGGTGATGGTGGATGTTTCACAATATACGAAGGAAAAGTTAATGGGGAGAGCTAATGTGAGCAAAACTAATTACTTGCCCACAATTAATCTGCCAATGAAAGGAAATCTCACAGAGCTTCCAAAGGTAAACAGGGTGGTTGTTGGACTTGCGTGAGTCTTGGATAGATTGTCAAATACCGTGGGGATGGATGCAGACTGTGATCAAAGAGCATGGAAAAGAATCTGGCTAATCCTGCTGGTGTTCTTGTCAGCTGCAACAGTGGCGTGCAAGGACTCCTTGCAGGGAGGGGCGAAGCAGCAAGGAAGGTCAACAGAGTTCATTCAATAAAGAACAAGTTCTTCAGACTGTGCTTAGAAATAATAACGTTCAAAACATTTCCCACTCTTGGAGGAAAGGTTTTTTGTTTTCAGCAAGAAGTTACACTTAATTTACTTTTCTGAAAACATTAAACATATCCTGACACCAAATTTTCTTTTTATGTGTATCATAGTCTGGAATAACATATTTGCATCTGAAATGCAAGAGTGAAAAACATAGATTTGGAACAGCATATAGACTGAGCAGCTTGAATGCTACCACGTTGCCCAGAGTGCAAATGCCTGGTTGAATATCATCTGGACCCCAGTCCAATATAGATGGAGGGAGGGGAGAATTAAGTGTTCAGTCCAGATATCACAGGTCCATTAATGACTTCTTCCCTTTTATATTTGTTGCACCAAAATGAGAGAATGCATTTAAAATCTCCCCCATATATATCACTACTATTTAGTTAGTAATACAGAGATCAATCGAGTACAACAGGTTGTGTTTGTGGGTCAATGCTTTAACCATTTTTATTCAATGACTCACATTTTTTTTTGTTTGTTTTTTTACTCTAGCCTTCACCATCAAATAATGACGTTATAGATGGAACAGGATTATAAATAAATAATCTTTCTGAAAATACCAATATTTCAGCCCATAAATTTTGTAATCTACTCACATTGTCCCCATTCACTGTGCCCTATGTACTCATAATGGACCCATGTATTTACAGAGCCAGATTAAGATTTCCCATGGTCACAGAATGTCCCTCACACACCTTTCAATTTTAAATCCTCATTTGCCCCCTCTCCTCCTTGGTAGGAGGGGGTATAATACAAGGTGGTCTAGGGACCAGCTGGTATAATACAGAGGGAGCTGGACCCTGGTGGTCTGTTGGTAGAGCATTGTGGACAACATCTTTATCGGGTGAAGATCACTTTAACAGCTCCCTTGTTCAGTCAATGACACGGAGCGCTTGCTGCAGTTCTCGGAGTCAATGAGAAGTGCCGAGACAGTGAGGGAGCTGTTAAAGTGATGTACTACAGACCACAACATTCCCCCAAGTTAGTGAGGAGGCTGATGGCAGATCAATATATCTCCCTGCCAGTTCAGAGAGGGCCCTCATAGACAGAGCTGGAGCTCCTGGCCCTTGGCAGCCGCCTTTGCCATTTTATGGGTAATCAGACTCTATGTATATTGTACGCGTTGTCATATTACCATGACATTGCACATATTAGCCTCAGTTATTAGACACACAATGTACAGTGATATACTTAAACACTACTAAGTTAGGTAAAGAGAATATAGCTGTCAACTATGCTTCCAGTTCAGCTATTTTGGCCTAAAATATGTACGTGCATCCGTGAGGGTGTCTGGAATGCATATCTTTGTAAATAAACCTGTACGTTTGTATCTCTCTGTCTGTGAATGTGTGTATGTATTGGGTATGGCTGCTTGTGGTATGTTGTATGTTTGGGGTACTACTTGTAGTCTTGCTGTGCATGTTGTGTTTATAGGAAGGCTGAATGTTGTGTGTCCAAAGCCAACTGTGGTTGTGAAGTTGACTGTATATCTGTCTTACATATTACAGCACTGAAGTTAAATATATAAAATATTTTTGTATACAAACAGACACACACAGCTTTTTTTTGCGCCATTTTCTTCTTTTCTCAAGCTTAACTTTGGAGATTGAGGGGGGCTAGTGGCCTGGCCCGGCCCGGAGAGCTATGATGCTGAGCTGGTGGACTGTATCTCCAGTGGGTGCAGATCACTGTAAATGTTCCATTTGATCTAAAGTTGTGTACAATGTAGCATGATTTTCTATATATAAGCCAAAAATTGCAGTATGGGGTAAATTATTTCTTTTGTTCTAATTTCTGCAAATTTCTAAGGTAGTCTAAGCAATAATCATTTAAATAATACATAACTAACCTTAAAACATGATATTGCCTTTAAATATGTAATTGCTGTCAAGTAATCTTTATGTATTTATCACTTGCGAAAACAGATTTTTTTTTTCTTTTTATTAACAGCAGACATATGAACTAATTAGATGTGAAGGATCATAAAGTAATATTATTTAAGTACCAGTAACTACAAAAGTGGAACATTTTTGAGAAAAACAGACTAGTTTATATGGAAAACTTTCATAGAATGATTTTAAATACCTGGTTTTAACTTTGCCTTTCTGCTATTTTTAAAAAAAACTAATATTAACCACTAATCATTGGCAAAAGTAGTAAACTTTCCTCTGTGAAATTGTCATTTTGTGTGGTGTGTAAGAATTGAATGCAATAACAGATTACATATTTTGTCTCTTCATTAAGTGGATGAAAATCAAGACAGAGCAAAAAACAAAAGCCCAAATAAAAGAGAGAAAAAAAAAAAAGAATTCACGGCTATTTTTCAAATGCTTATTTCAAATTTATTAAAATGACACAATACCTTTATGTTAATGTATATAAAACTTTGCTTTGTGGAATCTAAATGGTTCTGTGCACTTTCACCGGGGAAAACAAAGGTGCATGGAAGCACTGAAACATGTGTCAGGCATTTATATTCTTTTTTTTTTGTCACTATGGTTTCACTAATTTTCACTGTCACACTGTTGTGTTAGTTGGAACGTAAAGTTCCATTCCTCCTGGTTGCTACTGGAGAGATTGGGGTTTAGGCACTGATTGCCTTTTGTTGACAGCATAGGCAGGACTTGGCATATTCTTATAGACTGTTAAGTAGACTGTTGGTATTGCCTAGCCGCAGTAAAGGAATATTTAGAGAGCGTAATATATTAGCTATAGGAGACATGATCATGTGATATATTTAATGAGCAAAAGTACGGTCAGTTTACTATAGTAGATCTCCTTCACCTGGCAGAGTTTTGGACGCAGGGACCTATTATTAATGCCCCAAAAATATTGTATTAAAAAGAGTTGGGGTAACCCTTTAACGACCAGCTATCTCTCTTTAGTCTAATTGCCTCCTTTCCAATTTTGGTAATTTGTGAGTACTATTTAGGAGGAATGCTCTAGTGGTTTCTACCCAACACCGTGATCTATATCTAGTTCTGATGAGAAATATTAATCTATGCTTACTTTCATATTGTCGATACAGAATAGCTAAACTCTCCTTTGTACTCTGCTTTCCCAATTTGTATTTATAACAGATATACTGCCAATGAAAGAGCAGCTATTAGTTTTGCATCTCGGTATACAGTATTTTTAAATCTCTTGAGCTGCTTCTTTGGACACCAGGATGTGGTTACATTGATACATTACATTGGATCACTAGCAGACGGGATTTAGTTTAAACGTTTCTTTTTTGTTTTGTCTAAATCGCGCAGACTGCAGTTATATTTATATACAGTATCTAAAATAAGGCTTGGACTTACTGATATGAGGGTACTTTGTCAAAGAGGTTGGCTTAAAGGATACCTGTGCCTATATTTTTATTTATGCTCTTATGAAAGAGCATATACATTTCATTTATACATTGTGCTAGCAAATGAATAGACTTGGAGCAAAAACAACTTAAAATCAGGTTTTTTTTTTCTCCCAGCTGTCAGTCAAAGACTCTGCAGACACTGAATGCCAAGGCACTGACTGCCAAAGGAGAGCAGAGAAGACCTCCTACAGTTATGGAAACTTCTGAGCTGGCGCTTCTATTACCAACTAGAGAGTAAAGGAATGGAGTCACATGACATCACTCCATTCGGACGCCGGCACCCTGGAAACTAAGCCAGCATTCTGACATCATGTGTATCCAAGCAGGGCAAATGGGAGAGCAAAGGAGTGGGTTACACAAAGAGTAACACCCACACAACGTCGCTGGAATGGAGAAAAAGTGAATAAATCTCTATATTTTACAATTAATACATCATGTATCTTTGTATTATAGGATGTACTCAATGTGTAAGGGAGTATTTAAGATAGGTTTACTGTTTTTACTTCAGGTTCACTCTAAACATGATGTGGTCATATTATAGGACTAAATACCTGTACAGATTTTTACACGAGACGTGATTTTAAGTAGTTTGAACAATATTTAATAAACAGGTAGATAAAAGATAAATAGTCACAAAAAATTTTTACAGGCCCTTGCAAGCCAGGGGTGTCCATAGCACATTCACCACTGCTACATTTTCACTCACTGACTAGAGGAAATTTTGAGCCCTAATTACAACCACTGTTGACTTCACTGTACTTTATGTTTGTAGTAAAATTACAAAAAAAAAAAGCGTGTTATTTTTTTGTTTCTGTGTATTTTACTGCCTTTCATCATTTGGCCGTTCTCACAGATACCTGTACTTTATTTCGTACAATATGGAAGGCAGTCTTATCTGCAAATAGGGATGCACTTGCGTAAGAAGAACAATTTCTTTGATAAACGATATACTTGCTTACGTGATAATGTTTGAAGACAATTTTAAAGAAGATAGACATAAACCACCTAAATGATTTAATAAGCTTTGTGCAGAAACCTGCCCTTTTATGTCCTTTCTTTGTTTCACAGCACGCTGAATGCACTTAAAACATATTTATGTGTAATTGTCAGGTTTTTTGAAGATTAAATAAGGTGTGTGCATGTTGCATCTAGTTGTGTAGAAAGGCTATTACACACAGGAGCTTGCAGGAAGAGTTAAACTGTGGGAACTTGCACCCCAACTAGGAATTACTGTCCATGTGACACAATATAATCTAATCATATGTGTGATGCAAAATACCAGGGAATAAAGGACCTCTGAAGGCAACCAGATCACTTCATGGTAATGAAGTGGTCTGATTGCAGAGATCCTTGAGTTCTAACCCTGCAAAGTAAAACATGTTTTTTAAAAACTGCAATTATTCCATTGCAGGGTTAAACACTCCACGGGTGGCTGCCTTCTTGACAGCTCCTATACTGAGACTCAGTTCTTAATCAACTTCTGCTCCTGTATTCCTAACGTTATAGTGTTCCTTAAGCTGCACTGTGATTAGGTAACTTTAACAAAGACTCACACTGGGATACTATAGGCATCAAAACAACTTTAACTTAATAAAGCAGGTTTGGTGTACAGATTATGGCACTGCACTCTCACTGCTATGCCATTTATGAGCAAAATCACTTGTTTCTGTTCATGCTGCCCTAGCCACACCTCCCCTGGCTATAACAGACATAGCCTGCATGAAAAAAAATGCAGTCAGATGTTAATTTACTGTAGAAGTTTTTCTCCTCTGTTTATTGAACTTTAATCACACACAGCAAAGATTCAAAAGGCAATTTTCCAATGACAACTATCTAGCACCATACCCACTATAGTTGTTATTATACTTTATTTATTTATGCTAACACATCCTGCGGTGCTGTACATCTAAGACAAATAAAAATTTGACAAACAATACAGGAGAAGCTGAGGACCCTATTCTCGTGAGAACGTACAATCTAGATCAATAGGAGGGGAGAGAAACAGGAGGCAGGGACGGCAAAGATGTTAATTCAGAGTGAGATGAGGGCCTTTATTGGCTAAGTATTTGTTACTGAGTTCAGTGGTAGACTTTCTTGGACAAAAATGCCTTTAGAGAGCATTTAATTTAAGGCAAGCTAGTGGGAAAGTTAGACAGTGCTGGGAAGCTGTAACTGTCATTTTTCAAATTACATTACAATTTAAAATAAAATATAGAATAAAAAAAAAGTACAACAAGATGAGTACATAACATTCTGCTTATATATAACAATCAAATCTGTGACATTACGGTAATAAAGGGACAAGGCGAACAAACACTAAAATAAAAAACAAAAAAAAAAGTATATCTTTGAACACTCGCAAGTAATTCGTACAATTTTGTTGTACTTGTTTCAACAATTTTAAAAGTAACCCCAACAAAAGATGTATACTTTAATGTGGGATGCATTCTTTTAAAGTACTATGCTAGGACTCTTACAATGCAATACCTGTCTTCCTCAGCATAATTCTACAACTGAATTTCTTACTCTGCAGGAACTAATCATACAAACTCAGCATAGCATAACTAAACGGATTGCTTCTTAAAAAGAAAACAATGAAAAGCGAACAGGATTATCTAACATCTTGCAGAATTTGTTTCTCTTTGCGTGACAAGGAGATATAATGAGACTAGTTAAAACTGGGCAAAAAAAGAGCAAGAGGTTTAGGGTAATTACAATGTGTAGTCTGAAGAAATTGTCATGTATTCCACCAACATACCGGCATGGTCATTTATCAGTTATTAGTCCAGAAGAAAGACATGTAATTAATAGCAAAAGTGCCCAAGGAGTATAAACAGAATGTGACATTGTATAATAAATATTTCACGGTGCCTGAAAAGTTTGTTTCTATTAATGAGCTTGTTTTAGGATTGTCAAGATCTGGAATTGTAACTGTACGTGGTATAATACTAAGGCTAAGGTAATAAGCACCAGAGACAAAAGGATAGCAGTGCATAAATGGACCTTGTTACTGCCTGACCTAATAAGTATCCTACAGAAAATAAAAAACAGTTTATACATGAATTGTAGAAAAGGGAAAAACACATTTCAGGGAACCAAAAGGACAAAATAAATCATAATCGATTTTTGAATGCCAGGGGCATACTGAGGGGTTGGCAAGACCGGCGCCTGCTGGGGGCGCAGGCCGAGGGGGGTTGCAAAAATCAATTGTCAGTGTGAGCACTGAATTTTGCACCCCCGATCAGCCTGTGCCCCCGGTGCTCCCATGCAGCATGCGGCTCCATCAAGGAACCACATGCACATTATACAGGGGGACCCCTCGCAGTCTGCGTAAGAGCGCCGCATGTCACGTGAATACACAGTGCTCAGCATGACACAGACAGCGTACCACACTGGATATCGGGTGCACCACTGCCCTGCCATGACAGGGAAAACAGCAGGGAGGAAGTCAAGTGTGGAGAGCCTTTTACTGGACTGCTGCATGGGACGAGGATTGCATAAGTAGGTAGATTTCAGGAAGGGGGGGAGGGTATATTGAGTAAGGGCAAGGTTGCCAAGGAAAGAGATTTTGAATAAAGTGGGAGGTTGGCAAGGGGGCTGGAGATTTTGAGGAAGGGAGGAAGTTAGCAAGGGGGGATATTGAGGAAGGGAGGAGAGATACGGAAAAAAGGGAGATGGTTGGCATGGGGAGAGATGTGGATGAAAGCGGGAGGTTGGCAAGGGGAGAGATGTGGATGAAAGGGGGAGAGATATGGATGAAGGGGAGGCTGGCAAGGGGAAAGATATGAATGAAAGGTGGAGGTTGGCAAGGGGAGAGATATGGATGAAAGGGGAGGTTAGCAAGGGGGAGAGATATGGATGAAATGGGGTTTGGCAAAGGGGAGAAATGGATGAATAGGGAGAGAAATGGGTGAAAGGGGGAGTTTGTCAAGGGGGAGAGATGTGGAAGGAATGGGGGAGGGAATAATGGATGGAAGGGGTGGGAGACGTGGATGGAAGAGAGACACTGGGGGGGGTAATATGAATAGAAGGGAGATATAAGGGGGAGAGACATGGATGGAAGCGGGGATATATGAATAAAAGGTAGGAGAGACATGGAAGGGGGAGAGAGATATGGATAGAAAATGAGATACATGGATGGATGGAAGGGGGGGGAGAGAGAACAAAGAATGAAAGAGAGGGGAACAGAGAACAGAAGGGGGGGTAGAAGAGACATGGATGGGAGGGGGTAGAAGTGAGTGGAGAGTGAGGTCACATCTTACCTTGCCTGCAGAGGGACTAGGGAGCGAGCCGGAGCAGATAATGCGGCTACACCTAAGGTTTGATACCTTACCTACCTGGCTGAGACGGCAATTGGCATAAGGACTGAGGGAGCGTGTGGAGTGGACATTCTAGATAGTGGCATTACTACTAAGACAGTAAGTAACGAAGTGAAGCTTTTGAGTAGATAATATGTATGTACCCAGGATTACATATTATGTGAGAAAGAAACACGTAATTTTAGTTTGTGTTGCTCTAGGATTCACCAACTTTTATACAGGTTACATGATGCTATCTACTCATCAGTGGTTATTACGGTCATTCAAAGATAAACACATTTAGTCCCATCATACACAGACAGCCCAAAACAATCACAAACACAAGCAGTCCCCATCACACATTGACAGCATAAAATGATCACACACATTCTCATCACACACACAGCCAGCCCAATGCCAACACACAGTTTCCATCACATGTACACAGCTCAATAACATCACACACAGACAATATAATACATCACATTCAGCCAAATATATCACACACAAACTGTAGCCACTACACTGAGACAGCCCAATACGCAGTCCCCATTACACCTTGATACCCCAATACATCACATGCAGTCCCCACTATACAGTACTCAGACAGCCTGAGTTCAGTGGTCACAACCAAAGTATTTGTTAGTTATAAAAAATGTTTTCTAAAAAAATGTAGTGACACCAGTAAAGACTTCTGTTTGTAATAGGGTGCAGGGCCAGACTACCCTGGGGCCACTGTGGGATGTGACCTTTGTGCAATCTCAGTGTTGGGTAAGTCATGGGGCAAGTCCTGTGAGTGCAATCTCAGTGTTGGGTAGGTTATGGTTGCTCGGGTACGTCACGTGAGTGCAATACAGCACCTCGCCAAGGACGCTGGAGAGCCTAGGTACACCTCTGTTGACTGCTTTATAAAGCTTGATAAGTCTTAGCAAAATAGGAGTGCTTTTCACCTATAGTGGTGTGCTGGACTATTCCTTTCTTGGTAATATCATTTAGCTATTTATTTTTTTATTTTTTTTAAAGATGCATTCATAAAATTAATAAATCACTGGTAAACCTATACAACAGGATGAGAGGAATGGGTAGGGGCATTCTGAGGCTCCAATTGTTGACAGATGTTGATAATTCTCCAACAAAAGTGGAGGGGGGGAAAAAAGACCTACTTATCACTCACACCCTGTCTTAAATATTCCGGATGTCTACTTTGCAAGAGCCTAATCAACCTATTAAAAGGAAATTCTAAGCATCAAAACCACTATATGTTCATGGAACTTATTGCCATTTTCGACAGACTGCCACCAGAGGGACTTCCTCCATATAGCCTTTTCAATTTTCAAAAGGCATCTGGTTTGGCATCATCACACATAGCATGATAAAGCAGCTAAAGCTTCTAATAGAAAAGCACTAGATTCAATGGTTCTTTGTGAGCAGTATTGGGACGGGGATTGCTGCACATGCGCCATGTGTCTTTAAAGCTTCTCTATGAAAAGCATCATGATTGTATTACAGATTTATGATCTCACCATGGACAGATTGGCCTGCAGATCTGAGTCTGTTCATAGGCACGTTTAATTGAATTTTTTTTATTGTATGTATTGTTTTAGAAAATTAGACAAAAAGGGCATGCTCCCAACCCCCAAAGCACTACATTAAGCTTTGCTTCAACAAGGTTTAGAGTGTTCCTTTAAAGAATGTAGCCGATTGTAGCATATTTGGGATACACTAATATTTTAAAGAACACTATACATATGTTGCATTTTGTGCCATTCATTTTATTAAGTTATTGTTAGACTGAAACCTGTGACTCTTCCTTTTACTTTCAAGCTGTGGATGCTGTAACTTGTTTAAATTCTATCATTTTAACAGTTCTCATTTCCAATATAATCTCAAACTATGCAATACAGCCCTCTGCTGGAGGAATGCACAAGATAGGCTCACTGCTGTTCAGTACTGATTGTATTTTTAATGAAAATTCAAGGCATCACATTTGTTCATTTTTTAGGTGTTGGGAGAACACAATTCTTTTTTCTAAGTGCTGCACGTTAATTTAACTTGCTGTATATATTTTCACTTTTTTTTTTTTAGAAGAGCCATTGCTCTCATGTATTGTGTATCTTTATAAGATGGTCAACTAATTTTTTTATATTTTTTTTTATTAAGCAATTTTTGTTCACATACATGCATGACATTTACATTGAGTAAGGTAGATTGAGTTGTGTCTTTTTAAAGATGATCAATCATAAAGTATCACTCAAACATTTTGTACTGAAGTCACAATGGGTTTCACTGTTATTTTTCATTACATGTTGCGAATTTTTCACTTAACCTTGGGGAGGTAAACCTGGATAGGGTAGGAGGGGGGAGGGAGAGTAAGGAGGAGGGGGGTCCACTGGGTTATATTCCCTTAGCAAGGGGGTGGATCCTGCTGTACATTGGTTATTTGCGGCTTTTAATGTGTCTGCCGTGTGTGTTAGTTTGCGAGTTTGGCTTTGTGTCTTGCCTCTGGGATGTTTAATATATGGGTGCCCAGTTGGTTTGGAATGGTCAACTTGTTCCGTTCCTGTGTTGTGTAGGCCAAATCTGAGGTTTAGTAATGGCCGTGGTCTGTGCAGGGAATAACCTAGTGTTATTCCATTCTTCCCTTGTTTTGTTTGAGCATTACATATTTCTGTTTTTGGAAGCATTCCTTTCAAGTTTTACTTATGTGAGCGCAGCTGTCGGCACTTCGGTTGGGTTTGGATCTTTAGTGGTAGGTTCATCAGTGGACATTATCTCATTCCACTTTTCCCAGGCTATTCTCCACACTTTGGATTGTTGGTTTGCTGCCTGTCTTGCTGCACATTCAGAGAGTTTATTTTGAGTTACTAGGCGAATACATTCTTGTATTGTTGGGGGTTCTGTGTTGCGCCATTTTCTGCTGATCAACATTAGTGCCGTTATATTTATTTGATAGGTTAGGTATGCCATTGCTTTTGTGAGTTTTGCGGGATAGATATGTAGTAAGAATGTTTCTGGATTATGGGGCATAGTAAGTCCTGTGACCAATGTCACTAGGTCGGCTACTTTTTGCCAGTAATGTGTTCGTTTAGGGCATCCCCACCAGGTGTGGATCATGTCTCCTACATTGTTGAGGTATCTCCAGCATTGATCAGATACCATTGGGTGTATCTTGTGTAGTCGTTTTGGCACCAGGTACCATCGGTACAGCAGCTTTTTTGAGAGTTTTATGTGGGATGAACAGAGTGTTAATGTTTCGTGAGTGGCAAATATCGTTTCCCATGTTTTGTCCAGGATGTTGAGGTTAAGCTCACGCTCCCAGGATCGGATGAATGGTAACGTTTTAATGTTCTCTTCTTTATTTAAGCTTGTGTATAGTAGTGAGATCGTTTTTTTCGCTGGCATTTGTGTTGTCATTACCCGTTCAAAGGCAGTCAGCCGCAGCTCACTTACAATTTTCATTGTTGGTACATAGTGTTTGAGTAACCATGCCCGTACTTGAAAGTATGAAAACTCAGCTATGCTCGGGAGGCTATAATCTTTTTGTAGTTGAGGGAAGGGTATGATTGTTTTCCCCTGCATTAGTTGTGTGGTACATTTAACGTGGTGTCTTTCCCATAATCGGGAGTTAAAGTTCGGGATTAACATTTGTAAAGTGCCAATTGTCATGGCTGGGGAGTGTGCTTTTGTCCTGCATAGGATCGCCCTGTTTGCTTCCCAGATATGTTTTGTTAGGGCCGTTGTAGGTAAGATCGATATGCTTTTAGGTCTAAGGAGGGTGGGGGTCCACATGATGGACAAAAAGTGATGTTCTGGTTTCGTGCCAGATTCCAGTGCCACCCACTGTGGGTGTCTATCTTGTGTTTGTACTGTTTATTTAGAAAATTGGGCAGACTAGATGGGCCGAATGGTTCTTATCTGCCGTCACATTCTATGTTTCTATGTTACAATAAGGTTAATGTTGGCTGCTCTATAGTTTTGCTGAATGTTAGGGAGGTTCATGCCTCCCCTGGTGTGACTTTTATACATCGTGGTCATGGCTACCCTGGGTTTTTTGTGCGCCCATATGAATTGGTTTAGTAGTTTTTGGTTTTCCCTAAAGTAGGAGGACTGAACCTTTATGGGGAGGGTCCTGAATAGATACTGATATTTAGGGTTGATCACCATTTTCACTGCGGCCACTCGGCCTGACCATGAGATAATTTTTTTATGCCATCCTTGAATAAGTGTTTTCACTTGGTTTTGTAGCGTTACATAATTTGCTTTAAAGAGCTGGGTGGTCATTGCTGTGAATTTTGTACCTAGGAAGGTGAGGTGATCGGTCCACCAGTCATATTGGAATTGAGACTAAGTTTTTAATCTCGTTGCGGAGGATATTCAGGCACATGGCCTGTGTTTTGGTGACATTTAATTCATAGTAAGAACATTTACTATAAGCGTCTAACGTGGCTGCGAACTGTTGTAGGGAGGTCTCTGGGTTGGTTAATGTTAGTAATATGTCGTCGGCAAACAGTTTAACTTTGTATTCTTTTTGTTTTACTTGTATACCTTGTATGTGTGGGTGGTTGCAGACTAGGGCAGTCAGAGGTTCCAGTGTTAGAATATAAAGTAGGGGGGACAGGGGGCATCCTTGCCGTGACCCGTTGGAGATGGTCAGCGGGTCAGAGATGAATCCGTTTGTGGTGACCCTGGCAGAGGTGTTACTGTAAAGTGTGGATACTGCTGCTAGGAATTGCAGCGGGAAATGGAACTTGCGCAGGACCTCCATGAGGAAGGACCAGTTTAGCCTATCAAAGGCCTTTTCTGCATCCAGGGAGAGGAGCACGCTACCTTCCCTCTTCCCCCTCCCCCCCCCCGACACAGTGCATCAGGTCCAGCCCCTTCCTAGTTCCGTCCGCCCCTTGCCTACTGTGGCGGAACCCACCTCGCCACTGTGCACTGGAGGAGCCTGGTTGCTCGTCTGCTCCCTCTAGACTATGGCCCGGCAGTTAAATCCTTCTATTTTCCCTGCTGAAAGGCTTATTTGTGCCTTTCTGCCGGAGTGTTCGGTAGATTAAATCTACCGAACAAAGTACCGAACGATGGACCACCTGGGAACTGGAGTGTGCCGTCTGTTAACCGCATCTTAATTGACGAAAGCTGGGTGGCCTTTGTTCGTTTGCCGAACACGTGGCAGCGGTCATTTTAACTCCCGAACGGCCAGCGGTGTTCAGCGCCCAAGCTATGGAACTGAAAACGGACACTTATTTGCGCAAACACCGCTGAGCCGCCAGCCTCCTTACCTCTGCATTTGGTAGTGGAACCAAATGACTGTTCATTCAGTAGTTTAACCGGATGAACAGCATCACCCCAGATAGCTAAGTCATGGAGCCCATTCGTGTAACGAAAGACTATGGGAAAGACTCCATGGCGATTGAACTGTATGTATGTGATCTGAGCGCCATTCGGTAATAATGTGCGCTCAGATCTAAGCTATCTGGAGATATGTAGAATGTATGTGTTTTGTTAATTATTTGCAACAGTGGGGATTTTTGAGTCTTTTTATTAACATATGCTCAATGGAGTTTTGCCTCTGTCCTGGGAGATAATTGGATTACTTCCCAATTATCTCCAGGATAGAGAGGAGGAACTGTGATGCATTGTGGGTGTGTTTAAAGGTGTATGTCTGTGATTGGTTAATGGCCAATATGTTTCCCAGTCTTCCATCGGATCCCCTAGGGGAGTGTCCACCAGGTGGAAGACCTGCATAAAAGCCGGGCAGGTAGCCCCAGTAAATCAGTACTGCTTGACCTCCAAACGAAGTGTCATCTCGTTATTGGGGGAATTGGATTGTATGCTGATTGCCAGGAGTGTAAGATGATTGTATGCTTTTCCTGTTCAGCTGCTTACAGCATTCATATGCTTGAGAGCATTTGTATGCTTCTCTGGTTCGGTGGTTGAGGTGTCTGCTGCAGTGCTTGGAGTCCTCAGGAAGCACTAGGAGCATCCTTCAACGGAGGTACCCACTCGGAGTGCCAGGTGATCCGTTACACCTACCTTTCACAAATCCCACCTGGTCGTCATGTACTATGGTTGGGATTATGTTTGCTAACCTGTTTACGAATATTTTCGCGAATAGTTTTATATCTGTGTTCAATAATGATATGGGTCTTAGGTTTTGTCCTTTAGTAGGAGGTTTCCCTGGTTTTGGTAATGTCGTTATGTGTGCCATCAGCATCTCTTGAGGTGTATTGTCTGTCTGCAGCATGGTTTGGTAGGCTTTAAGCAGGTGGGGCTCTAGCGTATTGTGAAAGGTTTTGTAATATAGGTTTGAAAGCCCATCTGGGCCCGGTGATTTCACCATGGGTAGTGAGGGAATAGTGGATATAATTTCCTCTACTGTGATAGGTTTTTGTAAGGATTGTTGTTGTTCTGGGGAGAGAGTTGGTAGGGTTACTTGTGTCATGAAATCTGTTATGTCTGCTTTAGTCGGTTGGTGGATGGTGTTGCCCTGTTTGAGATTGTAAAGTCCCGAATAGTAATTCGCTAGCTCGTCTGCTATGTGTTGGGGGTTGTAAGTTTTTGTACCGTTTGGTTGGGCAAGGAAGGGGATTTTAGCTGTTTGTCACTGTTGTCTGAGTCGTGATGCAAGTAGTTTCCCTGCCTTGTTGCCTTGGGCATATTCTCTTGTTTTGAGTTTCTGCATCATATATGTAGTCTTATTGAGGTGCCACTCATTAATCAGTGCTTGTGTCTGGTCTATGGTGGTCTGCAGGGCAGGAGATGGTGAGAGGAAATGTTGGGTAGTGGTGTCCCGCAGCTGTTTCAATAGCGCCAGGAGCTTGTGGGCTGCTCTGCTAATAAGTATCCCCCTGACTACTGATTTATGGGCCAGCCATTGGGTCAGTGCTGTTCTGTCTGGTGTGTCATTTGTTAGGAAGTATTCTTGTAGTTCTTTGTGTAGTTTCAGTTTGAAGTGGTCATCCGCTAGCAAAGATTAATTGAGCTTCCACGGGGTTCGGCATCTGGTTTGGAAAGTGTCTGTTCGTGTTAAGGTTAGAGGGGCGTGGTCTGACCACAATATGTCTCCCGTCTTGCATTGTATTGTTTGGAGGAGGTTTGGGGCTAATATCAGTATGTGATCTATAGATGGTCAACTAATTTGATGGTATTTTCAGCCAATATTATTATTACTGTTATTTATATAGCGACAACTTGTTCCGCAGCACTTTACAATGTTTGTAAAATTACAAATTTTACAGACAAGCTTACAATTTAGAGGAAGTGGAGCATATTAATACAAGAAGGATAGCAGGGGGGATAGGAACTAGGTGACGGGGTTGGAATGTAGCATGGTTGGAAAGTTAGAGTGAAATGAACAAAGGACCCACTAAGTTGAGAGGGTTATGGCAGTTACCCTGGGATATCCATAGGCTATTCTGAAGAGATGGATTTTTGTGGACTTTTTAAAGTCTTAGAGATTAGTAGAGTGTCTGTCATGTGAGACAGGTGTTTCCATAAGAATGAAGCCGCCAGAGAGAAGTTCTAGAAGTGTGAGTAAGCATTACGAGTCTGAGCATCAGACAGGAGAAGTTCAACGGTAGAGCGGAGCAGTTAAGAATGGGCATACTTGAGAATTAGTGAGAAATGTAGAGGGGAGAGCAAGTTGTTGAGAGCTTTGTAGGTAAGCGTAAATACCTGGAATTGAAACCAATAGGGTAGAGGAAGCCAAAGTAAAAATTACAGATGGCAGAGGGGTGATGTGTGAGATCTACAGGAGAAAAAAATATCCCTTGCAGCAGTATTCTTTGCAGACTGTAAAGAGACAGTAAGGTTTCTAGAGAGACCAATTAGGAAAGAATTACATAATTCATTCTAAAGTGTTCATTATCACATCATATGCATGCTTTTTGAATTTTTTGATCTGTTTATAAGAATATATAATGTATGTTTGAAAAAGACATATATTTAATAGTTTCCATTATTTTAGGTAACATTGTCATGTGTTTTAAAATGAACCCAATCAATACATATCCCTTTTCAAGTGCACAGACAAAATTCATTCATGTTCTGTGGTAAAGATAATCTAATAACTATGTACTCTTAGCTGCATTTGTTAAATGCATTCAGGATAATTTAATAAGTAAATAATGCTGGGGTAAGGACTACTGGGCTGTTGTGTTCTCTAATATATAAGCTTATTAAGCAAAAAGACATTTAAGCTAACTTAAATGTCAACAGTGTTATCCTGTTTTGTATGAGAAAATATTTTGCTTAATCAGACACCAGAAATAATAATGTAAAATGGGTAAATGAATGATGTTCTCTGCTACAACTCCACATGTATCACCTGAACTCCAAACAGTGCTAAGCAGTGAATTTAAAGGACCACTCTAGGCACCCAGACCACTTCAGCTTAATGAAATGGTCTGGGTGCCAGGTCCTTCTAGGGTTAACCCATTTTTTCATAAACATAGCAGTTTCAGAGAAACTGCTATGTTTATGAATGGGTTAAGCCTTCCCCTATTTCCTCTAGTGGCTGTCTCATTGACAGCCACTAGAGGCGCTTGCGTGCTTCTCACTGTGATTTTTTAGGGGACTAAAGAGTATCAAAATCTTTGAGACAGTGCAACCTGATCATTGAGTCAATGTCCTGTTCTACTGATGACTTGAGAACTGCTTCTGATTTGATCTTTGAATCAGTATACTGTTAACCGAGTGATACATGGTAAAGAAGAGCAAGCCTAAGCAGACATCACCCTAGCAACATACTACCACTGCTGTTTCTGATTCACGAACAGTTTCAAACAAATCAGTTCAATCTGATGATCTGGTTCATCCAGTACATTAAAAAGAACAAAACCTTCATGTACGGACCATCACTAATCTGGACTGCCCTTATAGACAGTGTCAATCTGATATGAAAACAGTATAACCAACAGATATGATAGACACACTTTATTTATTAAAGGGACACTATAGTCACCAGAACAACTACAGCCTAATGTATGGTGAGTAGAATTATTGCCTTCAGGCATTTTAATGCAAACACTGCCTTTTCACAGAAAATGCAGTGTTTACATTGCCCCTAGGGACACCTCCAAGTGGCCACTACTCAGATGCCACTGGTGGTGCTTCCGGGGGCAATGCTGCACAGCAGGTTCAGCGTCTCCATGCTCTGCATGGGGACGCTGAATTTTCCTTATAGAGATACATTGATTCAATGCATCTCTATGAGGAGGTGCTGATTGGCAAAAAGGGCGTTTGGGCCCACCCCCATCCCGCCTCTTTGCTGATTTCAGTCAATCCAATTGGCTAAAAATTGGCAATTCTGATCATGACACCAAGGAGGCCGAATGGGGCGGGGTCAGCGTCGGCAGACCCGCGTAGCGCTGGAAATAAGGTGAGTTTTCCCCTTTTCTAAGGGGGAAAGCCACCTAAATGGATTAAACACTATAGGGTCAGGAATACATGTTTGTGTTCCTGACCCTAAAATGTTCCTTTAACTGCTTTGACATTTTTGTTGCATTCCTTCAATATTCAGAAACACTAGGCTTCTCTCGTAATTTATAAAGATAAAAATACAATTTCTGTCTGGTATATTTATGCCTCATTTGCATATGACACAGCATTCACAGTGGTTCATGATGTAAAGCACTTGCTGTAAGACATACTAAAGGATAAGCACATTCCTTTGAATACTCTATATATAAGCTATTTGAGGAAAAATTCCAGACATTCGAAATAGAGAATAGCATATAAGTGAAAACTAAAATACAGTCCCTTTGATCTTGCACACTACAGATTCACTAATTATCATTCCTGCATGCGTTGTTTTATAAATGCAATTCATAAACAGATCAAGGCGTGCATGTTTTAATTTGTCAGAGTGCTTCGCGTGAGTTCACAGAGGGCAGACAAAACAGCTTGATTAGCTTTGCAATCATCTAACAAGACTGGCATATTGCATACTTATGGTCGCCAATAATTGTAGGATATATTAAATCCAAAAAAAAAAAACAGAGTTCACTCACAAAGTAATGAGAATTTCTCAAGAGATTAATGTAGGAGAAAGCTTGCTTAGTAAACAGCAGTATTTTATCTGCACTTGATAATCCCTTAGTATTTCTAAGAAATTTTACTGTTAATAAATTTTAGACAAACATATTTAACTCACAGTAGACAGGCATTAAACTACCAAAACATTCTTAGCAGGGCTTTACATGCACATTTTGTATGGATAATCTAAGATAGTGTTACCTTCATATTGTGATTGAAAGAGAACCATACATAAGTAGCACGTGACAAAGCATGGAGAATTTAAAACCAGTGTGAAAATTCCTAATTTGAATACTCTATTTGGAGGGTACATGTTGCCACTAGTGGGAACATTTAGATTCTAGCAATATAACCTAATTTATACCAGTCAGTTTTCGTATATATTGTGTATTAATATTGTTTTTGTATTTTGTTGTACCCTATTGTATCAATGCAATGTTTTGTGGACCCAGGACATACTTGAAAACGAGAGAAATCTCAATGTATCGTTCCTGGTAAAATATTTTATAAATAAATACATTTATACCAGTCAGTAAAACATACCATCTGTGGCTCTCCGCACTAGAGTCATTTAATTCAATAGCTCTTTCAGCAACAAGCTTCCCTGAAAGAAACAAAAGAAAATGTTGTGATATAATCATTGTGGAATATAATAAGAAATGGACGGCCTACCTGATACATCACACAACCAACTTCAAGAACAAAAAAACTTAAAGATTCAGCTACACAGTACTATTCATTTAATTTACAAAACAGTATGAATGTTGATGTCCACAGCTCATTGTTACAAAAAAATAAATAAATGTAAGTTTAATTAATTGAGCTAGCTCTATTTTGATCTTTAATATCATTATATATCCACTTCCGTTAAATATGTATAAATATGACCATTGATATTTCAGGGCTTCTAATTATAAATGTTCTGAACAGCAGCATAAAAATGAAAGGTGATAAAAGGCACAAATATATGCAGTGTTGGCTTGCTCTACCATAGACTATAGGACTCAAACAGAAAACAGTAAGATCCAACTCATGCTTGTCTGACCCTCAATGATCCATATTGTGCCAATTTCCAATTGCCAATGTCCTGTGCTTTGACTACTTTATTTCACACACAGAAAGCCTTTCGTGTACTTAATGCACGGAGGTACCATTTGGTGGATTTTTGCTTAAAACCCACAGAGAATTTAACCCTGGACCTTGATCCCAAAGGCTTATTGCTGGTGCTTATATTGTGTTGTACTGATTTCCGTTAAATATGTATAAATATGACCATTGATATTTCAGGGCTTCTAACAAAGATTAAATTATTGCTACTCACTGTCTGGCACAGTCAATCTACATAAATTTCTCCAAGAATGGGAAAAAAAGATCATGGGAATTTAAATGTAAAATTATTTTATATTTATTACTTTAGAAACGTATACATATTTTGAATGCATTAAAATGGAGGTTAAATTACAATCTTCAGTGCTCATTTAAATAAATGTTAGACATCCCTCCAACCTTACCAAACTAAATAACCTTTATATACTAACTTCTTCTTTACATATATACCCCAATACTATCCCTACTTTTAAAGCAAAATATCTCCATTATTCTACCTCTTTCACTTATTCCATCTTTTATCTAATTGTAACCCAACTTAGTTAAATGCTCCATTTCATATTAACATAGTTACATCTCCCTATTTCAATATTACCATATGTCTTTACCTCTTTTGTTTTCACATTTTAAGTCATTTATTATTCTTTAGCATCCTATTCATCCGTACCCAATTTACCTCACTACTTTACTATCCCTCATACCCTTCAAATATCCTTTGTCTTATCTCCTCATCCCTACCTCATCAACATTTCCTTATTTCACGTCCCACTCATCATCATCACCTGACCACCTCTGTTCCCTGTCCGCTCCCCTGATTCTATTGGAATTCCATTTGGCCTTTTGAATGAATTTGGCCTTCTTTGGGCCTCATCAGTGAGGTATAGCTGATGAATATTATAGGTTACATGTAAGTATACAAAAAGGGGAAATAAAAATAGGTGTTCAAACTTCATTGCTTAAAGGGACACTCCAGGCACTCACTTCTGCTCATTGGAGTGGTCTGGGCGCCAACTCCCATTACCCTTAACCCTGCAACTGTAATTATTGCAGTTTTCATAAACTGCAATAATTACCTTGCAGGGTTAAGTCCTCCCCTAGTGGCTGTCTACCAGACAGCCACTAGAGGGCACTTCTTGGTCCATAGCACAGGTTTTCTGTGCTATGGCGTCGCTGGACGTTCTCACACTGTGTGAGGACCTCCAGCGTTGCTAAAATACCCATAAGAAAGCATTGAAAAGCCGCGCATGCGGTCTCCCCAGCTGGCGGGCGGGATCAGTCTCCCCCGCCAGCTGACGTAATAAAGGGGAGGAGTGGCGGCGGGGGAAGAAGCAGCCTCTGGTAAGTGACTAAAAGGGGTTTTCACCCCTTCAGCAACTGGGGATGAGAGGTGGGAGGGAGAGGGGACCTGCAGTGCCAGATTGTTTTCCTGGCACTGGAGTGTCCCTTTAAGAGATTATTCCAATTAAAAAAAAAATTACTGGAAGAGTAGTAAGGGTACCAATTAAAGCCTGGATTCTCAAACACCTGGGAATCTGGGAGATCAGCATCTAAGTTGAACCCAATAGTTTCTAGGTGGTGCAGCAGGGGCAAAATATATGTACCTCAGTAGCACATAGTTCACTAATTCCCCTAAGGCTAATACAGATTCAGGGTGCTGGATAATTATATAAGTCTCAGGCATGCTTTGTCGGTACATGCATAGAGAAGTTAATTCTGTGATAGCAGGAGTAGCAATATACTGCTACCTCTTACTATAACACCAAGTTTGGACTACACATTTTCTGTAGGTGAACTAAATGCAAAGGTGGGCCAAGGACATACTTGAAAACAACAGAAATCTCAATGTATCCTTCCTAGTGAAATATTTTATAAATAAATAAAGGGCTAAATGCCTCATCCCCATAAACTGTAGGTCTCTGCACACCTTAGAGGAGCGGAAGGACAGGGTCGAGGACATTAGACATATGGAGGAACTCACAGCCTTCTCCTTAAATAAACTCCAAGCCCATATGCAGAGATGGAACACATGGGTCACCACACAACAGGATACATATGCACCTTTTCTCTCTCTCTCTCCCACACAGGAGTTGATCCCTGGCTAATGTTACCACCCTCAGAGGTGAGCTTACCCATAGGTGAGCTGTTATCCATAGTATAAAACAGCAGTGGCCAAGGCCTATCCCAGAAAAGTTGATATTTCTGTATGATCTCAGGAATTTCTCAGAAGCCTTTTGGGTTCGATTTAGACAAATAGTTGCAGCAAATATCCTTTGTAGTTTGTTTCTGAATTTGAAACGGGTTGAGTAGAATAATAGTAATGAAAATTTTCCACGTTTAAGAGATCAATAATATTTGGGATTGTTAAAACCATCAGTGTCATTTGAGGATTTACCAACGACTTAACCACTCGGCCATCCCGCTGACCATGTTATTCAGGAAACAATCTAGTGAATCCCAAGAAATTATATTACTATGTTTTGCTTTCTACGCTGTGACTATGTCCTGATTACCCGTTCTTTTAATTTCTTTTTTCTGTTCATATTTTCTTTATATGGGTATTGTAACACATCTGCAACTTACACTATGCAATTAAAATGTGATGCTTTTTTTTTTTCCCTTTATTGTGTTCTGCAATAAAATGTAAAAATAAATTAATTAACTGCATCTGGAGTGACAATTGGCCTGGCCAAGCGCAAAGGTTGTTCATCAAACAAGGAATTATAGAGAAATGACCAGAATTGCATACTTTGGTCAAAATAACAGAATTAAGAATTTAAGAGATTTTCTACTTTTACTTTTCTAAATTTAATATTTCCCAGTTCAGGACTTGGTTTAATATTGTTGCTTCAAAATAATTTAATATTGATTGCTTGAATATTGAAGCTTTAAAATGATTTAATATTCTGAAAAAAAATTGTAATGTGTTGATTTTTTTATATATACACACTTCTTTTTTATAGATATGGTATATTCTTTGATATTTTAATATTTTAAAAGTCCAAATATATTAAATAATTTGAAAAGCTTATCCAGCAATATTAAATCGAGGCATTAGGGAATTCAATAGTTAAAGGAACACTATAGTCACCAAAATTACTTTAGCTAAATAAAGCAGTTTTAGTGTATAGATCATTCCCCTGCAATTTCACTGTTCAATTCACTGTCATTTAGGAGTTAAATGACTTTGTTTCTGTTTATGCAGCCCTAGCCACACCTCCCCTGGCTATGATTGACAGAGCCTGCATGAAAAAAAAAACTGGTTTCACTTTCAAACAGATGTAATTTACCTTAAATAATTGTATCTCAATCTCTAAATTGAACTTTAATCACATACAGTAGGCTCTTGCAGGGTGCAAGCTATTAACATAGCAGAGGATAAGAAAATCTTAATTAAACAGAACTTGCAATAAAGAAAGCCTAAATAGGGCTCTCTTTACAGGAAGTGTTTATGGAAGGCTGTGCAAGTCACATGCAGGGCGGTGTGACTAGGGTTTATAAACAAAGGGATTTAACTCCTAAATGGCAGAGGATTGAGCAGTGAGGCTGAAGGGGCAGGTTCTATACACCAAAACTGCTTTATTAAGCTAAAGTTGTTCAGGTGACTATAGTGTCCCTTTAAGAGAAAAGAAGCAATTACCACAATACAATGTTACTTTACTTCATAAACTATTTCAACACAAATTTTATATACAATTATATACATAAAGATAGTAACCCACTTTTACTGGACATATCTTTCCAACACAAACAATTAAAACATTTTAGTATTTCTATTTTAATAAATACTCTTCTCCTTTCAAAAAACAAATACCTAAAGCTAAAAATGTTTAAATGAAAATATTCTTTACCCTCAGATGCGTAATTCTTCTTTTCTTCATAGTCGCTTTCAATATAATACACGTCGCTATATGCCCGTGCTAGTCTCCAAAGAAATTCAACATGATTTTCAAACTAAAAAAAAAGGTAGTGAGGAAGAAAAAAAAAAAAAGTGAGGTAGGTAGTAGATTATAAAAGACAGCCAAAGCAAACACTAATTTGTATTTGTAGATTAGCAGTTAGAATATGCGATGAGATTAGTTAGGCACCACTAGGATTTTATGTGTTAAGTATGCCATTGCCATCTTGCCCTGCCATTGGTGGTTCTAGGATGTCTGCCATTATAACTATACAACTCCATATTATACACATAAAAAAGAAAGTAAGAACTGAGTATGTTACACAAATGTGACAGTGAGTAAACTGTAATAAATGTAGTATAGAAGGATTTGAATTTTATTTAAGAATGTCCAAATTGTAAAGACAATGCAAACACTTGGATAGAAAGTGAGCATGAAAAAAAAACAGCCTCTTTGCAATGATTCAAGCTGACTGCTTTGGGTCACAAGCGAATCTCTGAAAAACATCTGACAGAAAATGTCAATTGAGGGACTGCATACCAGCATCACAGCCACTGTAGTTAGCTGTAGAGGTTGCAGTGCTCCTTATAAAATAATATATATATATATATATATCTATATATATATATATATATATATATATACACACACACATATACAAATGTAAAATGTAGGCAATGTATTACACAACTCTCAAAAGCAGAGCTTTAGTAAATTTTAAAATACATTTCCTGACATCATTCTTCAGCATGCAAGCTGCTGGAATATTACCATGGCTATCTTATTCTTCTACCAGACCTCACAAAGCATTATTTTAAGAGGAGTGCAATCTTCTCAGTGTGTGTGCACTTGTTATACTACAAATTATACATGTTTGCATGCCTTTTATTATTTATATATGGGTTGTGTAAGCTCAGCAGTAATCCCTTACCTCCTTGCAGAAAGAATTTTAATGTCTTTCTAGAAAGAATTTTAATGTGAACGTTGCTTACCAAAATATAGATGTGTGTTTTAGCTCAATTTAATTAAGTTAATCTCCCCACCATGGGCTTGGCAGCCACATTTCTGTCCTGTTCCTGCCGCAGTGCTATTTTGTGCCCCAATATAACTTACCAGAGAAATGCACTCAGAGGGCTTGTAGTCTTGTGCAATACATCCTTTATTTGTGCAAAGGTACAGTCAACATTTCAGTCCGACTTGGACTTAAAAAAATCCAAGTCGGACTGAAATGTTGACTGTACCGTTGCACAAATAAAGGATATATTGCACAAGACTACAAGCCCTCTGAGTGCATATATCTGGGCTGTGTATATATATATATATATATAAATATATATATATATAGCCACCAGGCTATAAGTAATTTAAGTTTACAGTAACTGAACAAAATTATAACATTTTAGAAACACATCTGTGACTTACATTTTGGAAATAATACAATTTAATAAATGAATACCTTTTCCTTGTTGTTAAGCAACATTCTGAATCCTTCCTGCTTTTCTGATTCAGAACCAGAATGTTTTTTATCTGCTTCCTTGAGAACATAACGTATTTTATCTGCCTCTTTCTTGGTCTTGGAACCGTCAGCACGTTTCTCATCCTCTGATTCTGTGTCGTGAGCTGTCAAGTATCTGCACGAAGAAGGATTAGATAGACTTTAAAAGGCAAAATTCTCCTTAAAAGATATACATACTTAACATTGTTGTGCATCAAAATCCATTTTTTTATTAGAGACATTGTAAAACATTAAACACTGAAGAATACATATCCTTCCCTTGTTAATTTGCAGCACATGTGTGTTGTCAAAAGTTTTAATTGTAAAATAATTTCACAAAAAAGAACAAAAAAATTAAAAGAAAAAATAAGATTACGTTAAAAATGTTCTTATTTTCAGGATTCTTTAAATTGTTTCTATGTCAAGATAGCAAGCATGTGGACCTTCAGCTATTGGGGGACAACTCCCACCAAGCAATAAACCAGCTTTCACCTTTCATTTTTAGGTACATGGAAATGGTATTGCCAATATGAAGCCCTGCAAGTGTTTTAGAATGTCCAGTGATACTTTACAAGCCTTTACTTCACTGCAAAAACATTCAATTCTTTTGCAAAGCATAACACATTTAAAGAAATATTTAAACAAAATTGGCTAACAAATATTTTCAGCAAAGAATGAATATATGAATAAAACATGGATGTTAAACACATATATTTAGAAGTTACAACAAAGCTCTAGCTTGAAGGAACACTCAAAGATCAGAGTGTTCTTATCAGTATTAAATGACTATCCTCCCCCATGTTAAAGAAAAATGTCATGTATCGCCATAAAACTTGTAATCCAGTGCTAGGACAGTCTCATTTGTGCAGCTGCTCCACCTCCAGTGAAGTCATCAGTTATCAAAGCTTATTCTCAATTGTTTCTCATAGAGAACATGGAGCACGTCTGTGGAGTCCACCAACACCTCACAACAGTTAATATGACGACCACTTATTTTCACAAGTCATAAGGAGGAAGACCCTCTAAACCCTACTCTAGTAGCTGTAAGTGTGACAGCCAATAAAGGCTTGGCTATGGACAAATAAAGACAGAGCCATTTTTCAGAAAAGGCCAGGTTTTACATTGTTCGAAAACAGGGACGCTGCAAGTTGACAATAAACACTAAAATTACTAATATTTTGGGGGAAATCAAACAAACACTAAAAAGTGAGAATAGGACACAACAGCTGAATTAAAAAAAAAAAATTGTGAATCTATTGTGAATCAAACTGTATTCAGTTTGGATATTTAAGCCTTAAATTTGAATTTTTTTCTATTTTTTTTTTTTAATTATTGCCACTAGATGGCCCTCCCTCCCAAGCTTTTATTAATGTCTCAGTAAAGTAAGTCTCAAAGAAATTGTGTGGTAAATCTCACATTTCAAAAGTGAGTTATTATGACAACACTGATTTGATGTCCAGAGAACAGAGATGCTATCTTTCACTTTACTGATAAAAGTTAATATATCCATTTACTATCATGTCTTTATTGTTATCTGAAAAGATATGACTTGTGTTCTGGAATTTAGAAACTATTAACAACCTATGTAATAAATATGTGTGTCTTAAAGATCAGTGGAGACAGTCTCCAAGCAGTGGTTCTTTAAGAAGATGAGTCCCCACAAAATTTCCAAGCCTTACGTGTAAGCAATTTTTGAAAGGAGTACAATATATTAATTAGGCCCAAGGTAACATATCCACACTAAATGGTTTACTGTAGCAGCAGTGCCTTTCCAATAAATATCAGGAATAAAATATATGGATCAAAGTTCAAGTCTCTGGGGTAATGTCCTGAATTGCACTAAATATTACTTAAGATTACTAAGGAACTGCGAAATGGTGATAGAAACTATCATATAGTTGCATGGCATTTTTACATTACTTACATTACTGTGGCAGAACATACCTCTGATTTCAGATGTTTTACCTTTTATCCGTTCGGGAGGTATGGTATCCAAACACTGTGCATTTGACTCCCGAACGAGGACCTCCATGGTACCCCATTAGAATATGCTCACCTAGTAACTAAGTGTGAAACCGCAAGGGAAGTAATTAATTAATGCTTCCCCTGGGTGGCCGCCATTTCGTCTAACCGAATGCATGTGGTCGGCAAAAGAGTGGCGGCCATTTTGTCTCCTGAAGGGGCAGCATCACTTGATCGTCGAGTGCCTGGAACGTTTTTCGGCTAGGCACTCGCACGAACCCCAGTAAAGGTTATACCACTGCCTGTTCTATTTCCTGACCAACTATGCGAACAACGTTCGGGAGACGGGAACTACGACTGGGGGGAGCATTCGTACACCGAAATCAAGAGAATCCCTTGCATGGTTTTCTCACATAAAACCCTCAACAGAGACCGGCTGGGGCACATATTTCCCTAGAACTGTTTTGGGCTATCCCCTCGTGTCCGGTCGGTCAAACCGTTAGCCTGGTGACAATCCAATTCTACCAAACAGATCTGAGTGATACTTGGCCAGATTATACACTCAGATCAGAGCTATCCGGAGATGTAACTGTTGTGGGGTTCCTGGTTATGATGGGGGTACTTTTGGGGTACTGTATATTTTGTAGAAGTTTTCTGTACCTGAGAGATAATTAAATTACTGCATATACTCGAGTATAAGTCGACCCGAATATAAGTCGAGACCCCTAATTTTACCACAAAAAACTGGGAAAACTTATTGACTCGAGTATAAGACTAGGGTGGTACTACTGGTAAATTTCTAAAAATTAGATCCCCAAAAAATTATACCAATTGAATATTTATTTACAGTGTGTGTATATAATGAATGCAGTGTGTGTGTGTGTGTATATAATGCAGTGTGTTTGTATGAATGCAGTGTGTGTGTGTGTGTATGAATGCAGTGTGTGGGTGTGTGTGTATGAATGCAGTGTGTGGGTGTGTGTGTATGAATGCAGTGTGTGGGTGTGTGTGTGTGTATGAGTGGAGTGCGTGTATGTGATGCAGAGCCTTGGTGGGGGGTGGGCATTTGATTATTATTTTTAATTATTATTATTATTATTTTTATATTATTATTTTAATTTTATTTTAATATTATTTTAATATTATTTAAATTTTTATTTATTTATTTCCGTCCCCCCTCCCTGCTTGTTAGCTGGCCAGGTAGGGGGGCTCTCATTCCCTGGTGGTCCAGTGGATGGGCTGTGTAGGAGGGGGGCTGGCAGCGAGCTGTAACTTACCTTTCCTGCAGCTCCTGTCAGCTCCCTTCTCCTCCATTCCAGTCAGCTCTCTTCTCCTCCACTGTAAGTCTTGCGGTCTGAGTGCCGTGCAGAGCGTTGCCACGGTAACCCATGGCAACGCTCTGACCCCGCGGCTCTCGCGAGATTTACAGTGGAGCTGACAGGGGAGCTGGAAAGGTAAGTCACAGCTCTCTGCCAGCCCCCAACAGGACCGCCAGGCTTGTAATGAGCCCGGCGGTCCTTGTCTGTATTATGGAAATGTAAGTTGCCATAATACAGACATTGACTCGAGTATAAGTCGAGTGGGGGTTTTTCAGCACAAAAACTGTGCTGAAAAACTCGACTTATACTCGAGTATATACGGTATAGTTTTTCTCACCCACATTATCTCTCCAGCACAAAGGACCCTGGGGAGGAAAACCCTGCAATGTTGTATTGGAGACCCCATGTTAGGCGTCTGTGCATAAAAGCCGTGTGTGGCTTGAATAAAATCAGTTGACTGGGGGAATGGATGCTTGCATATTTAATGGCTCCAGTCTGGCTGTGAGAAGGAATTAGCGGAGGTAATCAGTCAGGTTACCCGGTCCACTACAGGTACATTCTTATAGTCTCTGCCTAGCCTGATGGTGCCAACGCTGGCAGGTATTATAAGAATGGAGGGATTGAGGTCACTCCATTCAGATGCCAGAATGTTGGGGGGAAAGAAACGGCATGTTGTCACAGAGGAGGTTTGCCCTGTTTGGGATGCTTCATTAAGCAGGTCATATGAATGAAAGACCAGGTTGAGCATGCGAGGAACAAAGGGCGACTGGAGGGAGTTACAGAAGATTAACCCCTACGAAGATGAGATAATAGTGGCGCTGGATCAGAAATTTTACATTTAATACATTATGCATCTCTGTGATATACAACAAATTCATTGTATTTGGTGCAAATTTATGGTAAGTGAGAAAAAATTATGGCAGGCTTATTCTTTAACCATATTTATGCATTCTTTTGCCACGAAAACTCAATGTTGCCTTTGAGACAACATAGCACTACAGGAATGAAAATTAACCCCATCATGGCATACCATTTGTAAAAGTAGACAACCCACGATATTCAAAATGGGGTATGTCCAGTCTTTTTAGTAGCCACTTAGCCACAAACGCTGGACAAAGTTAGCGTTTTTATTTTTAGTTTTTTGCATTATTTTTTTTTTTTTTACACAAAAACTGCACTTTTACTGGTGATTTCATCGTCGTGATAGGTTTTACGGTTTTAAACACTCATATTTGTGTTCAGCGAAGTCTCCCGAGTATAACAATACCCACATGTACAGGTTTTATGGTGTTTTTGAAAGTTACAGGGTCAATACAGGGCCAGATTAAGAGCCCAGTGGGCCTGGTGCTGACAATTATGACGGGCCTAATTACAGAATCATATCGACCAAAAACAGTACAACACTCCCAAGCATCATGTATCTGATGGAGATGGAGATGGTGCTGGAGAGAAAGAAAACAGCAGCTATAAGAAAACACATACCATAGGCTAATCTCTCTCTAATTTATGTTTTCATCTTTCAAGTAATCCATAACCCCTTACAGCAGTGTCCAGTCAAGCAGGAAGTCAATGGGCATGGTAAAAGGGTGTGCCACTGACACAAATCACGTAACCTGCCAAAAGGGGCGAACATGCCCAAAAAGAGGACATGTCTGCTCAAAGAATTAGAAGGCCAGCCTGGCATGAATGCATGTCAGGCTGCCTGCCAATCATGCAGCTGGCCAACAAAGGGCATACTATGCAGACAGCACCCTGAGCTTGGCATAAATGCATCTAATGATGCGCTCGCTCAACGCTTTCTAAGGACTGTCCCCTAGCACTCGCTGGTCCACTTGTCTCCTAACCTTCTTACTAGCAGGCAGAAGCTCCTGGTATATGGTCTGGGACAGAGAAAAGCTGTATGTAGTGAGTGTAGAAGAAAGGGAACATGCCACAGTGTTAGAGAGACCAAAGTCAGCATTACCTTAAAGGATCACTATAGGGTCAAGAACACAAACATGAATTCATGACCATATAGTGTTAACACCACCATCCAGCCCCCTGGGCCCCACATGCCTCCATAAATATAGCAAAATCCTACTATATTCAAGCCTGAAGCTGTAACTCTGAATGCTGTTAGGCTCATAAAAACAAGCAGTCTGCTGACATCATTAGAAGTGGTGGCCTGATCCAATCACAGTGCTTTCCCATAGGATTGGCTGAGACTGACAAAGAGGCAGATCAGGGTCAGAGCCAGCATGATTCAAACACAGCCCTGACCAATCAGCATCTCCTTATATAGATGAATTTAATTAATGAATCTCTATGAGGAAAGTTCAGTGTCTGCATGCAGAGGGAGGAGATACTGAATGTTTGGATGCATTTTAGGCAGCCATGACCCAGGGAGGATCTCTAACAGTCATGTGGCCAGTGAAGTTATCACTAGTATGTAATGTAAACACAGCATTTTCTCTGAAAAGACCATGCTTACAGCAAAAAGCCTGATGGTAATGATTCTACTCACCAGAACAAATTCAATAAGCTGTAGTTGTTCTGGTGACTATAGTGTTTCTTTACCTATATTCATTGTCAGCCAGTCCACACAAATGTTGTTCCCATACATCCCTCTTAAGTTTCCATACTTAAGTAAGAGTATGTGAAAAGTAGTTAGGGTTGCCACCTTTCTTGGAAAAACATACCGGCCTTACTAATTTGCATAATTAAATATGTGTGGGTGACATCACATGATGTAAATCACAAGGAGTGACATAAGAGAAAATGCTGTAAAATCACCAAAAAACTACTTAGTTTAAATCTGCTGTATAGATGGATTCCTCCCAGTGCCCCCATGTCTCCCAGTGCCCTCATGACTCAGTGCCCCCATGTGTCGATTACTCCAGGTCTCAGTGTTCCTATGTATCAGTGTCTCAGTGCCCCATGTCTCCCAGTGTCCCCTAGTGTTGTGTCCCCAGGTCTCCCAGTGATCCTATGTATCAGTGTCTCAATGCCCCATGTCTCCCTGTGTCCCCATGTATCCCAGGGTCCCCATGTCACTAGGACACTAGGAAGACGGGGAGACCTGGGGACACGGGGAGACCTAGGGACAAGGAGACACCAGTGACACTGGGAGACTAGGGGGACACATGGGGAAAATGGGAAAATAGGGGACACTTGAAGACATGGGGACACAGACACCAGGGACAAAGATACTAGAGACACTGACTGGGGGACATGGGGACATTGAGACATGGGGGCACTGGGAGACATGGGGACACTGAGACACCAGTGCCACAGACACTAGGAACACTAGCTTGGGGACATTGTGACACTTGAGGCACTGAGAGACATTGAGGCAATAGGAGACATGGGGACAGTGAGACACTGGCAGACTGTGGGCACTGGGAGACTAGGGGTCACTGGGAGACTAGGGGGCACTGAGACACCAGGGACACTGGCTGGGAGACATGGGGACACTATGACCCCATGTGTCTGTGCCATAATGTCTCCCAATGTCCCTTAGTGTCTCAGTGTCTGCCATAATATCTCCCAATGTCCCTTAGTGTCTCAGTGTCTGCCATAATGTCTCCCAATGTCCCTTAGTGTCTCAGTGTCTGCCATAATGTCTCCCAGTGCCCCTTAGTGTCTCAGTGTATGTCTCCTTGCAGCCTTTCCCCCATCCCTTACTTCCCTGAGCTGTAGGCTGTCTCTGCAGGGTGGGAGTTGCTGTCTGGACTCTCTGTAGCTGCTCCCCTGTAGATCAGTGATTATAGATAGGCAGGGAGGGATATGCTGGAACTTCCTATCCCTGCCTGTCTCCACATACAGCGACCCCTACTGGCCAGTGCTGGTATTGCAGAGTAATCTCCATTTATACTGAGAAAAATACCAGCATTTATTTTGCCAGTATCACTGCAATATTGGCACCAGCCAGGCAGCCTCAAATACTGGCTGTGCCAATAAAATAAAAGCCATGTGGAATCCCTAAGAGTAGTGTGTGAAAAAAAAAAAAAAGTAAAAAAAAAAATTAAATCAATGGGCCTATTCCATGGGCCTGGGCCTGGGCCTGGAGCTGCAGCTCCATCAGCCCCTATGTTAATCCGGCCCTGGGTCAATATAGTTTGCCAGATTAGTTTGCTGGGTCTGTGTTGCCTTTTGAGACCATATGGTAGCCCAGGAATGTAAAATAATAACCCAATCATGGCATACCATTTTCAAATGTAGACAACCCAGGGTATTTAAAATGGGGTATGTCATGGGGGCGGAGCCTGACCACCAACCTGAACAGACGCCATACATGTGTGCTCCTCAACGAAACCAAACAAACCCGAGAAATATCAAGATACCCTCAGCCCATCCACCCACAAAAAGTGGACAGCAAGATCCCTTAAACTACCCCGAGGCGAATGATCCCATTTGTTGCGGCCTCCCACCAGCCCAAGCGGGGGAGAAAACTCAGAGCCTACCCCAAACTAACATACATGGGCCTGGAGGCAATCCTGAGTGACATCGCAGCAAGGAAAGCATGGGAAAGAGCATTCTCAACGGCAACAGACCAACCTAACTGTATGCCGGCTATGGGACGCCGCTCACAGTGACCGCAACACCAGGCGGACAATAGGGACATCGGGGCCATGCTCCAACGGCCCGCACAGGCCAAAACAGGCCCTGCTGAATCCCCGCACCCCGCAATCCAAACTCACCGCCAGGAGCAAGCAGAGCCAAACACAGGGCCACCACCTCCATGGACACTCAGGCAGAGCGCCTAACACGGATGGACGACCCAGCCGACATGACCCCTATCACTAGGCACGATTTAAAATTACTGCTGACAGACTTTCATACAATCTTAGCGGCAGAACTGGCCCTCATCAAGAAAGACATCAGGGCCATCAAGGAAAGAGTGCAGGTGTCTGAAAAGGACATTATGAGCCTGCAGGAACACCAGTCCGAACTACAAGAATCACTACAGCAAAGGGCTATGACTGCACAATTAACAGCACTGGAAGAAAGGCAAAGACGCACCAATATAAAAATACGGGGCATCCCTGCAGAAACCTCGCAAGACGAACTTCCACACTACGCCAGACGCCTGTTGGTCACAATCCTACCTCCAGTCACAGCAAAGAAACTAGCCACAATAGAGATATACCGCCTACCAACATCAGCAAAGGCCCCACCAAATACAGCCTGGGACGTAATACTCAAATGTCCAACACTTCAGGACAAAATACTGATCATGTTGGCCCTTAAAGGTAAAACACCACTGGGGTTCGAGGGTGCCACTCTGAATTTCTTTCAGGACCTCACGAAAGCCACACTCACCTGGCGCAAAATTTTCCTCCTGCTCACCAGCAACCTGAGATCAGCGGGATAGATGGGGGACTAATGGCTCCCTGATGGTAAAACAGAACGGAACCCAGCACACACTCACCTCAATGGAGGATGCACCCAAGCTACTAGAGGCCCTGGGACTGGCGACCCCGGCTACTGCAAACCCACCCCAGAGACCTGTTGCGGGCAATTGGGACCCGGTACATGCTGCTCCATTTGTACCAAGGGCCAGGAGCTACCAACACCGGAAAACGGACGGAAGACAGACTCTAGGGACCAACCTGCCACAATACAACTGAATCCTCCGGCAGACCCAAGCCCCGGATGCAGGCACAGTCCCTCAAAGACCCTGAACTGTTAAAATGATCTTGCTCACATTATATATTGATTGGCTTACTAGCTGCCTCTTTCTAAATCTTAGTTTTGTTTTTGGTTTTCTTTTCCTTCTTTTCTTGTTTTTCTTGCTAGAACGCATAAATGCCTAACTCCATAAGCCGCTGCCTATACAGCTAGTCGAGGCACGGCACAAGCCACACACACACAGTGGACAGAAAGTCCACTCAAAATTACGTATGGCAATGTACACACTCTCCTACCCCCCTGCAACTCCCATGGTCAGGAGATAACACACTTAAGGTAAAGGGTACACTCACCGCCACCACATTTCTTGACATAAGGCAGTCGAGGCTTTCTATGACCAACACGTTTCTCATCTCCTCCTCAACACCCTAGCTGTTAGGGAAATACCTTTAATGTAACACAGCCCATGTAACTCAGGCTGAGAGGCTCAGCACGCTAGACAGCCTTTACCAACACTCACATACCTATTAACCACCACGTCTTTAACACCAAGCATGATACAACCACCACGAACCCACACATAAGGCGCATAAACACCGCTTGTATCTAACCAGATTTAAAACCTATACAAAAAGTGCTTTTTAAGAATGCCATGCAAGTAATTGACTAAGCATGTATCTCGTCTTACCAGTGACCATTGTTGTAGCATAGCAAGCATAATCCTGTAAACCCATGCACGCAAAAAAAAAAAAAAAAAAAAAAAAAAGTGGTATGTCCAGTCTTTTGTAGTAGCCACTCACAAACGCTGGCCAAAGTTAGCGTTTTATTCGTTTTTTATAATAAAATAAAATTGTAATTTATATTATATAAATATATATATATAAAATACGTGTGTGTGTATATGTGCACACACACACGTATATATATATATATATATATATATATATATATATATACACACACACACACACATATATATATATATATACATATATACACATACATATATGCCTTTATATATACATATATACACACATACATATATACATATATACATATACTTTTACCTTACATATATACGCCATATATATATATATATATATATATACACATACATATATATATACACATACATACATATATACATATATACATACATACATATATACACATACATATATACACCGCATATACATATACTTGCTATATACATACATATATATATATACATATATATATATATATATATATATATATATATATATATATATATATATATATATATATATATATATATATATATATATATATATATATATAAAAAGTGAACTTGGCACTCACCCTTTGTCCTGAATATATCAAAAATTCTTGCCTGGGTGCCAACCTCTGGCATTCAAATAGATACAAAAAATAATATATAAGGTGCACTCACAGGCCTTTTTCAAGATCAATAATATCATGTGTGATATTATACACATGATATTATTGATCTTGAAAAAGGCCCTTTGTGGGTCGAAACGTCGATCATCATATATATTTTTTTGCATATGTAATTTGCACGTTGGAATAAATTAATCACTTGTTTAAGACCTGTGAGTGCACCTTATATATTATTTTTTGTGTATATATATATATATATATATATATAGATATATATATATATATATATATATATATATATATACACACACACATACATATACACACACACACACTTTTATTTCCTATATATGTATAATATATTATAAATTAAAGGAGCACTCTAGTGCCAGAAAAACAAACTCATTTTCCTGGCACTATAGGGTCATTAGGTCCCCCCCACCCTCGGGGCCGCCCTGCCGCTGGGCTGTATGGGTTAAAACCCCTTCAGCCACTTACCTTTCTCCAGCGCTGGGCTCCCTTTGCGCTGGGTAACTCTCCACCCCCTGCCGATGTCAGATCCGAATGCGCAGGCGCACCAAGAGCCGCGCGCGCATTCAAACAGCCCATATGAAAGCATTACTCAGTGCTTTCCTATGGACGTCCAGCGTCTTCTCACTCTGATTTTAACATTGAGAATCGCGGAAGCGCCTCTAGCGGCTGTCAATGAGACAGCCACTAGAGGCTGGATAACCCTCAGTGAAACATAGAAGTTTCTCTGAAACTGCTATGTTATCAGCTGCAGGGTTAAAACTAGAGGGACCTGGCACCCAGACCACTTCATTGAGCTGAAGTGGTCTGGGTGCTTATAGTGGTCCTTTAAAACATTTTATAATTTATTATACATATATAATGCATATATATGCTTTCATTTTAATTGTATTTTGAGATATATGTGTATGTATATATGTGTAATATGTATAACATTTTATTTTTTTTACTTTTTAGCAGCCTGGGGGACTGACAGCTCAAACAGTTCTCCTGCTGGCAGCTCCTATAGTCCTATTGCAGCGATATGATCATGGTGCTCACATGGCCCTGGAGGGCTGGGGTGGCCGGAGCTGCTGCAGGGGTACTGTTGGGGTCTCCTGCAGTCCCCCCTGGCTGTGATCGCCGGTCCAGATAAGTCCAGGGCTCCTATTTGCCGCGAAAATACTAGGTATGTCTGTGGTCCTTAACATCCGTTTTTTGTAGGACGCACTCAGTATGTCCACGGTCGTTAAGGAGATATACATATATATCAAGGGGGGGTTGGCTGCACTCACCTGAACATGCATAAATGGGGGTGCTGCTGGGGGCCAAATAATACAAAACACAAGATCCAGCGCACTCACCTATCCACTAAACAGCAACTTCAATGTTGAAAGATTTTATTAGTTTTTTAAAAACACCTAATCTAGGCAAAAATAATGGGGGTTTAGTTACATTATATGATCATACATTGCATAAGCCTGCCACAACGTTAATGTACCCCATCTTTGGCAGGTCCTACACTAACAGCCTAATGTCTGCTCTTATAAGATTAACCACTTACTTGAGGAAAAAAATTACATCTGGGGCTCTCTGCAGTACAATGCTAAATAGGGCCCTGGGATGAGGCAACTGTGACAGGGAGGGGTGCAAAACCAAGGAGTTGGCTAGACTCCCAAATATATACATATGAAACAAGGCGGGGTTGGCTGCACTCACCTGAACATGCATAAATGGGGGTGCTGCTGGGGGCCAAATAATACAAAACACAAGATCCAGCACCCCCATTTATGCATGTTAATATATATATATATTACTGAGTGCCTCGACCCCTAGTATTGGAAGCCTGCCTGAATGCTTCGAATGCTCGGCTATACACTACTGGGCGCCACATGCGGCAACCCGGAAGTGATCGCTCAGGTGCCCAGCAGTGTAGGGGGGTATTCCACGATGCCTCGATATTTAGGCATCGTGGAATACCCTTAGAGAGGGACGTCCAGGGTACGTCTAGCTCATTTTGGCCGTGGACGTACAGGGTACGTCAGCAGTTGTTAACGACCGTTTTTTGGCTGACGTACCCTGTACGTCCGAGGTCACTAAGTGGTTAATAAAACTTGTGACCTAATGTATCTAGTAGGATACACAAATTATCTTAATTTTTGCAAATGAATGATAAAAAACAGGACTATTTGCCCTCCGGCAGTGCTAGCAGCCAGCAGGCAAATAGTTTTTAAAAAAAAATAAAAAGCCTTGGTGGCATGAGAGTTAAGTTTTGTGGCAGCTGGCCAGCACTTGCAAATCAGCCATCACAATAAATAAGATAAAATCCAATGGGGTCAACATGACCCCCCATCTAACTATTGGAAGAGGCACAGTCGCCAGGTACCACATAAATTACTTGGGGGTATTAATATGATTAAAGGCAGGGTAGAAATGCCAAAACTGATGTCAGTTTTTAGTTATTTTGTCTCTCTTACAAGTCTTCTTTCAGCTGCCAGGAGAGCTGGAAGCTCTTGATCGCTCACAGCCAATGAGCTAACCCCTGCACTGCTTAGAGCTGCCGGCTAGAGAGGAGGCAGGGAACAGCACCCAGAGAACCACAGGAAGTAAAACCTTTTTAAACAGCTTAGACTACTTAGACTTGGAGGATCCAGTGTATCCTGACACCATAACCAAAACAACACGCTGTAGTAGTTATGGTGCTGATTGAACAATTATTCAAAAATCAAATACACAATGGGAAAATTTATCAAACTGCCCAAGAATATACGCTAAGTTTAAAATTTAACCAAATTAAATCAGGCTAAATACGGCTACTCTCCAGGCAAGCTGTGACTAGAGCGGAGTTGCAAATTTGTTTCAGTGCTCCTAATTTTGTAAAAATTATGCAATTCCAATTTAGGCTGTGGAAATGTTGAGTTTATTGAATAACCCTGTTATTTATTGAATAACCCTGTGCCTTGTTCTAAATTTTTGCAGTTCTTACTCTGCTTCTCGCGCGCCTTGTTGTGATGCCTGCAGCTGAAATATGAGGTCACTCTGGCCCCAGCATCACTAAACAGCGCACGTGGGAGCAGAGCAAGAAGAGTCTAAAGATTACACAAGCTTTACAGGAACCCAGGGAAAAGATCCACTCCAGCTCTTCAAAAGGTAGGGAGGACATAAATTCAAAAAATATAAAAATAAATAATGTGTGAGAATGTAAGAAAATGTGAATGTCTGTCTGAGTGTGTTTGTCAGTCAGAGAGTGTGTGTTTAGGTTACTGGACCTCATCTCCAATCATATGGGAAAGCTGTTTTACTCACCTTAACTTCCCATGGTGCCCAGTCTCACCATGGTTGACTTCTCTTCCATAGCTGACAATCCATTTTGATGATCTCAGCCAAGTCAATGCTTTCCCATGTGCATGTGCGGCAAAACGGTGTGCCAATCAGCATATCCTCACAGAGATGCATTGAATCAATCTCTACGTGGAACATTGAGAGCCTCCATGTAGAATGTGAGGATGATGAACATAGGTGCTTCACACAGTGCAGCACTGGACTAGGAATCAGCTCTAGTGGTCGTCTGCTGCCTAGTAACACCTCAAGTGGCAGTCACTCAATGCAGAGTATGCATTGAAAGGCCTACAGGGATAGGATATAGACGCCACAACCACTGCATTAAGCTTTAGTGGTTCAGGTGACTAGTGTCCTTTTAAGAATTTTATTTTTGTCACTGAAAATGAAACTTTGTTAGTTTAAAAAAATAAACTGGCTTTCCAAACACATTTGTCAAGCTTTGGGTTAATTAACATGGAACCAAGTAGAATTGCACACATGTTCTACTGGCAATATCTCCACTTCAACTTCCATTTTCACACAGTTTTTCAGAAAACTACACAATGACAAATTTCCCCATGAATAAATTAACTAAGCTTACTTCCTGATGTGTTTGAATGCTATTTACTAACTAGTACCAAGTTTGCTTCTTCCTCACTGTCAACTTTGTATATCTAAAATGTGAGCAGGATCTTTAAATGTGAGCAGGATATTGCTTTGCTGCAGATGGATTTAGATAGATTGGGGACTGGCACTAAAATGGCAGATAAAATTTAATGTAGAGAAATGCAAAGTTATGCACTTTGGGGTCAAGCTTGCACAAGCAATTTACACCTGAATGGTAGTGAATTAGGGATAACACGAGAAGAATTTGGGAATTGTTATAGACAACAAATTAGGAAGCAATATGCAATGTCGATCTGCAGTTGCTAAAGCCAGTAAGGTTTTGTCATGTATAAATAGGTGCATAAATATAATTTTGCTTCTTTATAAATCGCTGGTAAGACCACACCTTGAATATGCTGTGCAATTTTGGGCACCTGTTCTAAAGAAGGATATTATGGCACTAGAAAAGGTGCAGAGACGAGCTACAAAATTGATAAAGGGAATGGAGCATTTTAGTTACGAAGAAAGGTTAAAAAATGTAAATCTCTTTAGTTTGGAAAAACGGCACTTCAGAGGGGATATGATAACAATATACAAATATATTCGGGGCCAGTACAAACCATTATCTGGAAATCTATTCATAAACAAAGGAGATTTCAGGCAAAGGCAAACAAAAGGTTTTTTTTTACAGTAAGAGCAATAAGGATATGGAATTCTTTGCCTGAAGAGGTGGTTTTGTCAGAGTCTATACAGATGTTTAAACTGCAATTGGATAAATACTTGCAAAAACATAACATACAGGTATATAATTTCTAATTAGTGGGGTAATAGCGGCTTGATCCAAGGAGATATCTGACTGCTATTTTTGGGTCAAGAAGGATTTTTTTCCTAGTTTTTTGCAAAATTGGAAGTGCTTCAGACTGGGGTTTTTGCCTTCTTTTGGATCAACAGCAAAAACATGTGAGAAAGGATGAACTTGATGAACGCAAGTCTCTTTCTTTTCAACTATGTAATACAAAGAGATCAAATATAAGACTGCCCGATATAGAAATCTAAGTATTTTCAAATTAATAAATTGTAAAGGTTCATGTGCAATTTCATTTTTGGATCATTATGTGTCAAGTCATCACACTCTGCCTACATATCAATACATATTCAGAGTCATACTTAAATTTTAGGTGAAGGATGCTAAAGTACCGTTAGCTCTCTCCAAAAATTCAGTTCTGTCTTTCTTACTCCATGTTTGGAGGAACAACAAGTGAGCCTGACTGTACATGTCTCCTTCCTCCACAACAGTTAATGAATGAATGAATAAATAAATAAATAAAATAAAATAAAAAAAATTACCATGTAGCAAATCAAGAAAATAAAATACCTAAAATGAAAAAAAAATTCACACCTGCTGTCGCCAACCTTGGTCCGACAGCTGCAATCTCTTCCTACTGTCAAATCTGGCCTCAGACAAAATTGTGTGTTGTGGCATGTTACAAACCTTTAGAGAAGGACATGTTATAATCCACATAACTGCATATGTTATAAAAAATTTTTTTTTTTTAAAAACAATGAAACTTGCTAATATGAACATAAAAATAAATGTGAAATACATTTCGATAAAGAACGAAAAAGGATAGATGCTAATCGTCTCAATGTAGGTAAAGACATGAGACCATGTGCATCTCTTGGATATAAACATAGCCAAGTAGGAAATAAATATTAATAATTGGCTAGACTAACCCAAAACAAAATTGAGACCATGAAATAAGTGAAAAATAAAGTATATACAAGTGTAACTAATGCAACTATGCATCCAAGGTAGAAGCAGGTAGAGGTCACTTCCAAGTGAATAAGGGGATATGATATAAGATACTGAAATAAAGCTTTAATAAGAGACTAGCTTAAATGAAAAGAATCAATCCCAATTATGACCCCTATCTCTGGTCTAACACTTGTGCTCCTCTGAGTGCTGTTTCCTAAAGTACTATATCTCGAACCCTAACTGTCCAGGGTACACAAAAACCCAATGTGGAGCCATACAAGTTAGCTAACTAGCAATAATGGATCAGGTCCCTAAAGTAAAAGGCAGTTTAGGGCTGTTGATCGTGGTCAAAAAAAGACCAAACAAACAATGTAGGATTGCTGCACAATAGTATCCAGAGCAGAAATACTTGCAGATAGAAAAGAGAGGGAGTAAGCAGTATGAAATAATAAGGGAGTCAGTTTCAAATAAACTGACAGTAGAATTTATAAAGCCTCTCTCCCTGTATAACTATCTAGACAGGCATAGTAGCAAAGAAATAGGACAGGGAAATATAATCAAATCATATTTGAGTTTAAGAGTGCTTAAATCAAACAATGCCCAGTGCCCATAATAAAGAAAATAAAAATGGGCATTTTTTTCTTTTTAAAGATTAGACTGTGGAGTCTTATTTATTGATTATACTTGATTACTATGTTATCAGTTTGCTACTAACATTATAATAAGTAATAATTCTGAAACTAAAAATCATTTTCCTTAGGATTTGGATTCACTGAAGGTGGTAGATATTTTGATGGATGCAAGACTTACCCTCCTTCACTCTCTGCTTCCTCTGAGCTAGGGTATTCCACTGGTTCTTTGGCTGTCTCACTTTTCTTTCTTTTGAGACCTTTATGTTGTGGGCTAACCCGTCGTCCATCATTTTTCCCTCTAATCTCGTCTCTTATTTGTTCTTCTAGTTTAGGAATGGTTTCTTTTAAAAATTTTACATCCCGCTTGAGCTCTTCCACACTTTTCAACAATTCTCCAAATTTTTCCAGGATCTGAAGCTGGCTACCTTGTAAAACCACCACCTTCCCTTGGTGGTCCTGAACAAAGCCATGACCATTAGAGGTAGACCAAAGACCAGGAATGTGTTGGAAGTAGTGAGATTTTCCATGTTTCTTCAACCACAATAGGGCAACACTTATTCCAGCAGCACCAGCAAGCAGCCCCAAAATTAAACCTTTGCTTTCTGAAAGAGACATACTTTAAATTAAATGTATATGGTCTTTTATTCTAGGAAAACGAGGAAGATGCTTCATACAAATGCTGTTCAATGAACATCTCGTTTTGTCTTCTAATATTTTATGAGTGTGTTGAATGCATAAAATTTCAAAGTTCACGAAGTGTAGAAGGCCGCATTCTTTCTCCACTAGTTTTATTACACAATGTTTCACCACGTGACAGTATCCCGCACATGAAGGTTGCCATCAAGAGTGGATAGTCCTTTTAAAAGCAGCATTGCATTTCACCATGGTACAAAGTCACAGTGTAACTTCTTTGATATTCAGTCAGCCTGAAAAAAGAAGGTTAAAGGCAACTTGCTTAGTAACCAGATACTAATGGGTCAAAGTAGAAAATAAAGTTCAACATTGAAAGCTTTCATATTTAGCTTACAAAACAGAGTGCAAGAGAAAATAAATTGCAGCAAAATATTTGTATGATACAAAAACACATTCAGAAACCATCTTAGACATAACATTTGCATGAAATAATATTTATTTTAAGTAGCCTGCTTTACATTTTATTTGAAATAAGTTAAAACTGTTTGACTATTGTCTTGTTTGTTTTGAATTGCTTAGATGAAATATAGACTCGGAAAAAAAATAATTTAAATACATATACCAGGACCAGCAATTCAAGTTTTAAAGGGATACTAAAACAACTTTCGTTTAATGAAGCAGTTTGTGTGTATAGATCATGCCCTGCAGTCTCACTTCTCAATTCAAAGCCATTTATGAGTTAAATCACTTTTGTTTCTGCCGATGCAGCACTAGCCACACCTCCCCTATCTGTGACAGACAGGATTCCATGAAAAAAATGGTTTCAGAGCTTACTTACGTTAGAAATTTTTAACCCCTGCTCTGTTAATTGAACTTAAGACTCCTACAGACTCTACACACATGAAACTCCAAAAGGCTCTAACAGGCTATTAACAGAGCAGGAGATAAGAAATTCTAAATTAAAGAATGGTTTGGGCACCATAACAAGTCTATCCAAATTACGTTGTTATAGTGCTTCTTTAGCATTATGGGATAAAATATATTTCATTCAAATAAGGATGTACATGGGAATGCCTTAAGGGGTTTTTATAATTGTGGAAATTGTAGGGCTTGTAAGACTAGTAGAATTTTGACTAGAAAAACAAACATTTCAGTCTAACACAACAAAAAAGGAATATAATGTTAAATAATTTATAACTTGTAGTTCTAATAATATTATTTATTTATTAACGTGCATATGTGGCTTGCAATATGTGTGGCGGACTATCCGACCATTGAAGATTAGAATTAGCAAACATTTAAGAAATATACAGAAAAGGGTATTAACCCATTCTGTATCTGCACATATTCACCAAAATCATAATGGAGACACTAAAGCCCTGCATTTTATGGGGATTCAAAAAGTTTTAAAACCCTGGAGAGGGGGTGACCATTTGAGGATCCTCAACAAGACGGAAATGAGATGGATCTTCGATTTGGAAACCTCTCTCCTCATGGGTTAAACATTGATTTTGATATGTATAACTATATTTGATTTAATGGGTTTTTTAATATAAATATTGTATAGGTCATTTATATATTATCCTCTATTTTATACATATGTTTTCTCTAATAATTATTATAGATTTGTCTTTATTTATGGATGGAATCCGTTATGGACATTAATGGACTATAAGTTGTGATCCTCACAGTATTAATACTTTGGGACAGTATGCGTTAACTTTGGAACGCATGAACATAACGATTGGCTGCTTGTGGAACGCATGGAACCCGGAAGTAAAGCATGAAGCTCCGAAACCGGAAGAAAATGGCCGCGGCCATAAGGACCAAAGAAGGATGAAAGATTTCATCGCCGATTGGCTGTTAGGCGAAGGGGGCAGGTTGGAAGTACTCGTTTCCCGCGCCAATCTTTGTATTTAAATGTGTTTGAAGCTTGTTGTTAACTATTTCACCTGAGGAAGACAAGTGAGTTCGTTGAAACGCGTTGTGCTTATGGTATCTACCTGTGAACGGCATTACTACAACTTTTATGTAAAATTTTTATATTTTTTATAAATAAATGTGAATTCTTGTCTTTTAATGTGTGCCTGTTCTGCATCACTTACTTTGAGGAACAAGCTTCATACTGAGGAATACCCTTTGGAGCATTTTCTACAAACGTTATTACCCGAGACAGGCTCTCAGGAATGGGATGTATTATTTTAAATTTCCAGTATTTGACTTTTGGCTACCATCTGATCCTGTCAACATTTAGGGTACATTTGTGTGTCTTCTATTGGGTATACACACCTCCACTGTGCATGCATTGCATCTTATTTGTGGTATTACGTATTTGCGCTGCACACTATTTTGTTGTTTGTATTCACTTCTTGTTGTGGGATTTTGTGATTATTCCCATTAAGTGTGTTTTAGCTGCTTTTTCTTAGCGGCGCGGATTGTACTGCTTTTTTCTTTTCTAAAATATTCATCAACTGTTTAACCTCAACTTCTGTACCCCAGGGCTGGATCACTCTGACCCCCTGTCCTTCTGCTTTCTGAAATTCTTCAGAACAGATGCCTCAGGCAGGGACACCTCTGACTGGCTTAGAGCAGTCAGCTGATGTTTGAAACCAATTAATAGCTCACCATTTATAAAAAAGGCTTGAAAAGGGTACATTAATGAAGTTATTATGGTCTCGAAGTGTTAAAGAAACCGCAATAAAGGATGTTTAAACATTAGACGTCTCTTTACAGTGTTTAGGAAGGCTGTAAGTCACATGCATGGAGGTGTAACTAGGGCTGCATAAACAACGTGATTTAACTCCTAAATGGCAGAGAACCGAGCTGTGAGACTGCAGGGGCATGATCTATACACCAAAACTGCTTTATTTTATTGTTTTGATGCCTATAGCTTTACTCTATCATTGGGCATTAAAGTTATTCACTGCTACAATGGTTTTGACTCACATTTTGTCTGTAGCATTTGCCCCCGATCTCGCAAGTGTCAGTAGGTGTATAAATGTAAGAAGTGGGTTCAGAGAGTTTGGTTAAAGCTTTGGTGAATGTGCCAGTAAAAGCACAGGGACATATGTGTCCATACATGCGAAATGTCCTGTTTTTTCCAAGACAGTACTGTATTTTGGGCTACTGGCAAAAAAAGTCACCAGGTTCTAAAACATGTTGAGCAGATACACTATTAATCTGACATGCCAGGTTGATATCAGAATGCAAGAGAGGGCAATAGAACCATGCAGAGAGCGCATTAAAAGCATTCCATGCATGCTGTGCCCTTAGTGGTGCCGGCCAGGGAGGCTGTCAGTCAACCTGGCGTGCAGGCACATCATGCTGGCCAGCCCACTTTACAGGAGCCCACTTTCAAACCTGTCCATTTCCAATCCTGTGTCATGGAGACCCAACGTTTAACATATGTGTGTGAAGAGTCAGTGTGTATGTGTGAATACAGAAGTACATATATGCATGATTAGCCAGTGCATGCATGAACTCTTGAGTGTATGTACCCTTCAAAACTAATTTGGTGCTTCTTTCCCATAATATTTGATTTCACCTTTCTCAGTGAAAGTGACCTTGAGATCTAGATACATTTTTAGGAAGGGGCAGGCTCTGGCTTGCCATCGGGCTCGATGGAGATGGGCCAAGGCTGGCAGATGAGGTCACAGGACCTCCCCGGCCGGTCCACGCAGGGCCCGCGCTATCCGAGCGCCGGCCCTGCTGCATTCAATGACAGGCCGGTGGGGAGATAAAAGATCTCTCTCACTGGCCCACTTGCACAGACATGCGTCCGCCGGCTGGGAAGGGAGACAGGAGAGGACCCGTCGGAGCTCTATCTTGCAGCTCCGCCGGGTTCCTCTCGCGTGAGCTGGAATGTTGCCATGGCAACGCCCCCGATCTCGCAAGAGTGAACTCTACCCTCGCAGGCTAGAGTTCACTCATCACTAGCACCACCATGGACGGTGTGAGAGTGCCAGTCCCCCCCTATTAGGCCTCACCATACCAGTCCACCCCACCCAGGCTAAAGGTAAGAAGGTAGGGGGGATATAATGCCTGTTTTTGTTTTGTTTTTTAATTTAAAATAAATGAATAAATTAGTATATAGGCATTAATCTGCCTCCCCCCAAACACACAATCCCTCACAAACAGCACCCTCACACACACTTCACCTCTTACTCACAGCACCCCTCACACACACACACACAGACAGAACCCCCACAACACATTGCACCACTCACACACAATACTTCCAAATAAATAAATAAATATATATATATATATATATATATATATATATATATACACACACACACACACACACACATACATATATACACACATATACACACACACACACACTGCACCCCTAAACACATTACATTTCAGACACACACTTGATCCCTTACCCAACTCTTGATCATCTACACACACACACACTAGATCCCTATATACACTCTGAATCCGCTATATACACACACTCACTAGGTCTCCTATACACATTCTGGGTCCTTCAAACACACACTAGACTCCTATACACACACACTACATTCCTGACATACACACTCTGGATCCCCTATACACACACACTATTCCTTGTAAGCAAACACATACTACATTCCCTCTGCATTCACACTCTACAACCCCTGCAAACACTACATTACCTATACACACACACACACACACACACACACACTATAGCTACATCCCCTATACAAATACTCTCTACAACACCTAGCCACACATGCATTATATTAAACCACAAACACAACACTAAAACTGACCTTATTACACAATACCACACCACAATCAGCTTACTCTACACACACGCAATCACACAAGCAGGCTCCAAACACATGCACAATACTCTTTCCTGGCCCCTTTGTCTCCTGGTATCCCATATATAGAGACACCAGAGACAAGTTGCAAGGAAACACAGTCCAAGCATGTTATTAAATTTGCTTGCACTGTGCAAAACAAATACAGGGCCTTTTTCTCATGCTAGAGCTCTTCAGCAGAGCTCTGCGCATGGCCTGCCCTGGGAGAGCATTGAACCAATATGTTCACTTTGAGAGGGGGCGTGTTTGTCATTGGTGATGACAAAACATACCCTCTCTGCCCCTCCCCCTTCTTAGTGTGCCACTGTGATTAAAAAAAATGCCCGGATTTTTTTTTTTACCACTCCAGCCCTGGGAAGGGGGAACAGTCACATCCAGTTGTCATTTCCTACACCTCAACATAAAGTCTCCCAGTTTCCTTCCAAGATCCACAAAACTTAGCTTGCTATTTTAGTTTGTTTTTTTCTTCAATTTATTTCTGTAACAGATACTAGATAGTCAGGAGATATGTGGGCCAACACTGTTTGCTGGTGATGGTTGAGCTACTAGCACTGGAATAATGGACTTGTGCACTAATACGTTCAGAGGAACACATAAAATTTCTTTTAATCTACGTCCGAGCTTAGACTGTGGAGTCTTATTAATTGATTATACTTGACTACTATGTTATCAGTTTGCTACTAACATTGTAATAAGTAATAATTCTGAAGCTAAATCATTTTCTTTAGGATTTGGATTCACTGAAGGCGGTAGATATTTTGATGAGTTTTTTTTCTTTGTTAGGTACTTCTTCTAGTAACTTTCAAAAAAATTTATGATAATAAACCTTAATAGATGAGACCAAAGGAGTAGAGAAGGAAAAAGTGTGGGGGGAAAAGGGAAATTTCCATCCAGAGATATATATATATATTAAAAAATGCAAAATCTTTCACTAAATCACTCTGTGATATTAAAATTTCACCAAAAACACCAAGTGCCCTCAGTGAATAAACAGTATAAAGGACTTCCCTCTAAGTTGTACATTGTGACCCGAAGATCTCCTCAAATCTTCCACAAACACATAAATACACAAATTAGGGTCAATCTAACTATAGGGAAACAAAAAATAACATAGTGCAACTCCGTGTGAAGCTTCTACAGTAATAATGTTAGCCAAATGGATCACTCACACTTTGAATAAATAAGGCTATCAAAAATCCGTGTAGCTCTCAGGCAGTGTTCTTACTCCAATGCATGAACTTCCAAGTCTCAGTAATACAAAGAGATAAAGATACATCCAAAATGAAAAGTGAAGAAATGTGTACAAAGTAAAAAATATATTTATTACTTACACATAAGTTAGAATCAATCAGCATAAAATTTCATAAACTGTCCACCATCTGTCCAACGCGTTTCTTCCCACTGCTGGGACTTCCTCAGGGACTTTACAGTAATGTTGACAGGTAGAGATGTTGCGAACTGTCCGCCGAACTGTTCGCGAACTGTCCGCCGGCGAACAATAGCGTATTCACGTTGGGCGAACATATCCGATTTCCAGTCTGCCCCCTATACATCATCATTGAGTAAACTTTGACCCGGAACCTCACAGCCAGCAGACACATTCCACCCAATCAGCAGCAGACCCTCCCTCCCAGGAAGTGTCTGCTGACTGTGAGGTTCCGGGTCAAAGTTTACTCAATGATGACGTATAGGGGGCGGACCGGAAATCGGATATGTTCGCCCAACGCGAACACGCTATTGTTCGTCGGCGGACAGTTCGCGACATCTCTATTGACAGGTTAAACAATAAAAATTAATGAACTCATTAATTTTTATTGTTTAACCTGTCAACATTACTGTCGAAACATATAAAACAATTTGCCTTATATTATATTTCTGCCCTAACTAGATGCAGAGCACCTGCTGTAAAATATTGTCACTTCCTCCAGCCGTCACTAGCGCTGGCAGTGTGCGTAAGGCATTGTCTCGCTTAATGTGCGATAATATAAACTGCTTGGCCCAAAAAAAAAGTCGCCACCTGGATTTAACTAAGCAAACAGGTAAGAGCCACCTATTGGATAGTTACTGCAACAGCTGACAACAAGTCATTTAACCCCAACTAATGCAATGAGTAGCTTCTCATTTCTTAAAACAACCATGTCGAATGACATCCTGGAGCAATGGAAGGAGGTCATGTGGTCTGAAGAGTCTAGATTTACCCTGTTCCAGAGTGATGGGCGCATCAGGGTAAAAATAGATGCAGATGAAATGATGCACCCATCATGCCTAGTGCCTACTGTACAAGCCTGTGGGGGCAGTGCCATGATCTGGGGTTGCTGCAGTTGGTCAGGTCTATGTTCAGCAACATTATGTGCCCAAAGAACGAGGTCAGCTGACTACCTGAATAACCAGGTTATTCCACCAATGGATTTTTTCTTCCCTGATGGCACAGCCATATTCCAATATGGCAATGACAGGATTCATCTGGCTCAAATTGTGAAAGAGTGGTTCAGGAAGCATGAGACATAATTTTCACACATGGACTGGCCACCACAGAGTCCAGACCTTAGTCCCATTGAGAATCTTTGGGATGTGCTGGAGAAGGCTTTGCACAGTCTCCCATCATCAATACAAGATCTTGGTGAAACATTAATGCAACACTGGATGGAAATAAATCTTGTGACATTGCAGAAGCTTATTAAACAATGCCACAGCGAACGTGTGCCATAATCAATCTAAAGGCGGTCCAACAAAATATTATACTGTGACTTTTTTTTTTTTGGCCAGGCAATGTATAGGGAGTTTCCCACGGGTTCCTCCATAGACATCAGTGGTGTACTCTCACACATGCATGTGCACCAGGAGAAGAAAGAGCTGGTGGTACAAGCAGGGGACAGCATCAAGTAAGTATATCTCACCATAGCTGTACTCCCAGGGCCACCAGACCACAATCAATGATGTCACCATACTGGGTCTTTGCAAAATATGTAAAGGTGACAAAGCAGCTCTACATACCTTAATTAAAAATTGAAACAAAGACCTGTGGTGGAGCGGTTTCTATGGAAACCAAGGAAATCAACAGGGAGCTTCAGTTTCCATGCCAATTGTTCCACTTTTTGAACATTGCCTACTTGGTTGGTTAGGAATACTTTTATAAAGCTCCTCAATGTGTGGCAGCCTCTTGTACTGCCACTAGCAGAAAGCTGGTTAATTTCTGAATATATTCAAATTTAAAATATATATTTTTAAAGAAAAGAAACTGTGAATCAGACATTTAGCATCAACTAATATAATAACAAACCACTGTGGTTAAATGTTGGTATAAAACTGATCTTATATTGAATTCAGTGCAGTTCACCTCATTCAAACAATGTCAGTTCATTCAGCAAACCATAACATACATAACCTTTCTGTTGTCCTTGGCAGGCCTGCACTGCAGTATGTAAGTATTTACAAGCAAGCTTGCTGATACACAGACAGAACACACAGAGCCAGACATTCCTTTCCTCTCACTCACCCTCTGTAAGATTCCCCCAAACCAGCAGCACTATTATTTGACACTTCGTGGTGTGCAGCGCAGATAGCCTCGGCTGGTGCATAACATTGTAAAGATCTTAGTTCCGGATGAACAAGGTTCCGCCCCTGTGACTCACTAACATATCATTGTAGTGCACACTGAAAGGGGAGGTACTGGCTACTGGTTACTGTTACTGTTTTTGTGTCTTCCCAGGTAGTCTGTGTTCACTTTATTTTGGTTGTTTGCTCTCTGCACCTATTCCTCATTATAATTACTACTGTAACTTGCATGCATTTACATTTCCCTTGTTCTGAAAAAAATATTATTATTCAATATGGAAAGAAACTTGCCATTTGGGAGTTTATACGAATAAAATAAATAAGAACTGCCATCTAGTTATTGCTGTTATTCTATTTTTATATCCAATTTAGGTGCCTTCCTTCATATTTGCCAGGTTTTAAAATATGCCACTGAATTGTAATAGCCAAGGAAAATGACAGAATTTAAACTGAAATTAGGATTTGGAATTTAGTAAAGGTATTTTGGAGATATGTAAAGACTATGGGTGTTATGTGCAAATTGTGACATTAACTTTCACTTTTGTGCCAATTTTGTGTGAATGTGTCATGTTGATATGTATAAAATTGTTACTCTACCTGTATACATTATAGACATTATTTCCCTAATGTGGTATCTTTAAAGGGATACTATATGTGGCAGGAATACAAAGCTGTATTCCTGTAAGTATAACTCCCTCTGCCACCCCCTCCCTTGCGCCACCCCCCATCCACCGCAGTTAATAAAGGGTTAAAAAGCCTTTATTTACTAACCTGATCCCAGCGCAGAGGGATATCAAGGCTGGGACCAGGTAATTAAATAACGTTTTTTTCTGCCTTCCCTGACGTCCTGTGATGAGTGGTCGTTAAAAGCGCTGCGAATTAGACCTCCCCATAGGAAAGCATTGAATCAATGGTCAGTCAGTTACCAGATCAAAGAAAGCCACTGGTGGCAGACTTAGAGCTCCAATGTAAAGATTTCAGTTTCTCTGGAACTGCAATATTTAACATTGCAGCACTAAATGCAATAGGGACACAGCACCCAGACCACTTCAATGAGATGAAGTGGTCTGAGTGCCTTAGTGTCCCTTTAATTATGGCAATCCCACGATACCAAATTAGGGAGCTATCTACTAAACAGCTAAAAGGTGAAACTTTTTTTTTAATGTTTGTTGTTTTTGTTGCTTAGTACCGGAAATGAAGTCCCTAATTTGGTATACTTAATTATGTCAATACCATGAAAGGATGCAAAATTATGGAGCTATCTACTAAACGACCGAAAGGGCAAAAATAAGAAAAAGAGCCCTATTCTTAATTTTGCTGTTTCAGTTGCTTAGTAGTCCCTAATGTGCTATCCATATGAAAATTAATGGATCTGAAAAATCGTGGATCAAGTTGTTTCAAATTTGTTAGTTTTCAGTTCGTTTTGCCGAATCCATATACGAATTTGGATGTAATTCAATTTGGAACAAAACTACTGCACATGTCTAAAGCACATTATGCTTTAAATGTACATGAAATTATTTGTTTAACTAACTTCAGTTTTGTCCTTCTACATTTCAGCTTGCCCTTCATCTTAAAATTAATTTAGTAATGCACAGTATGAAGACTGTCTCTTTGGATGACATTAGTTGCATCAGAAGGTTAAATATATGATAGCCTGTTTGAAAATTGTAAATCATAAGAAGCATTAAAAGGATTATCTTATGCTAAACACTTTCAAATAAGTATTATTTCTAAATATTTGCAAATGTATACATTAGCAGATTGGAAATGGAACCCTAACATGCTATTTTTTTTCACTTAATCAGGAGACTCATTGTACAGTCAAGCAAAAAAATAAATAAAAAAAAAATTTAATAAAAAACCGTAATGCATTTAAGGAAATGTCTGGTTAATTTGTATATATTGTTGACTGTATTAAATCTTTGATTATTCTTTTTGCCCTCTTTATTTACAGGCCTACCGTATCGTCGGTCTCGGCACACCACAACCGACTTGCTCCCTTTATACTATCCTACACTTATGCTGGAACCTTACTCCATATACGGCTATTTGCCCCGAACACAAGTTTTAAGGCCGTTTGGCCTGTATTTGTGGGAGGGGCTTAAATTAATTCACTCCCCTATATAAGGGACACCCCTTACCTGACTCATATCGCTTGAGGTCAGCATCAGAATGACCCTCCCACCCACTCCTCATTTCAACACTTTCTCTTTTCTTTCCATTTACGTTACTTACTTACTCCTTGGTGGGCCCTCTTTATTTACAGGCCTACCGTATCGTCGGTCTCGGCACACCACAACCGACTTGCTCCCTTTATACTATCTTACACTTATGCTGGAACCTTACTCCATATACGGCTATTTGCTCCGAACACAAATATATATATATATACACAGAGTGGAACAATTATTTGTCATTTTATTTCCAATCAGGTATGAAGTGAGACAAAATGTAACCTTTTTTGAAACTTTTAAGCAAAAAGTTGCTAATTTCATAAATATCAGACACTTTACTGTAACTTTTAAATTATGAAGGGTAACGAGAATAGTTTTTTATTACCATTTCCGTATTTATTACAAATTACCTATTCTTAATCAGAGTAAGCACTAATTACATTGCCATATTACCAAAATTACTGTTTAAATATTCATTGAACTATGACCAAAAAATCAGCTAACCAAAGAACTCCTATCATTCTCACCTCAAGTTTGTCATGCAGAAATCATGTCAGGCTGTAGGTACTAGGAGAGACCCTGTGAATCTGATTATAAATCTTTTAACCAAAATACAGGTGAAAGACCCTAAAGAGTATTTACTCCATAACCCAGGTTTTTGTACTGTCCTGATTATGTTGTGATAATCCATATTTCTGGGCTCTGCTCCACAGGTCACATGGTTTGTTTCCTAGTGTCCCTATTTTGGGGACACCAGATAAATGTCCCAAGAAAGCATTGCATGTGCACATAAGTATAGGTAGTTGCACTATGCTAGGGCACTACAACCATGCAGAGATTGCTGTACCTGTGCTTTCTGCATGGTCTACACTTTATGGGGTTATCTTGGATAATTTGCATACTACATACCATACACAAAACTTTACCCTCTAAAAACAGACACTCTATACCCCCTGTTTACACATATTACACCCCTGCACTGACACATAAACTACACACACTCTATTCCCCCTTTAAACACACACTACACACCCTGCACTCACACACAAACACACTCTAAAGACCCTATAAACACACACATTACACCCCTCGCAGTCACGCACACACACACACGTGTCTATATTCCCTATAAATACACATGATATTCCTATACACATACACTGTACCCCTATACACACTACATACACTATACCCACCGACACTACACCCCCTGTAAACACATGCGCACACATTATCACACCTATACACACTTAAACACACACACTAAATCCCCTATTCACAAGTAGTACACAACAAACAGACCCATTTAACACTAAAACATGTTTGTCCAGTAGTTCTCAAACCCCTTCTCAAGGCCCACCAACAGTCTAAGATTTATGTAATTCCCTGTGTTATTCCAATGGTGATACTGACAAAACCTCGACTGTTGATGGATCTTGAGGACTGGTTTAGGAAACACTAGTACAGTATGTAAAGTTTGTTATAGTTTGTTCACACACAGTTAAAAGGACACTGTAGGCACCCAGACCACTTCAGCTAATTGAAGTGGTCTGGGTACATTGTCCCTTAACCCTACAGTGATAATTTATTGCAGTTTCATCGGGGCTACATAGATACTTTTCTAATTTAGTTACCATACTATGTTTATTTGTATAAGATAGTATTATCATCTTTTTCTGCATTAGTACATGCTGGTTTGAGTAACAACGTTTAGGCCATGGATGTCAAACTCGCTGCCCATTGGCCGCATGCGGCCCACAATGAATATCTTTGTGGCTCAGCAAAGATATTCATTACTCCGGTTACCTGGAGGCGGGCGGAGATGAATTGAAGCGGGCAGAGGCGGTCCAGATGCTGGCTGGCTGTCCAGGAGTAAATGGAGGCAGTCCAGGAGAGAATGAAGATGGGCGGAGGCGGTCCAGGAGAGAATGGAGGCGGGCAGAGGCGATCCAGGAGAGAATAGAGACAGGCGGAGGCGATCCAGGAGAGAATGGAGGCGTGTGGAGACGGTCCAGGAGCGAATGGAAGCGAGCGGAGACGGTCCAGGAGAGAATGGAGGTGGGCGGAGGCGGTCCAGGAGAGAATGGAGGTGGTCCAGGAGAGAATGGAGGCAGGCAGAGGCGGTCCAGGAGAGAATGGTGGCAGGCGGAGGCATGCAGAGGTGCGTAACGTCATGTCCTGATGTGACGTCTACAGGCTCCGCCTTCAAGGAGTTTCGGCAGTGTCATGTGCTGCGGACGGCGCCAGTGGGGGTATACAGGCAGGATACTAGATACACAAGGTGAGTAAAGTATGAGTCTGGAAGCTAATACTGTTTTTTTTTTCGTTTTTTTTTTTTTAAACAGTGAATGGAGTTTTGTACATGGGGGTTGGGGTTTTGTACAGGGGACTGGGGTTTTGTACAGGGGGTTGGAGTTTTGTACAGAGGGGCTGGGGTTTTGTACAGAAGGGCTGGAGTTTTGTACAGGGGATGGGGTTTTGTACAGGGGCTGGGGTTTTGTACAGGGGGTTGGAGTTTTGTACAGAGGGGCTGGGGTTTTGTACAGAAGGGCTGGAGTTTTGTACAGGGGGATGGGGTTTTGTACAGGGGGTTGGGGCTTTGTACAGAGGGGCTGGGGTTTTGTACAGGGGAATGGGGTTTTGTACAAGGGAGTTTTGGTTTTGTACAGGGGGGCTAGGGTTTTGTACCGGGTTTGGGGTTTTGTACAGGGGTTGGGGTTTTGTACAGCAGGGGCTGGGTTTTTGTACAGGGGGGTGGGGTTTTGTACAGGGGCTGCGGTTTTGTACAGGGGGATGGGGTTTTGTACAAAGGGATATGGGTTTTGTACAGGGGGTTGGGGTTTTGTACAGGGGCTGGTTTTTGTACAGGGGGGATGGGGTTTTGTACAAGGGGTTGGGGTTTTGTGCAGGGGGTTGGGGTTTTGTGCAGGGGGTTGGGGTTTTGTACAGGGGTTTGGGGTTTTGTACAGGGGTTGGGGTTTTGTACAGGGTGCTGGGGTTTTGTACAGGGGAATGAGTGTTTTGTACAGGGGGGCTGAGGGTTTTGTACGGCGGTGGAGTTTTGTAGAGGGGGTGCTGAGGTTTTGTAGAGGGGGTGCTATAGTTTAGTAGAGGGAAGTGCTGGGGTTTAGTAGAGGGAGGTGCTGGGGTTTAGTAGAAATTGGATGGGTGGGCAGCAGATTGTTAATGTGCTGAGGGGAGGGAGGTTATCAGTCACCACCACCACTTTCAAGCCCAACAGCTCAATAAGGCTCCATCCAGGCTCTATTAGACTCCATTAGAGACTTTAATAAAGATTAAAAGGGCCTGATAAATAAATATGCTTTAATTATTAAATAAGATATTTTATATATATATTGGGGGTCAGCAGTTATGAAACAACAGTGTTGTTCTATGAAAATGTAAGGTTTTTTTTTTTTGTGTGCGGCCCACAAAACCTTAAATCTTGTTTATTTGGCCCATGTTAGCCTTTGAGTTTGACATGCTTGGTTTAGGCGATAGTCCTCTCTTTTTATAGACTTGTGTTCTATTTTTCTTTTTCTTTCTTCACTTTTGTATATATATATATATATATATATATATAGAGAGAGAGAGAGAGAGAGAGAGAGAGAGAGAGAGAGAGAGAGAGAGAAATTTATTCATACTTACCGTAATTTTCTTTTCCTGGTCATAGGCCATGACAGCACAACAATGGGTAGCTCCTCCCCATCCCTAGTTATACAGGAACTAATTAAAACAAGGGTATAAGTACCCCCTCCTACCCCTCCTACCCTCAGTCTTGTATTCCAGCAAAATTCCCTGGGCGGGATCTTTGTGCTGCCATGGCCTATAACCAGGAAAAGAAAATTACGGTTAGTATGAATAGATTTTCCTCTTTCCTAGCCATATCCATGGCAGCACAACAATGGGTAATACCCAAGCAAAACCAAGGGAGGGAAAAGAATACACGGACTCAAAATATTTTGTAATGCAAGTGTATTAGCACATCTATAAGTGAAATAATACAAAAAGAAAGACATTAGTTGGATGTTGAAAGGACACTTTTACCAAACTTGTCCCATTGACCAGCTCTAACATCTATTTGATAATGTTGAATAAAGGTGTTCACCGAAGACCATGTAGCTGCTCTGCAGATAAGCTCTGGAGATACTCTCGCTGCGGCTGCCCAAGAGGAGAAAAGGGACCTGGTCGAGTGAGCCTTTAGTACAGCCTAAGTACTGGAACCCCACTGGCATGGTAAGCCTGAATGATAGCGGAGACAATCCATCTGCGCACGGCCTCTTTAGAAGCTTGGCGACCTTTCCTAGCCCTATTCAGGATGATGAATAGCTGAGATCTGTCAAGAGATCTGTCAATATAGATTCTTAAACATCTTACCAAATCCAGTGGAGAAGAACCTCCTTCTTGGGAATGTTCTTCTTGCGTCAGGGCTGGAAGCACTATGTCTTCATTAACATGAACGGCAGTGGTTACCTTAGGTCAAAATTCGGGAATGGTTCTTAGAATCACCCTGTCTCTGTCAAACACCGTGAAAGGCTCTTTGACTGATAAGGCACTGAGCTCCAAAACCCTTCTTCCTGATGCTAACGCCACCAGCAAAACTGTCTTGATGGTAAGAAGATGAGGAGAGATGGACTCCAGGGGTTCGAAGGGAGCTGACTTCATGGCTTGTAATACCGGGGTAGATCCCATGGGGGAGCAAATAGCTTGATCGGAGGTTTAATCTTGAGGACTGCAGCAAGATACCTAGATAGATCTGGATTAAAGGCCCATTTGTGGTCAGTGAGAGCTGAAAGAGCGGAGACATGTACCTTTAAGGTATTGTAGCTCAAACCCTTATCCAGACCTGTTTGTAGAAACTCCAAGATGTCTTTAATTGCAGGATGCTGTATGTTAACCTTCTTGGGAGAGGCCCAGGAAGAAAAAGCATCCCAAATTCTATAGTAGGTAGAGGAAGTGGATTGCTTCCAACCCTGTAACAGGGTATCTGTGATTGCAGCTGAGAAACCCTTCTCTAGAAGCCTTTCCCTTTCAACCTCCAGGCCTTCAGGTTGAGTGATGCTGGGTCTGGGTGTAGGATAGGACCCTGGTGCAGAAGAGAAGTAACTGCTGGAAGATCCCACAGAGGTTCCTGACAGAGGCTCAGAAGAAGAGGGAACCAAGGCCGGTGAGGCCAGTATGGGGCAATCAGGATCATGAAAACTGGTTCCTGCCGAATCCTTCTTAGTAGAGGAAATATGAGGGGAGACGGAGGAAATGCATACCCCTTTGTGAACTCCCATCTGCATGATAGGGCATCCCTCTCCCGGGCCTGCGGTTCGTGACCCTTTGAGAAGAATCCCTGGAGCTTCTTGTTGTTGTTGGTGGCCATGATGTCTATCTGAGGAAGACCCCATTTCTTCACAATATCCTTGAAGACTTTGTCTGAGAGGCTCCACTCTCCTGGGTCTATTCTTACCCTGCTGAGGAAGTCTGCTACCGTATTCTGCACTCCTGGCAGATGAATCGCCACTAGCCCCGCAAGGTTCTTCTGTGCCCAAGACATCAGGGGAATCATCAACCTTACCATGCTGCAACTTCGGGTACCTCCTTGATGATTGATATGTGCTACTACTGTAGCATTGTCCATTCTCACCTTCACCCACTTGTGCTGTAGTAAATGCTGAAAGTGTTTCAGAGCTCTGAAAACCGCCAGAAGTTCCAGAAGGTTTGAGTGGGTCTCGTGTGCATGAAACTCCCACTTCCCCTGGGTGACCTCGTTCTGAAGGTAGGCTCCCCAACCCTTGTGACTGGCATCTGTCGTTATAGTAATCCAGGGAATGTCCCCAGGGGGAACCCTGAGAACAGAGCCTTCTTGTTCATCCACTATGTCAAGCTTAGATGGACCGGGGTGGAAATCCTGATGGGCTGGAGTAGATTCTTCCCTCTGTATTGGGAAAGAAAATTCCTCTGGAGTGTTCTCATTCTCCATTGCGCCCATCTTGTCAAGCCTATGGTTGATGACATAGATCCTAGTAGGCTCATGACTTTCTCTGCCGTGGCGACATTGACTTGTCGTATCTCCTTCACCTTCCTGATGAGCTTTACTCCTCTTTCTCTTGAGAGCTGAACTGTCCCCAGTGCAGTGTTGAACAGGGCTCCTAGATAAAGCATGGACTGTGAAAGAATAAGGTGACTCTTTTCTCCATTTATCTTCCAGCCGTGTTCCTGCAGGAACTGATTGCAGATCTGTCCCTGTTGCTTGAGAGTGTACCTGTCCTCTGACAGCACCAGGATGTCGTCCAGATAATGAAAAATGTCAATGCCCCTCTTTCTTAATTCTGCGATCAGGATCACCAGGATCTTGAGAAAGTGTGAGGAGCCGTACTGAGGCCAAAGGGAAGGGCTTGGAACAATAAGTGCCCTCCTTCTACTGCGAATCTCACACATCTTTGATGCAGTTGAGTGATCGGAACATGGAAGTAGGCATCTTGCAGATCTGCAGACATCAGCCATTGCCCTAGGAAGACTGCTTTGATAATGGACTGAAGCGACTCCATTTTGAATCTTCTTACATTCAATCGCTTGTTGAGAGTGTGAAGATCTAGAATGGGTCTCCATGCTCCTGAGGACTTCTTTGTGAGGAATATGTGAGAATAAAACCCGTGTGTTCTTTCCTCCTTTGGAACCTCCATAATGACGCCTTCTTGCTGTAGGGAAGAAATAAACTCCAGAAGACCCAATCTCTTGTCTCTGTCTCCCGGCCATCTTGTAATTTGAAAACTGCGACGAGGTGGAGCATCTCTGAATTCCAGAAGATATCCTCTTTTGATGATGTCCAGCACCCACTAGTCTTTGGTAGAAGACTCCCATCTCTTTTGCAATAGGAGGAGGTGTGCTCCTACCCCTCCAGGCTGGGAGATCAACCCGTCATAAAGCTCTCGTGTTCCTGCTGAATGCAGAGCCTCTGGATCTTCCTCCCCTGACTGAAGACTGTCCCCCTCTCCAAGGCTGGGATCTTCCGTATTCTCTACCTGGTTTGTAGGATTTGAAGTCCTGAAAGGAAGATTGATCTGAAGGTCTTTTGGGTCGAAAAAGATCTCTTAGGCCTACGATCTTGAGGTAAAAAAGCATTCTTGCCATCTGCCGCTTTCTTAATGCAATCATCCAGGTTCTTCCCAAAGAGCATGTCTCCATAGAACGGTAAAGAGCAGAGGCTATTCTTAGATGAAGCATCTGCTGACCAGGATCTGAGCCACAAGCTGAGATGGAAAATGCCATGTTCCTGGCCACTGCTTTGACCATATCCACTGAGGCTTCAGTAGTGAAATCTACGGCCAGCTTAATGTCTTGTAGACTGCCCATGAGGTTAGATCTGCTTCTGCCCTCTTTGATATCCTCCTTCAAGCCTTCCAGACAGATATTCAAAGCTCTGGAGACCGAGGTAAGGGCTACCGCGGGGTGGAGGCCTGTGCCTGCTGCCACATAGGCCCTGGACAGGTTAGAGTCCATCTTTTTATCCATGGAGTCTCTTAGAGATCCTCCATTATCCACTGGCAATGTGGTGCGCTTGGCCAGTCTTACCACCGCTGCATCCACTTTAGGGGTTGACTCCCAGTGGCCTGCGTCCTTTTTGTTAAAAGGGTAAAGGAAGAAATTCTCCCCTGATTGGGAAGTTTCCTCTCTGTTTTGGACCATTCTTCCATAATGATGCCCTTAATCGCCTCATGAACCGGGAAAGTAACCCTCTTTTTTCTGAGGTCAGAAAAGTATCGACTGGATGTAGAAGGCTCTTCTCTTGAAGGTTCCTTCATGCTCAGAGACTTGCGGACCCTGGAAATTAAGTGATCCACTTCGGTTGGGTCCAAAGTGTCAGGAGCGTGCTGTTTTTCCTTATCCGAGGAAGATGACCTCTCCCTGTATGTCTCCTCCATAGACACATCCGAAGAGTCGTATTGGGAGTAGTCGGGAGGATCTGGATATCTAGGTCTTTTTTGGGCTCTGCCAGCCTCTTTAATGCCTTGGGATACAGCATTTTGAATAATTTGCATCAAATCCGGGGTGGATGATGTGGGACATCCTGCAGCCTGTAGGCAATCTGAGCATAGGTGCTTCCCCTCCAGGGCCCTCTTGTCACATGCTTCGCATAGGGATCTTGCGGGAGACTTTCCTTTGGATGTTCCAGTTGTCTTTTTCCCTTTAGTACTACTATAATATGGGAAAAATATTAGCCAGCACTCTTTTGTTTAGAAGAAAAATTGAAGAAAAAATATAGGAAATGGCTTACCCCTGAGATTTAGATAGTGACCTTTTACTTTGAACTGATGAGTCTGAATCCATGATCTCAGATGAATTCATCTATAAAAGTTAAGCCCATAAAATACTATAAGGCTTAAAAATAAGGTTCAAAAAACATCAACTGAATAAAAAACAAAAAACAGACCAACTGTGCCTTTAAAAGACTTACCTTCAGTCTGCACCACAAAACTGGGTGAAGACCGCACTGTACCGCTTTAAGTTAGCAAGGGACTGTGTAGAAAAGTAAAATTTCAGTATTGGCGCTTTAAAAAGGGCGCCCAAACTACTGAATGACGTCATCGGCACCGCGACGTACCGCGCATGCGCAACAGGCACTTCCGCGCATGCGCAAAAACAGCATGACGCGAACGCACTGTTCGCGCATACGCAATGGCGAAAACCAGACGCCAAGCCAGCAAGGAGACCCCAGGTCTCCCAACCTTAGCAGACCACCAGAAATGTGGTGAAAATGCCGCGAATAGGGACAGGGGGAACCCTAGATCACCAGGGAAGCCCTGTACTCCCCCAGAAGGGAGAATAAACACCGGGTAGAGAACTGCTGCATCAAGAGGAGGAATGCCTCCCAATCAGAGAAGGCAGGATTAACCAGAAAAATTAAGGTAGAAGGGGGTATATCCATACTGTTTATGCCTTGCCCATACCTGCTACCCCTAGGGTCACTGCAGTCAGTAGGGTAGTGGCTCCTTTTGCTGGCTACCCCTAGGGTCACTGCAAGCTTCCCCCGGTCACTGGGGGGTTCTCCAGGGGGACACATTTGCACAGGGCTGTATACTGGAGCATCCCAAGGAAGAGAGGCTTAACTCCCCTGGGGCCAAGGGTAAAAACCCTTAAAGTAAGCCATAAAAAAAATAGTTCTCAGTCTGAAAAGACTAATCTGTCCTAGAGATAGGACAGGAACAAAAAGACTAAGGGTAGGAGGAGAAGGAGGGGGTACTTATACCCTTGTTTTAATTAGTTACTGTCTAACTAGGGATGGGGAGGAGCTACCCATTGTTGTGCTGCCATGGAAATGGCCAGGAAATATATATATATATATATATATATATATTTTTTTTTTTTTATTATTTTTTATTTTTTTTTGGTGTGGGTATTCAAATGCTCTGGTATTCTTTGGCATGTTCACGTGTTTTTACTGATTAATAAAGGTTACGTTTTAAATCATATTAAGACATTACTATTGTGTATCCTATACCCCATTAGCACACTCCAAATGTCTTTTTCTGGTTATATGCAATATCTGCTTTAAGGTAAGGGAATTCAGCTAGGGCTAATAAACATTTAAAATGTTTAAATGCTACAGTACAGTCTGTTTACTAAAGAAGGAACCAGAAAATGGGACAGATAAATGAGAATGTCAAAGTGCAGGCAAGCCACTGGAAAATGGGAAAACACTCCCAGAATCTCTCTGAATAAAGCCAAATGTACAAAACTGTATAACACACAAGTGCAAATACACAGGTGAAAATACAGTGCAGGGCACCACAAGCACAATATATATAGTGGTTATAGTTACCAACAGTGTTGAGTTGAGTTGAGGACCAGACTCACATATAAGAGATAAACAAAAAAATCATTTAACTTTAATATACACAAAATATAAAAAGAAAGTGAGAACACTCACAAATGTAGAGGCACAATTGAAATAAATCAATATGTGCACAAGCGCTTGTTGTCTCAAAATAGGCTTAAACCCCAGGATCAACAGTCAGCTAGTGAGGTCTCATTGTAGCTTCCTTCTCAGGTAGTCAGGAAACAGAGAGTCCAGGTCTTAGATACTGCTCGGCTGGAGTCCTTGTGGAGTAATGCTCAACGCGTTTCGTCTAGTTGTAGCTCCTGACGTCTACAACTAGACGAAACGCGTTGAGCATTACTCCATTACTTGACTACATTTCCCATGATGGTCGGCTAGCTTTTAGACTCTAAAAGCTGGCTGAGCATCATGGGAAATGTAGTCCAGAAACAATTTATGGTGTCAAGGTTAGCCATCACTGGTTTAAACTGTTTCTCAAACTACAGCACTACATATGTAATGCAACAGTAATGCATCACACAGCAGTGACGCGATGGTTTGATGGTTCAAGGCTGTGCAAATATTATCTTGGATCTAACATCAATGGGAGATTTCAAGGCTGTACACGTTCAGTTATATGTAGATAAATAAAAAAATAATAGGAAACCCAATATAGAAAGGATGTTCTCATTAAAATATATATTTTTACTGTCACTGGTAAACAACATTTTATTCATTCATTCATTGATAATTAGTCTCCATAATCATTTTGCTTCACTCCCTGCACATAAGCAGGAAAGACCAAAAATTCTAATTGTTGGTTTTCAATCAATGCCTTTACCCAAGGTGCAGATATAAGGCTGATGGATCCTTTCATATACTAAAGATAATGACAAGTTTTTCTAATTTTGTTTTACATATACTTAATTTTTTATTTTTTTTTATCCATTTTTTTCCCGAAACTTTATGAAAATAATTATTGACAGTTGAGGTGGCAATTGTCTTTTAAAAAACAATTTGTAAAAAGTTAAAAAAAAATATATAAAAATCACTTTTGTATACATTTTTTTTATGGACTGTTGATTTGGTTATCAAGTCACCACAACACACATTGAGCACTCTTAGTAACAATATTACTTTTTCGTGTCCATAATAATTATTCTTGTATCTTGAACACTGTGTAACAGCATCTCTAAAGTGGCTCTCTAGACATTAAACACATCACAGCCTGCTTTAGTGGTCATGGTGCCAAGACACCATAGTGATGTTCCATGCTAAGAAATCAAACTGTTTTTGAAAGATTCAACATTTTGGGTCCACTGAGCATTTTCAGCCATCCCTCTTCTCTGATATTGCTAAAGTGGAAAATAGTAAGACTAAGAAAATCAGCTATTATGTTTATTACATACTGTAGGTGTTGATAATAATATTAATAAAAATGGTCAAATTCCTTGTACATGAGTATTTCTAAAGAACCGATTGGCACTTTGGGAAGTGCAGATTTCCAAATAGTAACCGTTATAAATTATACAATAAATAATGTTATTTGGGTTCTACTGCAGCAGGAGTATAGAAAAACTAGTGTATTGATGGTTTTGACATTTAAAACCCAAGCCTGAATTTTAAAACATCTGGGCCTGGATTGACGCTGTCTGGCAGCCATTGGACATGTTGATATATCGACATAGTTGTTGCTCTTTCATAGCCAGAATTGCAAAATCCAAAGATTATTAAATACTGTGAACTATGTCCATATGGAACTGGACAGCTTTGCCCAATTCTGTATGGGACCATCAGGAATTTTGTGAATAACATAGAATTACAAATTATTGAATATATGTGGGCATGGAGGTATGGTTGCAGGATTTAGCTCAATGGCTGAGAGTGATTAGCTAAAAAGCTCTCCACCAATGAGTTAGCACTACAGGGCTCAACACAGCAGAGCTAATAGTGGAAGCTACTGATTAGGAGTTCCTGTCTCTCTGGCTGAAATAGTGGAGGCAGAGTGTGGTGCCTGGTGGACCCTAGGTAAGAAGTTAAATCATTCTACTGACAGTGGTTGGGGGGTGGAGGTGCTTTGGCTCCCCTGGCAACATAACCACTACAGCACAAGGAAGTGCTTGAGGTGTCCTTTTAACCCCTTAAGGACCAATTCTGGAATAAAATGGAATCATGACATGTCACACATGTCATGTGTCCTTAAGGGGTTAAAAGCAATCCTGCATAACCATACTTTTTGCTTACTGAAATTGGCATCTTAAAAATAATGTTACATTTAGCTATGCAGGGTGTTTTTTTTTTTCTTCCAAGTAATATTTTTTCAATTTATACTCACCCTTGCTACCTATTCCATCCAACCTTTGATGTTAACTTTTTTGCTCCATAACTAGAGTTGTAAATGATGTAAGCTATTTGAACTACAACTCCACAAAATCTTTGCAGTGCCCCTAAAGCGCTACTTCAAAATTACCATGTCAGTTTTTTGTAGTGATCCTGATATTCTTGGCATCATAAACACTGCAGAGGGCTGTAGTGTTTATGATGCATTGAGTAACTTGTTAGATGGCATCATGGTTGACCAAGTCTCTCCCTTGTTTAGAGAGCTAACTGCAGAAACAGCAAATCTTGGTTATTTGCAGTAAAAGTTGGCATATCTATTTTGACGTAAGTTGACGTATCTCTTTTATTGTTTTTATTTTACTGCATTATCTAAAATTTACATTTATAAAATTGTTTAACAACAGCCCTAAAGTGTAATTTTAAAGGTAAAACTATATTTAAAAAATACTTGCTAAAAAAAATCTTGGCTCATAAAAAAGAATTACAGCTGTTATGGAGTGGATTTAAATCTCTGGGCCATGGCTGTAAAGTCCATGTAAATGGCTTGATGACTTCCAGTCATACTTTTAGCCATGATGTTAGGATTTAAAAATCTCACTTCACAGCATTTTGGAATCAATAGATTATGAATAATTAGCCATTTTTCTGGTGTGCTTACATCAATCTGACACCTGACACTTGTACAGATCTCTGTACCTGATGTTGTGGATAATGCTTGCTGAGAGGATTTTATACCGTTATTCACAGTTTTAGCTAACCTGTCAATTACAGCTTTGAAAATAAATGTGTTCTATTATAGAAGGGTACATAAAACACAAAATCACACGTAAAATATTTGAGACCAGTAGTGCCAGATATAACCACTAAGTGTCAGCAGAGTAAAAAATTTAAACTATTGTTAGAACATTCTTTTTCTCAACAGCTGGTTCAGACTACAACTAAAAGGACAGCTTAAGAATAATAATAAGCACTGAAAAAGAAGCATCACAATGACCTTGGTCTTGCCATACTTTTTTTCCTTTCATTATTTACAGGCCTTTTGAAATCAGGAATGTGCCCTGTCAGATTTTTTTCACTCCCATGTGTCTGGTTTTAAAGACAGTGTTTAAACTATTTAAAAATCTCCTGCTCTGTTGCACCACAACCTTTACAAAATAATCAACTAGACTGTTATATAAAGAGAATGTAATTTTTCACTATTTAATGTCAACCCTCTCCCTAAGTACATACAACAAACAAGTTTCACTTCAATGTATTCATACAGATTTTTATCCCAAAAATAATAGCTGTAACAATAGCTCAGATAATGCGTATAATGTGTGGACCTCCTGTTAACAAAAAAAAGTTAAAACTTACTGTTGCTGTTAAACGTGGAGAGTTTCTTTAGGGGAAAGGGTAAATGCAGGGGCATTTGGTAGGTTCAAGAAACATGACTTGAGCCCCCCCAAAAATTTAATGTCTCGTTGTTCCACTTTCCTTACTCCCTGCGTTTCTGACCAGCTTGCCCTACTCCTTGAGTCTCTGTACCCATTTACCTTAACCCTAATGACTGCCCTTTTCCCCCTTAGCTGGTTACAGCTCACTTACAGGGCGACTGGCTCCCTGGCTGTCATGGATAAATGACTAGTGGGCAAATGTGGGACTGCTGCTGCCTCCTCCCCCGATCTCGTCTTTCAGTGATGTGGTGATGCATGAACACAGGACGAGGCCTAGCATGGTTGAAACAACTTGGGTGCTGTATCAATCATGCAGAGAGATCCAGGTTGCATTTTAGATCTAAACCGCCCTTTTGGGTGGGATCAGTCTGCTATGCAAATTGCTTAGGTTAGCTTTGTAATGGCATAAGAAGACCTAAAACCAGCTTGTGAACTGAGCAGGGATCCACCAAAGGGCAAGCTACTTGAGCTATTGTCCATGCTCACTATTTTCTTGCATCCTGCTTTTTGTTCTCTGCGTAAACGGTGTGCTGAGTGCCCACAATGCTTTTGCACCTTGACAGCAGTAAATAAAGGGACTGGGTAGTGACCACAGAAATGGCAACTCCACATTCTCTGCTAATCACGCAAACGATTTGGAAATAAAGAGACTGTATCAAAGGTTGTAGTCCCTAGGGACGGATTTACCCTCTCCCACAATTTAAAAGTATTGTACCATTAATGAAAACTTAGGTTTTTGTGATCTAACTGTACACTCACAGTCCTATGCAAATACACACTCACCTACCCATGCAGACACACATTGACCCATGCAGACACATTTGCTGATCCATGCAGAAACACACTCAATGATCCATGTACACACACCCACATACACTGACCCATGCAGACACACACAAACTGACCTTGGTGAGCACAGATGGCTGGCCCCTGAACTTGGCAAGGCAAGCTGCTGCTGGCCTGGCAGGTCCCCTCCTGTGCAGGCTAGTGGCTGGTACAGGTCCCCAGCCAGAATGGAGGTTGAGAAGGGCAGAGAAGTATAGGGAATGTGCTCCCTCTGCATGAGGATTGGCTGACTGGTGATGGAGATCTTTGTTCTCCCAACTGGCCATCCCACCTCTCTCATACCTACTTCCCTGAGGCCACAGGTTCAGTGGCCTTTTGAGAAAACAAGCCCTGGTAGTCCTTCCATTAGCTCCCTAGTGATATCACAGCCATTTTGTATATAGATTGGTTTTCAAACAAATAAAAAAAATTAAGTTATACAAATGTACACAATTTTTTGTTTTATTTTAAAATAAAGCTATTGACATAATTATACATGAAGTTGCTCCAACAACCATGACCATGTCTGCATTTAGAAGTGGTCATGGTGCAAGCAATCTGTATGTGCTTGAATCCAAAGAAATCCGTGAATTTGTAGTTACACATCTTGCAAACATGACATGTGAATTCAGTGCTTACTGACAACAGACCCAATGGGCTTATTCTCTTGCAGGCAGTGCTCTGAATGCACCTGAATGCAGAGAAGACTGTAGTGCTGGCTCATTACAGCATTGCACTTGCCCTTGCAAATATTGGGGTAGACTGTGGCCTGTAGGTTTGTGTCTTGCATGACAGACAGTTATTCAAAAGAGTAAGAACACATTCCTGCACATACCTGGCAGCATTCTCTACTGTAAAATGATGGTAGTACGTTACCCATTGTCTAATTTCTGGTGTGTATGTTAATAGAACTGATCCATCAGACCCAATTGGAAATCCTCATCCACTTGCCACATGTGCCACCAATGAAAGGCAGCCTGATGTAGTTTAAAGGGTCAGATTCACAGATGAGTCTTGTTCCTTTCAATGTATGTCTCTGAACATCTGCTTTCAAGACTTGGGATGATGGCATAACAGATAGAAAAAGCTCTTTCACAATATTGTAATCTATATCAAGATCCTTTGTATTTTTGGTTTCGTACAGATCACTATGCCTATACTGCCCAGCTGGACAATTTAGTTGCCAAATGTCAATCAACCCCTTAACCAACCTTTACTTTCTCATAAACCCTTATCCTACCTCATAACCCCATTACGAAACTCCTAAACCACCCCTAAAATAAATCTAACCCTAAGATTAGCCCTCTGCCTCTAGTTGAGGGATGCTCCTAGCTGCAATCAATTTGACATCACTTGAAAGATTTCCCCAGTAATCACAGTACTGATCACCAAAGCATCTCTAAATTTAAAGATGCCGTGGGCAACCTCTCACTGCACCAAAATGCTTTGTGGAACCCACATGATTAGAAAGTTGTGTATTAAGAAAGTAAATTTAAAAAAAAGACAAGCAATATTAAAATAGTTTATTAAACATTTTATGTCCATGTGTGTCACACGTAAACAGTCTGCATATTTATGTAAATTTCTGAGCTGTTTAATCCCTTGCTATAATTTAACCCAAGGCAATTAACACATAGGTCTTTAATGTAAGAATGTGATTTTCACTGAGTTGGCATTAAGCCTCATTCTGTCAACAGGTGGTAGAAGTAGAACTTTGCTATATCTTCTCTAAACAAACAGTAAAATCTTAGACACATGAGGCCCCTATAACTCTGCTGTATGCCTCTACTATAGGTCATAAATAAGGATGAGGGTAGTGCTTTTCACAATGTTTTTTGGCAGTCCTCTCAATGTATTTCCCTTAGAGCAAGATTACTGTCACTCAGTGTTTTTTGGCTTCTCCATTGTATCTGACCTGTGTCTGTCCCATCAAATTACTGACACAATATTTAGACATCTTTAGAAATGTATGCATGAATGACGAGGTACTCATTCACTAATTCAGATATAGAGATTAAATTTGTGAATGACTCTAGAAATACATTATAAAGGTAGAATAACACTGACTTAACATAAACAAGACAAGTATTTCATATACATATATATTTATGATAGATATATAATGGAAAACCAAATGTTTTACAAGATATTATATTATATTAAATAATTTTAAGACAAAATGTGCTATTCAAAAATTATTATTTTTTATTTTATTTTATTCCAAAGCCTCTGGAATAATAAAAGGTTACTTCAGTCACCTTGACCACTTCAGTGGTACAAGGTGTTGCATTACCTTCTCACAGCGCCACGTGCTCCCTGCGGTGCTGCGTGTTCTTTCCTAACACCCAGCACTTCCATTTTTGGCTTCCAATGCTCAACTCACATTCCGACGTAGTGACGCCTCATTCTAACATCATTCATGATTCAGAATGCTTGGTTGTATATGGAGAGGTATTAGCAGTAGAAGGAGTGAATTGCTCATGCCATTGAACCACTGGTGAGACCTCACTTGGATTATTGTACGCAGTACTGGAGACTGTATCTTCAGGATATTGATACTTTGGAGAGAGTTCAGAGAAGGGCTACAAAACTGGTTTACATGGATTACAGGATAAAACTTACCAGGTTTAGAAAATTGGGCAGACTAGATGGGCCGAATGGCTCGTCTTCTGTCACATTCTATGTTTTCTGTGATTTTGAATGCTCACACTCTGCCCCTTTATATATTAAAAGTTACAGGGTGCCTTTTCATGGCATGTTATTGTCATATGACATCAAACAGATCTGTAACAAATCATTACACATTATAGGGTATTTAACTTCCTAGTTGTTCCACGTTGCTTGCCCAGTTGTGGTTTCTGTATACTTGAGGGTGCGCTATATTGTTACAATCATTACATTTTCTGACCTTGGCTTGTTTGACCATTCAAGCTTTCTGTTACCGTGAACTGGGCTTGTTCCTTAATTCTGTGTATCTCTGTTATTCCTGACTTTGGCTTGTTAACATTTATTCTTTGTCTGCTAGCAGACATTCTGCTGCTTTATTTCTCAGTGCTAGCCCGGCCACTCTTCGGACCAGGCTCACACTAAGTATGCATACTTACCTTGTTTCAACCTTGGTTTCTGTGTTAAGGTCAAGTCAGTACTAATACAAGATTTTGCTTTGAAATGATGCACAAATATAGATTAACACCTCTGCTGCTGCTACATAGGAGAACTAAAGTTTGCTGGATAATGTAAATTCTGTGCTTTCGATGATGCTGACGCTCTCAGCCAATGAATGTCGACCACCACGGCGTCAATCAAACTGGACAATCAGGGAGCATCAGAGATGACGGGGACCCAGGTAGGGGTCAAATCAGTTGAGAACATGCCAGGGTATTCCTGGAATCAAAACCAGTACAGCTGAAATAACTCTTTAAGCAATAGGCTATCACTGGCACCCCAGCTGATAAGGGACGGAATGAGACTAAGTAAAATATTGCCACACAGAGGATTGAAGGGCCCTTGACTTAAAGACCAAATCACTGAATACAGATTTGTCATTCATCCAACAGCAACGGAAGTACCGACGGTGAGGTTGCACCTGGACCCGCAAGCTGAGGGGAGCCCATTGTGTGGCCCATGTTCTCAGTGTGTGTGTGTGTATCTGTGTGTGAATCTGTGTTTGCCAGTGTGTATATGTGTTTATCTGTGTGTATGTGTCAGTGTGCATATGTGTATATCTGTGTGTGTATTTCACTCTGCATGTGCAGGGCAGTGTATGTGCATGTACCTCAGCAATAAAATGCCAACTCTACGTGCAACATATTCAAACACAAACATTACATACAACTACACTACTGCTTTGTACATACAAACACACATCTGCAATCAAATGCCAACACTACACACACATACATGCACACACAGACATACAAAAACATGCTTGTATTCAAACACAAACACTGCTCACAAATATAACTCTGCAAGGCTGGCCACATGGTAGATCCTCAGCTGGCAAAGCATTGTGGGAGTTGTACGACAGATGGGGATCTACATTTTGGTCACCTTTTCACTATAGGCAGGGGTGTATTTCCCACGAGGCTAACAAGGCATTTACCTTGGTTGGCACTTTTAGGGGGGCGGTAAAAAAAGTCGCCCCCTAAGTGCCCTGGCATATGCACTGTTAGCCTCTTTCATGGGGGCCCAAGAGCAGGCCGGCTGGTCACCTCAGGGCCCCCCGAGGCTTTGAAAGGCTCCCGGCATCACTGAGCGGCGTGCGAGGGTGCTGAGCAGGAGAATTACAGCTCCCTCGCTGCCACAACTGAAAGTCTGCACGTCCTGCCGCCCAGCAAGTCCAGCCAGCCCAGCAGCCAGCCACCAGCCCAGCCAGCCTAGCCAGACCAGCAACCAGCCACCAGACCAGCAGCTAGCCACCAGCCCAGCCAGCCTAGCAACCAGCCATCAGCCCAGCAGCCAGCCCAGCCAGCTCCACTGGACCCTCGGGTAAGAATTTACTCCAGCTCTCCCAAAGGTAGGGAGGCTGGGTGGATTAAAATTAATATTTTAAAAATATCTATAACACTTTGTAAGTGTGTGAATGTGTCAGTATCGGGGTGTCTGTCAGTGAGTGTGTGTCTGTCTGTCAGTGAATGTGTGTGTCTGTCAGTGTGTGTGTGTGTGTGTGTCTGTCAGTGAACATGTGCATGTCTGTCACTGTGTGTCCGAGTGAGTGAATGTGTGTGTCTGTCAGTGTATGTCTGTGAGTATGTATCTGTTAGTGAGTGTGTATGTCTGTCAATGAACGTGTGTCAGTTAGTGAATGTATGTCACTGGTTGTGAATCTGAGAGTGTGTGTCTGTCAGTGAATGGGTGTGTTAGAGTATGTCTGTGAATCAAACTGCGTGTACGTCTTAAACAAGCAGGGACGGGGCAAATTTAAATGAGTGGGGGTGCCCGAGTATGGGGGACCATTAGGACATGGTTGAGATATTAAAAGAGCTTAAAAGTAATCCCACCACCCAGATATGGTCATCAATGATTGGGTCAGAATTCACTTGCATAGTTAACCACTTTATGTATAAGAATGTGCTTAAAGCAGGTTTAGAACTCTGGATAAGCAGAGATTTCTTGCGACAATCACGGTTATTCTTTGGAAAGAGTAATTGAATCCATTAGTGTTTAATGAAGTAAATTTAGTCTCAGGAGAGGTGTTCTAGAAAAAAATGCTTTTCATTTTATTTCTAAAAGCAGCTTTGCAATTTTCAAAGTCTAAAGGATATAACTTAATGAGCATCTGTACCACAAAGCAGACATTTTAGAAATACCC